ACGACTCTGGTGAGCGATTCTCTTGACGCCAGCTCTTCTGCCCCTCGGGTTCCCCCCCAAACGGTTCCCCCGACCCGCACACAAAGCCTCCCTTACCGCTGACAGCTGACTCTTTTGCCCTGCGCCTCAGCATCTACCATTACTGTGAATACCACGCCCAAGGCTCCTCCAAACTTCCCTCCCCCAAAGACCGACAAGCCTCGCCCGCACGTCTGCGCGACTTGCCAGCGCTCCTTCGCCCGCCTGGAGCACCTGAAACGCCATGAGCGCTCGCACACAAAGGAAAAGCCGTTTGAGTGCCCCGAGTGCTCGCGATGCTTTGCCCGCCGCGACCTGCTGCTGCGTCACCAGCAGAAGCTGCACCAGACGTCGACGCCGTCTGCTCGCCCGCGGAACCGCCGAGAGTCGACCAGCGGCGTGCCCCCAGGCCAGAGCCGGGCTCGCAAAAACAGCGTCGTGGGCGCCAGCCATGCGGCGACGGCTACCAACCCCGGTGCCAACACGATGCGTCCGCGGGCAAACACCATCAGCCACGTCGATGGAGCCGCCATGCAGATGATAGCCACGGCCAATGCCAATGTTGCTAGGAGCATGCATGCTGGGCACAGTCGTCACCCCAGCCTCGCCGGCCTGCCCGTCCACAACTTCGACCCGGTGTTTGGCGCCATGTCCATGACCATGGGCCAGAGGGCGACGCTCGCGCACGGCCTCCCTAAGCTGGAGACGGGCCAAATCGGCGGTACCGATTTAGAAAACGCCCTTCGTACAGCGCCCCCCCTCGCTGCCTTCAACCCCGAATTTGATTTTGAGAGCTACTTGTTTGCGCCGGGCACAACCATCAACCCCAACGCCCTTCACTATAATGATTCCCCACCCTCGATGGTAATGGAGCAGGCCTCCCCGTTCGCGCAAGCCCTCAACGACATCCCGTCCAACCCGACCTTTGACGACTCATTTGACTGGCTTAGTGGGTTTGATCACCAGATGTCGTTTCAGACAAACGAGAACGTGGTGGACGAGTCGAGCCCGTCGGCTCTTAGCACGACGAGCCAGAGCGGCATCAGCGATGTCATGTTGGATGGATCAAATCACCCTGCGCCGGCTGGCACGAGTACCATGTGGCAACCCTCCGTGATGGGCCCCCCGCAGATGCCGAACCCGTTTGCTTTGGATCTGAATGGTTCAGTCTTTCCGGATCTCCTCAATGGAGCTCCTTTATCACCTCAGCCAGCTACTCAAAAGATCAATGACCCATACTTCTCCACGCCCCCACCATCGCTGAGCTCGTTGAGCCCTTCCGTCGTATCTGGACTGAACACGCAGAGCATTAACCAGACCCTTGGCTTCAACGCCGGCCCGGAAACCCCATCATCCCTCAATGGCGTTAACCATGGCGCTTCGCCCGTAACCACAATCACAGATGCCACCAGGACTGCCATTGTGACCATCCTCTCCCAGTGCCTGCCCTTTGGAGGCCGTAAATATCCCTTTACTTCGCCGCAGTCGCCGCAGTTCCAATCGCCCTCCCCGGCCCAGGCCGCCAACGTGCCCAGTACCCAGAATCTACAACGTTATGTCTCAGCTTACATCTCATACTTCCATCCCCATTTCCCCTTTTTGCACCTGCCCACCCTGTCTTTTGATATGTCCACGTCCCCGAGCGGTCGCCAGAACGGTGTAGGCGGTAGTGGGTGTTTGGTGCTCGCCATGGCTGCCATTGGCGCCTTATATGAAATGGAGCAGGCCCAATCCAAGGACCTGTTCAACATGGCTAAGAAGATGATCTTTTTCTACCTCGAGGAGAGGCGCAAGGCAGATGTTCGCAAAGCAGATGTCCGACGCAGCACGCACAGCGGCGATCCCGACCACCAACAGCAGCAGCAGCCGTCATCGTCGTCACAAGGTAGGGATAGCTCAGCCCACACGCCAGTCTGGCTCGTCCAGGCCATGCTTCTCAACGTCGTCTACGGCCACAACTGCGGCGACAAGACCATCAGCGACATCGCCTCGACTCACTGCGCAGCACTCGTCAGCTTGGCCCAGGCAGCGGACCTGCTACGACCGGAGCAGGAGGATGGACAGGATACTCGCATGTTTGATGACTCAATGTGGAATAGGAAAAGTGAACTCGAACAACGACAGGAGTGGCTCCAGTGGAAGCGAAAGGAAGAGCGCAAGCGCACGCTGTACGCCGTCTTCATCATGTCCAGCCTCTTAGTCGCCGCTTACAACCACACCCCGGCCCTGACCAACTCTGAAATCCTGTTGGATCTTCCTTGCGACGAAGACTTCTTCGCCGCCGAATCGGCCTCCCACTTCTTCGCCAAGGGCGGCGCCGACGCAGCCAACCACAACCGGCTCAAGTTCTGCGATGCCCTCGGAGAGCTCCTGCGCACAAATGAGCGACAGCAGAAGCACATGGCGGCGATGAATGGTGGCCAGCACTCGCCGGCCGAGCTCCCTACCACAAACCTGAGGCCCAGCACATTCGGCTGCTTGATTCTGATCAATGCGCTGCACAACTACATCTGGGAAACACGACAGAGACATCACAACAAGGTCTGGACCAACGAGGAGACGGAAAAGATGCACCGGCATATCGAGCCAGCCTTGAAGGCATGGCAAGTCGCTTGGGCCAGCAATCCGAAGCATACCGTGGAGCGTCCAAATCCGTTCGGCATGGGTCCACTCTCTGCCGACGCAATTCCCTTGCTTGACCTGGCATACGTGCGGCTGTTTGTCAACCTGTCTAGATCCAAGGAAAAGTTTTGGCAGCGAGACTGGGACGGCATGGCAGAGGAACTAGCTCGTGGAACGGAGATTGTCCAGCATGCCGAGCACTCCCCGTCATCCAACGTAGAGCCGGTGGGCGCCGATAGCTTTGACAGCTCTCTCTTCACTGGCTCACCAACAGCTTCCGTACCGGGCTCAGATCCCTCGAGCAAATTCTCCAACGGCTCCCAGTTTGCCACTCGGTCCATCTCCCGCCGAGAGCGGCATCTGCGGAAAGCCGCCTTTTACGCGGCCGATTCGTTGGCCATGTCGGACAAGCTTGGGGTGACCTTTGCTGACTTCACTAGTCGCGAGCTCCCCTTGCAGTCAGCCATGTGCGCATTCGACTGCGCACAGGTCCTTGCTGAGTGGGTTGCCACCTTGCAGGATAGAGTCGGCCCATACTTGGGTATCTTGGGCCAGGATCGCATTGAAGCTTCGCAAATGCCCGCCATCATGCTGTTGGAAGAGGACGACATCAAACTGCTAGATAGAATACAAGAGGTCCTGTCTTCGGCGGAGATGAAGATTAGCCTGGATCTCATGACCAGCTTGACCGCCACCGATGCCGCAACCCCAGACGATGGACAGGCTGGCTTTGCAACCAAGATTCTTCGAGTTACGTCCCAGATGTTGGACAAAGCAGCCGTTTGGCCAGTTACGCACCTTATGGCTCGCTGTCTTGATAGCCATGCCACACGGATGCGGACCAGGACGGAAAAGTCTGTCATGCCTTCGGATTAAGTCATAAACAGATAAATTTTAATACCTGGCAGCTGTAAGCTCGGAAAAACTTGGCTTCACAGATCTGCCCTTTTATGACCATGACGGTTTAAGCAGAAAAGAAAAAGATACAAAAAGAAAAAAAAAATCACAAATTAGTCCAGTGGAATGACCATTAATTGGTTTGGCTGCTACTTCCTTCAACAGGAAATGAAGTTTATGACTGGGTTCCTACACAATCATGCGACGAGGGTAGTTCAATTATGTTGAACTTATGAATACGTGGACAGTCCGACATTGTCTACATGGCCGGCCCATGCATTTTCAAGAGGCCAAAAGAACAATCGACAACTGCCGGGAGCTTGCATCTAATTTTTCGCTATAATCTAAAGAGGCAGGATCCGACCAAATGCCTCGGCTCAGAAGGCTCGACAGGGCAATGCCTTCTCTTTTATACATCAACATGGCTTCGACGGCTTACAATTCTCTTCTTCTTGAACTAGCAATTATGAACGCACGCTAGTTTGAGAGCAGCGCTTGATTTTAGTGTTTACTATACATGGAGGTGATGGATTGTAAGATATTTGGCAGATGGTTGGCCGTTTTCTCAAGCGGTATGAGAATTGGCTGAGCATGTGAGGTCCCGAATGGAATGGAGGTACATATCACGGATGTGAACGTGAAAGTTGGGTGTACGAATGAGAAGAGGGCCAAGGCTTTATGGTCAATCAATCAACAAGGCTTAGTTGTGAACCGCAAACGTGTGTGCAGAGTTTCAGAATCAAATGAGGGATATATGGTGATGCGGCTTGGAATTGGGGTGTGGAAAAAGCGATCACTCATGTTAGATAGAGACGTGCGGATTTTGATTCCCTAGGGTAAGTTTAAAGCCGGAGTGCGGGATGCCTTTTTCTGTAGGCACTTATACTTGATTGTGTTTTTCGTAAAGGTCGGGAGGGGTCAAAGGGAGTTTGGGATTTTTGATAATGTTTACATGTACTTATGGCGAAATGATTGAAGATTTGATGGCTTTGTTGATCTTAGCAGTGCCTGTTTAGGTGTGCAGATTCGTGCAGTGATTGATTCATCTTTCCTTTGAATGAAGTCTAATGCCGCTTCTAGCCCATCGTGACTACGACGCAGGGCGCCTTGTAAGGCTGAGCGTTTTATCTTTTATCCAGTATGACTCAATTGATGACAAAAAGACAGGATTTTGATGCTAGCTGAGTTGTGCTGCCTGATTTCAGCGCCCAATGCAAAGAGCCCCGAGCCGCTAATAAATATGGACAAATACCAGGGCCGAATCCGGGCGGACCAAAACAAAAATTGACTACAACAACAAACAATCTTATGCTCAACCTATTGTCAAACATTGCTTGACACTGCTCACAAAAAACGATCTCGTTCTCCAAGATAAGAGACATCGGACAACAAAACAATTTCATCTCATCTCTTTTCATATACAAGAGAAAATAAAGAGAAAGACAGAAAGAGAAAAAGCCGCCATGGCTATTGAAAACGCCGCCGTCGACACAAATTCCAAGGGCGGCCCCATTGCCGACTTTGCGTTTGACGAGTCCCTCATCGAATGGAGCGTCCCAAAATCCGACTGGCTCGAGATCCACGGCAAGGACTTTGGCGGCGTGGCCACATCGGCGCTCATCTTCGACGCGCAAGGCCGCGTCCTGCTCGTGCAAAGGGCGGCGCACGACAGCATGCCGAATCTCTGGGAGACGCCAGGCGGCGCGGTGGATTCGGGCGACGGGTCGATCCTGGCGGGGTGTGCGCGGGAGGTGAGGGAGGAGGTTGGGCTTGTGGCGCGGAGGATGCGGCGGCTTGTTACGGAGGGGGAGGGGAGGGAGAGATGGTCTGTGTTTACGAACCGGGACGGGACGAGGGTGTTTTGCAGCTTTGCGTTTGAGGTTGAGGTTGAGGGGGGGGAAGAGGTTGTGCTTGATGCGGAGGAGCATCAGGCGTTTGTTTGGGCGGGGGAGGAGGATGTTGTGAGGGGGGTTGTGGAGGGGAGGAGGATTGAGTTGACTCATTTGATGGTGAGGAATAGGTTGATGGAGGCGTTTCGGATGAGGAGGGAGGATGGGGTGAAATGATGGATGGGATGAGTGAATGAAATAGCGGGTGATTGTGGGATGGGATAAGAGGGAAATGGTTCTATGAGATACGATGATGTGAATGTGATGGAAGTTTATGGAATTTGATGGAGATATTCATGAGGTGGTCAGTAGATGGGCAATAGCAAGATGAGAATAGATGCGGGATACAAGATTAGAATATATTGGAAAGGAGGTCTGCTGTTTGAGAATTCATGATATTTTGTGCCATCGCAAAGTCGGTTTCAACCCAATGTCTTGTGAGGTAGTCAAGAGGAAGTGTACGTTTGATTGAGCGTGGAGAGATGTGATTATAACGGGAGTAGCTTTTTTATATGGAAGAAGGTTATAACAGTAATGTCTATGCGTCGAGCGACCGTCAAGAGGAGAGGGCAGTGTATAGAAGTCCACAAGGGCCACGCTGGACGAGAGAAATGATGAAAATCTGGAAGCGAACGGACACCAAAGATGTGAGGATGGGGATGTTATCAAGACCAATGAAACCAGGCCTATTTATATTCTGCTGTTTTGCAATTCTAGCAGAGATTGATTAGTTTCAGAATGTATTGTATTCCATACGTTGTGTTGAATAGCACGACATAAACCTAGAACGCTGCTTATAGAGATATGTAAATGGCCTCAGTGGGAACCTAGATATATGCATTTAAGATCACCGAGTGGTGATTAAATGGCTGGATAAGAAACCCACCGATGAATTAACCTTATTTAATAGAAAAGTTGTAACTTTGAAAACCATTCCCCTGACAACTCAATTGAGTTATCCTAGAGGCGTGGCGGCGTTATCTAAGTTATACCCACTGAGTCATTTGAGTCTCCTTTCGTTTTCATATTCTGTGCAATTATCACTTCTCATTTATTAATGAGATTTCGAAATGTTAATTCAACTTACACTCTCCTTTAGGGCCCTTGACATGGCGCTCAATATGTCGCGAATCTGTTGCTGATAGGGTAGGTAAAATGAGATGTGACTGGTAACTCTTCAAGGCAACTACAATGTGATTTGTGCCACTCATCAATTTGCAATTATATAATACAATATGATATATCACTTTTCGCAATGTAACGGTAACAGCGATCATTGGCATGCTTAGTGAAATAAGGCGTTGATCACCGTCACTGAGCGCATAGCAAGTATGTAGGCAGGATTCATTCTAACAGAATATCCTTAATGACTCTGTAAGTTTGTGGGAATGAGATCAGTAATGATTTAGAATCTCAGAATAGCAGAAACTTTGGTAGCTTTTCTCTTACTAGCAGCCATTATGTGCATATCTATCATTTCTAGTGAGTGTATTGTGCATTTGGGCAAAATGGAGTGATGTCACAGAGGGCAAGAAAACGGATAGCTAGTACTCAACACCGGTACGATGAAGCAGACACCCAAGGTGTAGATATGCACCATCGACCAATACGCCCCGAATAATACGCCCCGACTAGATACGCCCATCTAAAACATCAATCTCGCAAAAACGGCATGCCTAAGCAAGTGGATCCGCGCAACTGCTCCCGCATCATGCCACCTCTCGTCCCACGCAAGACCCTTAAAGACCCTTAGACCCATTTACTGGCTCGCCATCTCGATCGACGCCATCAGAGAGGGTCGACGCCGGCCCGGATTTGACCGGAGCGTACGGTAGTCGGGAGTGGAGGTGGGCTACGCGGAAGGGCACTTGTACAGCCCGGTAGGGCCGGGCATATTGGGAAATAGTAGTGTTCATGCAATGTGAAAATTCGATGCTGCAGCGTGAAAGATTGAACAATGGGAATTTTTGTTTACTTGACTCATTGCCGGGGCGAGAGGTGCAGGAGACTTTGCTGCATTAGGAGCTTTTGTTCATGAGCATGGAACAAGCGGGTTGCAGAGGTTCGCTCCAGAAGTAATATGACGTGCCCTTGCAGATGGACGTAAGAATTACAACTCTTGATCGCCATATACTCTGGAGATCATTCACGATCGATAGCCTGGTGATAGGCAAAGGATGGGACTCAAAGGAGGGGAAGAGCTCAACGGGAGCTATAGGGACGCGTAAGACGAATTCAACTCGATGCTTTGCGGGGATGAGTATCTGTCATTGTCAGGTCAGTATCAATGGAGAGTTTAATCGATGTCCATGGATAATGTGAGATCATCCGTAGGATTGAACTGAGGCGTCTAATCGTTGATTGGCGCTGTGAGTGGCGATTTGGGCTTCATTCGATTCATGTTGACCGTGTGATTCCCAAATCGTCCACTCTTCGTCCTTGGAACAAGTAGCAACATGTACTTGCAATCCAAGCCAACAGGCAGAAGCGACTGCCAAGTACAACCGACGCCAAACTAGCAGCTACACTATCACTCAGCATCACCGTGATTTGATGCGCGTCCCCGGTGGCTGAGCCTTTTGTCCAAAGTTTGGAGAAAAAGAGTCACCTGGTGAGATCTAAATCTCCTGAGCCTCAGGGTCTATCCCGTTCTAGAACAGAGTATGCGTCCCAGAGACGGAGAAAAAGACATGGCGACTCTCTTTTGATTTGTGCCGAGAAGGGGGGGGGATCCGGCAGATCCGGAGGGGTGTGAGGACCCGGCTCTGCCGGCGTAAGAGCCGCCAAAACCCCGGGTGAGAAATACGCACGGCGCTGAAGCGTTGAGGGAAAAAATAATGGCGGAGAGATTTTTACTTTCCAATAAATACATAAATAAATAAAATAAGATAAAAAGAGAAAGTTGGTTTGTGCCGAAAGGGGAAAGGCGAAGGGGATGGAGTCGAGGGCGTTGAGCGCGCCCTCGGTATTGAGCAGAGAGTTTTGTTTCGGCAATATGGAGCTTCGGAGGGGGCGCGGGAGGGTAACCGAGAGCCGAATCCGCGATCTGGACTGGGGTGTGTTTTTTTCTTTTTCGAAATACCAAGAAAGCTCCGAGCTGCTGACAATGGAGAGCATGGCGATTGGGGGCGAGACATTTTGGCCGGAACGGGAGAGCTCGAGAGTTCTTTTATGGGGAAAGACAATGGGAGCTTCTGTTTTTTGAATGGGCGATGGAAAGCTGCATGGTGTTTGAAACAGGCAAGTGAATGCAAGTTTTGTCTCAGTATATCCGTAGCCTTGGAATGCATTGGCAGAAAGGACTGGAAGCAGGGCAGGGCACGAGGGCCGAAGTTCGGAATACGGGATGCAGATTGCATGCATTGCCCGGTTTGGTGATGGTTGGTTTTTGGAGGTGCAGATGGGAATTGCGCCCGGAGCTAGCCGCGCAAATTTTCAAAGGGCTAAGCAAGGGGTCAAGGTTATTATTGTAGCATTATGTGATTCTTTTTTATTTCTGTTGGCTCTTATGCAAGCAATTTGTAACCGGAAGATGAGGTTGTTGCCGGTGTAAGTACCCAAGGTAGTTGACTTGGAGCTGTGTAATGCCCATCCGATCCGATAGACGGATGTGAGGCGGTGCAACGTCAGATGGGCATCAGGCTTGACATGATATGGTGCATGAGGCATGACACAGTTGAAAGGATACAGGATATACAGGATAATACCTGACACACGAGACGCGCCCAATTGCATCGTCGAGAAAATGCGCGGAAAATGCAGCTCCTGGTCGGGTTCGTTGGACGCGCAAATCCTTGCGCCTTCTGGCCCAAGCAGCGACCAGGGTGCCGGGACTGGTGACGTCGATCATGATGGCTTCATTGTTATTTTTAATTTTTTTTTTCTCTCACTCTTCATCTTCCTTTGTTTTGGGAATTGACGCCGCTAGCGGTTTGAAATAGATTGCATTGCATTGCTGCATTCTGCCAAGGCAACGAGACATTGATGGATGGGTGTGGAAGCTGTCTATGGTCTTTTGGGGGAGCATCGAGAATACGAGCGTATACGGCATATTGCTGGATTACGAGTACAACATCAAATGCCCATTAACCCCTGTGTAATTCCCTGATGGGGCTTGAAGCTCCCGCAACGGGCATCTTCTCCTCAAATGGCACCGCAATGGCAACATCTAATGGAAATAAAGCGAGCGGTTATCTGTCATCTCTGCTGCGCTGCACTGTAATCCAACAGGCGAATCCATTTGATCCGTGCCTCCTGTCGTGACATCACCAGCCCTATGCTCCTCTCCTCCCGTTACTGCCCCAATTGTACTAACCACCCCCCTAGCCGCTGTAGACTCCCCTAGCAAGCCTAGCTCCAGCGCCATCGCTTCTCCCTACAGCCCCCCTACAGCCCTCTACAGCCCTCTATAGCCCACTGCCAACTCCCACTGGGCGCCCCCCCAAAACCGAGCCTAATCCGCCCGCTCGCATCAGCCCCGGAAATGACTGCCGAGCGATCCCAAACAGGCATCAAGCGAGGGGCTAGGGCTGCCACGCTAAGCCCGGCTGGGCAGGGCAACGCCGCAAATCAAGGCCGGGCCAGGAAAAAAAGACGAGCGAGTGACGCATTACGTAGCCGACCGTTTGATTACAGTATTACAGCAAAACATAAACCAGAGAAAAGACACCACAGCCCTGCTAAAGACTATAATGTCAGCGTTGCTACTTTTGCCGCTGCCACCGGACCTGCCTCGCTCGATTCTCTCTCTCTTAACCCCTTTAACCTTTGGGGCTATTCCGTTGCGAGCTGGTTTAAAGACTCGCCGCTTTTCTGGGGTTTTTGGTCTTTGTGCAGTTTAGCAGCCTCGGCGTTGCGTCTTGTTCTTGTTCTTATTCTTGTTCCTTAAGTTCTTCTCCCCCATCACATCACCTCACCTCACCTCATTCTTACTTCTCTCCTCCTCTCGTCTCCTCCAATCCATTCCTCCCTCCCGCTGGACACGAAGCAGACGACACGAGCATCGCCATTCTGCATTCCACGACCGCAGACGAAAAAACAAAAAAAGAAAACAGACAAAGACACGCCCTCAATTGCTTTGCTCGACCCATTCATGACATCGTCGCGATCCATCCATCGGTCCATCCGTCCTTTGTCCAGCGCCGTTCGCCTAGCATCGCATCGCATAGAGCTGCGTCTCGCCTAACACTTGCTCCATTCGAGGTACGACAACTCGGCAGCGATCAGCAGGTTTTTTTTTGTCTGCCTGCATCCTCTTCCGATTCCTCTAGTTTCCCGTTTTCGCCCAGGCTCCAACATTCTGTAGGTGAGTCCGGCTCTGCTGTGCTTTTCCATTGGCTCCCCAGCTTGGCATATGCCTCTGCGTTGGCGTATCACGGCTTCGATACACGCTGGCGATGCAATTTTTTCCCATCTGCGTCCTGTTTCTGTTTCTTCACTGCAAGCCACAGCGGGCTCCTGCAAGCGCTGTGCAGCACCTCCACCGGCTTCTGGCCTCCATCACCTATCATTATGCTATTCGCTTCGCAACCCTGTTTCTCTGAGGCGAGTGCCTGAGCGTGCCATTGAAACCCTTGGACGAGACGCCATTGGGCCTGTTGGTGGAGTTATCGTGCAGCTCTCACTGAGCTCCGGTGGGGATGCGAGCTGCCCAACCGTCAACGTCACCACCCATCGACGTGTCCAGCCTGCATTTGTGGATGCCTCGTGCAGGCTTCATGATTCTGCTCTGGACTCTCAAAGGCCTGCTCGCCAGGCTCCATCTGCAGCGTTCTGGTTCCTTTGGGTCGACATCTGACTATCTTATCGCCGCCGTCCGTCTCGCCTCACATAATCACGAGGAGGGAGAGGAGACGGGAGGAGAAAAGCTCGTCTCGCTGCCCAATGACAACACAATTCAATTTTTTCTTGCCATCTTCACTCGTTTGTTTCTCGTCGACTCACTTGCCGTCTCATTGCCCCTCTTATCTTCAGTCTGACCAGCCCGTCTTTTTCCCATTCGTCTGGCTTTTTCGCAAGTGCCCTGAATCTAGACACAAAAGCACTCTAGTCCTGCTGGCCTCGAGATCGACACATTTTGCCCTCTTTGTTTTGCTGCCAACTAAGCACCAGCTATCCTTCTATTCCCCCTTCCTTTCCCCTACTTACTCAAACCACCCCCGCTGCATTAAGCTCTTACGATCCCGTCTCTCTCCTCTTTTTTGTCAGCCCTGCATAGGCTCAGGTTGCCCTCTTTGCTTGTTATTCACCGCCGCATATCAGATTGTGCTCTCGCCCAGTCTGGCCTCCACCAGCACTGCTTCGGCAGTTGATAATGGCGGTCTGAGTGGCTTGTCTGGCTGCCCTTAGCTAGCAGACGAGAATATCCCCAGCCTTTGCCTATCCCGAGAAAGCCCCTCCACCCCCTCCCCCAGATTATCCCTTCCCGAGCAAACATGCCAGCTGGAGCTGCAGTGCAGCCACCAACCTCGCGAGCCCATCGACGGGAGTCATATCGTAGCAATAACCTCAATGCCGGCGAGAACCAACGGACTAATGACAACATGCCAGCTTCTCGAGAGTCTGACTCTCGCCATCGCAGACGCCGCCGAAGAGACGACTGGGTCCGCACCAGCAACGAGAACATCTTGTACCGTCTGGACGCCCCTGTCGCCGACGCTTCCGCCGCTGCCGTCCCTGTCACTGCCGCAGAGGATTCGGCTGACCCCGTCTCGCACTCCCCAACGCCCCTCATTGGGCCCCGAAGGACGCGGCCTCACTCCATCCACGTCGTCAGCTATCCCTCGGGCTACGTGCCTCGTGAGCTTCGGACCAGAACCTCCCCTCGCTCGTCTAGGGCGCGCATCGAATCTGGCTCCAGTCCCGCTCCTAGCACTCCGAGGTCATCGAGGCTTACATCTGTAACCCACCCCAGCAACAGGACTGAACTGCCCGTCCGCTTGGCCTTGACTCGATTGTTCCAGTCATTGGCGAGCAACTCCGTGTCCTCAGTCGACGTTCCGCAGCACAACGCATTTCCTGTTGGTATCCAGATCCAGACTGTTCCGGTTACCGAACACCGTTCTGAGTCGACATCTCGCCGTAGTAGCCGAGCCAGTCATCCTCGTAGCAACCACTCTCACCATTCTCACGAGACAACCTCCTCATCGTCTCGCAGAACCCGGGAGCCAAAGCAGCAACAGAATTCATCTTCATCCGCCAGAGACCGTGACACTACTCACAAACGAGAACATCGAGCCCGTCGTGACCATCGCGAACAACCGCGGGACAAAACACGGCACAGAGCAGCTTCTAGGTCCTCCAGGTCGAGGCATAGGCATCGCGCCAGAAGCAACAGCCGTAGCCGTCACACCAGTCGCCAACCGGGTCAGCAGACAACCCGTCCCCGTCGCTCTTCTCAACAACGCCGCTACCCTCCCAATAGCATGGCTACCGCTAGAGCCGCGGTGCCCTTGAGCGCATATCAGCTCGGTCACCACAACAGCTTCACATCCATCCGCAGCTCCAAGTCGAGCGTAAACGCCGTCGTCACCGAGGTGATTAAGCCTGTCGCTACCGGCAGCGGAGTCTCCTGCTCCATTCTCCTTGCCGAACCCAACCTCTTCCTTTCGGGCTTCGACCACAATGGCCATGAGCGCCGAGAAGCCCGCGCCGGCACTGCCCTCCTAAGAGGCAAGATGCAACTGACTATTAGTAAGAATGTCAAGATCAAGGCTGTCCAGCTAAAACTGGTTGGCCGCGCACGCACAGAGTGGCCCGAGGGCATCCCACCGCTCAAGCAAGACCTGTTCGAAGAGGAAAGCCTGCGAACCCAGGTCCTGACTTTCTTCAACGCCCTAAACGAAGGATGGGAGACTGAGTACGGTAACCAGTGTACCTACAAGCTCAAGGGCGGCTCCGCAAACTCAAGTAGCACCGGCCTGGCGTCATCACCAGGTGTTTCACCGGCAGCTTCAATGCGAAACAACCTAACGGCCAAGGAGCTCAAGCGACTCTCTCTTCAAAATGTCCAGTCTCGCAGCTTCGGCAAGGGCGATACCGGAGTGGTGACTCAAACCCAGGCCAAGGGATTCAAGGTCTTTTACCCCGGCGTCTACGACTATTCCTTTGAGCTTCCCATCGATCACCACCAGCTTGAGACCACCAAGCTACAGTATGCTTCAGTCAAGTGGGAGCTTCACGCCACCGTTGACCGTGCCGGTGCTTTCAAGCCCAACCTCCATGGTGTCAAGGAAGTCCCCATCATCCGACTGCCTGACCAAATGTCGCTCGAGATGTCTGAGCCCATTTCCATTAGTCGCCAGTGGGAAGACCAGCTACACTACGACATTATGGTTTCGGGAAAGAGCTTTCCCATTGGAGCCAAGATCCCGATTGCGTTCAAACTCACCCCCTTGGCCAAGGTGCAAGTTCACAAGCTCAAGGTCTACATCACCGAGTCGGTCGAGTACTGGACCAGCGACAAGCGTGTGACACGAAAGGACCCCGGCCGAAAGATTCTTCTCCTCGAGAAGACGGCAGGAAAGGAGCTCGACCCCGCATGGGCCACCTCCGAGGTTGTTACGCTTCGCGGTGGTGAGCTCACAGAAGAGCAGCGCCGTGTTGCTCGTGACACCGCCACTAGGAGGCGAGCCCACGATGCCGCAAGGCGGAAGCAGGCTCCGGAACCACTGCCAGCGCCGGTGGATAATCTCCTCGGCGACTTGGACCTGGGCCTTGAGAGCATGTGGGGCTCCACCGAGATTGAGGCCAGCGTCCAGATTCCGACGTGCGAGATGATGGCCAAGAACAAGTCTCTCAGACTACACCCCGATTGCAGTTGGAAGAATGTCAATGTCTTCCACTGGATCAAGGTAAGCTTTTCTCCATTCATTCCTACAGAGAAGAACTTTTTGTACTAATTCCTCTCAACTAGGTGGTTATGCGAATCAGCCGCTTGGATACCGATGATCCTTCAGGCACTAAGCGCCGTCATTTCGAGATTAGCATCGACTCTCCTCTCAGCATCCTCAACTGCCGCGCTACTAGGGCAAACACATCTCTCCCCGCCTATACCGGTGAGATTAACCGACCGTCTCCGTATCAGTCGGCTTGCGGCTGCCCCGATTCGGCGACAATTGCCATGGAGACATCTCCCAGCTCCTCAACCGGCACTCTTCCAGACCCCGAGGTACTGGCCGACAGCATGCCTGCCCCACCTCAAGCTGTTCATCTACACTCTGGAGCTCCATCAGCAGGCCAAGCCGCCCCTGGTCGACAGAGTCCAACAACCTGGTCACCCGAACTACCGGGCCGGCCCATTCATTTGTTACGAGCACCCAGTTTCAATCCTCCCGCCTTTGATGATGATACGGCGCCACCTCCGGCAAGCACCATTGTCGTCGACGGCACTCCTGCCAATATCCCTCAGATCATGACCCCGCCTCCGCAGTATGACGCCGTCGTCGGCACACCCAGTGTTGATGGCCTCGCCGACTACTTTACCCGGTTGGCAGAGTATGGGCTTGGTGATGACCATGAGGGCTCTGGATCAGACGGTGACGAGTCACCTACTCGAATCTTGGATCGAAGTGGCCGTGTCAACGTGGCACACCCTCGAACTCCCGGTGGCAGGAGGATGCCCAGCCGAAGCATGGAAATCTCCAGACCACCTATTGACCTCAACATCAGTGCTTTACTTCAACGTTCCAACTACTCACGCGAAGAAGCGCACGTGTAAAGTTTTCATCAAACCCTGATTTATTTTCTCTTTTTTACAATATTTATTCACTTTCGCTTTCGACCAAACGTCGAAGCAAGCTATGTAAATGCATCTGGTGTCATAGACGGTTTATCGGGTATCGCCCCCTCTTTTTTTTTTTTTTTTTACCTATTATTATTGGATAAAGGGATATTTTGCACATGGAGAACGGCCATCTGTGAGGGTATTTATGGAATTGGCGTTTATGGACGGGATGAAAGACGCATCCGAGAGATGTATTAAGCATACCCTGGGCTCGAAATATGATGGTTTGAACGTGTGTATGGGCAATGATGTGGATATTAGAAGTTATTATTTATAGTGTTTTTAGTAATGATGCGTTATTGTGCGCTTGATCTTACTTGAGTCCTATTCGTTTGCTATTTGTGCTTGACTACTCAGCAATGGTGAGTATACCATCATTAACGTCAAGAATTATGAAGCATAGGTACTTTAATTTGTCTGATAGGAGAATAATGCATCAGCTAGCTGGGAGGTGTAATCCCCCTTCTTTTAGGCATCCAACCCATTTCTCCACATCATCTCACTCGCCCAAAAGTCCTCAAAGCTCCGGTTCTAAACCTTTCATCTCACATCATGAATCTCCTAGGCAAATATCTGCTTCACAAGCATTTAGTCTACTTATCCTGCAGTACTGGTATTTCACGTTCCAAAGCGAGGTTGCTGCCTGGTATACCACATGTAAGCAAGCACCTCTCAATCCACATTCTGCCTAACAATATATGAATTTCCTCCATCTCAGCAGCACGCCTTGACAAACTATTATATAAATCCCCAATTCCAATCAAACCACAACACCCTGAAAGACATCCACACCCATATCCATGCTCGCACCTATACACAATCCTCACTCTCCCCAAAAATGCCCTCACCAACCTTCCAGCTCTGGGAATTCACCCTCCTAAACAGCTGCGACATGCACTACCTCGTCCTCCTCCAACTCACAAACAATGACACCTCCCTCGCCAACTTGAAGCGAAACCTTTACAACGCAATCTCCTCCGACGAAATCATTATTCATCCGCGTGTATACACGCAACAAGACGTCATCAACATTCAGACATCTGCAATTGATTTACTAAGACGCTTCGAAAGCACAAACGACTGTGTGGATCTCATCGTTGCGAGCGGGACGCTGGATGTGAAGATTGCGGAACACGAGTCGCGAAGTGAAGAGGAGGAGTGGTTTGAGAGCGTGTTTGAGAGCTGTAAGTTTCCGAAGTGGGAGAATCTCGGTGGGAGAGTGGTTAGTTTGTTTGAGGAGGAGTATCGGCCTGAGGAGCTGGAAGGGTTGGTAGGATCTGTTGGGGGAGAGGATGTTGATGGGGAGAGGAGCTGAGACGTGGAAGCGGTGTCCTTTCTTTTGTCTTGCTTGGGGGTCACGCAAAGTAAATTATGCTCTGTAGTGTTGAATCAAAGTAATATTTCGATTTTGTATACCATTCTCATTCTGGTATCAATTACAGACTAAGCTACCGTAATATAAAAGGTAGGAATTTCCCTTGAATTGAAAACATCATCATTATTAGCAGGTAGTTGTTTCTATCCATATCGCCAGCCCAACTCCATCGCTCAACCCAAAATATTAAAGCCCCCAATCTTCAATATCACTGCCCTCACCATCGCCCTCTTCCGCCTTCTCTACCCTCTTCTCTTCGAATAACTTGATGACTCCACGCAATTTCCTTGCAACAGCAATGTCAATGGCCGTCCTCAGCTCAGCATCCTCTCTACGCGGATCAACACCAAGCTCCATCAACTTCTTAAACGCCCCCTCGAGATCTTCGCTCTGATCCCAATTCGAGCTAACATCTGGCAGTTCGCGCATCGCTGTTGCATGCAGCAGTGTCTGCCCCCGTGCGTCCACGGCCATCAAATCAGCACCTAGATCGATAAAGACGTCCAAGGCCGTCGCGTGCGTCACATCATGGGCAATGGCGTATCTCGGATGCGAGACGGCTCGCGTTGGGTCGCGTGTGCCTTCCCACCCAGCACCCAAGAAAACCATGACTGGAGTCTCGCCCAAGTCGTTCCGGGCATTGATGTCGAGACTGGCGGAAAACTGGCGAAAGAGTGCGGTGGCTTCGGCAGCCCTTCCGGCGTGGCCTACTAGACGCAGTGCGAGCTGGTGTAGAGTTGAGTTCCCCGTTATGGGATCCGGCTCATTTATATTGGAGCCTGCGGATATGAGGTGCTCGATTGCAAATAGGGATTCCTGGAGGCTACCAGCATACGCCGCCAGTGCCAAGTGGAGAGGCTTGCGGCCTTGCTTGTCGGCTATGTTGATAGCAGCTGGACCGTGTTCAACCAGAGCAATAAGAGCCTGTCGCTGCTGCTCATCATATTTCCCAGGAAGCGCGCTGACCCAATGCAGCGCTGTACGTCCTTCGTCATCGACGGCGAGGACGTCAGCCCCGTGCTTTAACAAACTGAGGATGGAACCCGTCACGATACTCGGGGTTGGTACTTTCCATCCGCGATACTTGTATTGTGGCTCTGGAGGAACATACGAGACGCAAGCCGAGATTAAAATGGTGCGTCCATTCTGGCCCTTACAGTTGATATCCTTTTGTGATAGTCGAGGGAGGAGGTACTCTATTTCACCCTGGTCCTCCACAATACACTGGAGCAAAGATCTTCCATCTGGGTACAGTGCAGATGGATCAGCGCCGTGCAAGAGCAACAGCTCTATCGTTGCCTGCTTTCGTGAATGACTATCTGGCAGTGGATGATCCTTGGTTGACGGTCGACATGCCTCGTGGAGCGCATAACGTACGATTCCTAGCTCATGATTGTTGCCCTCTCTCTCCGTCCAAGGTACTGGTAGCTCGTTCGGATCCAATCCAGCTTCCAACAGCACCTTGATCACCTCTACATCGCTCTCTTTCGCCACCATACGGGCGATGAGACCCGGTACGCACTTGGCATCCGCTCCGTTCTCGAGCAAGAGTCTCGTGATCCCTGCCTGGTCCGACATCTCCAATGCCGAGAGTTTAGGGATGGACCGACCATACGAGTCCTCCTCCCGCGCAGTAATCGCATTGACATTGGCCCCATGCTTCAGTAGTACGCGTACCGTCTCTTCTCGCCAATAACCATCCGGGTCTGCATGGCTTAGAGCCGCCAGCAACGGTGTCATGCCGTCCTTGTTCAGCGCTTCGATATTCGCCCCTTTCGAGAGAAGGTATTCGAGCGCCTCGATCTGCCAGAACTGAGAACCACTCGCAAGGATGTGCAGTGCGGTGGCTCCTCGCAACTTGTAAGAGTATCCATATCGGTTATAGACAGCATTGACATCAACGCCCATCTTGTCGACGAGCATCTGTATAATGTTCAAAGATGGGAGGCTCCGATTACAGGCTGTGCCGAGAAGCGTGGCACAGCTTTTCTCGTCTGTCTGAACCCAATCCTGGCCTTCAAAAACGGTCACTTTGTCGGCAAAGTACTCCAGCAGGTCTACATATCCTCCCTCGACGAGGAAATGCAGGAGAGTATCTTTCGTATACCCGGCATCCACAGACGCGGCATATTCAGACCCTTCATCTTCAGACCCTTCATCCATAGACACATCATCTTCAAACCCTTCATCCATAGACACATCATCTTTAGACTCGCCCAATCTAAGCACGTCACCGCCCATCAATGCATACTCTTTAATACTGTCGTAATCCCCGTCATGGAGAGCACGCTTCAAGAGGTCCAGTACGGTAGTTCCAACCTCCCCGCCAGCCTCTATATCCAATATGGTCTGTCCGCCAGCTATGTATAGCTTTTCTTCGCTGAGAGGAGGATCTGCTTCATGAGGAGTTGCCCATCGCCCTCGCCACATGCCACCATGATGCTTATCAGGCAATGTAGTCGAGATAGTACGGGCTTTTTCGGCTGCTTTGTGTTTATCCGTAGCCAAGATGAACTCCGGGGAATCTATGTAGTTGTCCCGGGCTTTGACGCCACGTGTAACCAGCGCGCGCACCATATCCCAGCACTTCTTCTCTACCGCCAGATCCAGGGGGGTTACAGTCCGGGTCCTCCCGTCTTCTTCTTCAACGACTGCCTCGACTGATAAATCGACTCCGGCTTGGTGCAACATGACGACAATATCTGCTGTGTGGGTTTTGTGCCAGTGTCGATCACCCAAAGGTTCAAATTCAGCCATGGCATGGAGCGGCATAAGGCCCTTCCTATCCAACAACAAAGGGTCTGCGCCATTGCGGAGTAGCTCCCAGACAGTCTCCGGCCGTCCAAAACGACAGGCATAATGTAGTGGTGCTCTGTCCTCGCCTAGAAGATTCACGTATTGCTCAAGCACACCTCGACGTTTGTACTCTGCCAGGAGGAGGCTGACAACGCAAGACTCCCCCGTACGGGAGGCGAGATGTAGCAGGGAGAGATCCCCCGCCGCGAGGATAGTTGGGTCAGCTCCAGCACGAAGAAGATTCGCTATAGCTGTTTCTCCAAGAGCTACAGCGTTGTGTAAGGGGGTAAGGCCGTTCACGTCCTGCTCGTTGATATTCAACCCTTTGAAAATAGGGCTTTTGAGCACATATTCCAGAACGTTCTCCATCTTCACCACATGCAGCGCCGTCTGGCCATTTCCATTTTTGGCAAGCGGCGCAACACCAGCTTCGATCAGAACTTGCAGTATTTCTGGGAGTTGAATGCCCTGGTCAGCCGAGCGAAGAACCATGTGAATGAGTGTGTCCCCTCCAGCGCCGGGCACTTTGGGCTTTGCGCCTACCGATATCAAATAGCGGAACCACTCTGCTTTCTTCATATCCTTCGCCGCAGCGTGCAACAGTGTTCCACCATCTTTAGCGGACACACTGGGGTCAGCGCCCAGACGGATGAACATTCGTACGACATCGAGGTTCTGTTTGAACCTCGAGAGGAGGACCCATAGAATTGTCTCGCCTTTCTCCCCGTCGCATTCGTTTATATCCATGCCCGCTTCGATAAGCATTCGGAGAATCTCTTCGTCACTGTCAGTAAGAGGAGGCAGCGCATATTTGCGTTCGTTATATTTCCACAGAGGCGGGTGGCCCGCGAGGTTCCGCCGATTCAGGTCCACGCGAGAGTCTAATAGATGCCGAATAAAGGGGGAAAACTCCTTTTTGGAGAAGAATTCGATGCTCTGCATAATGTGATGGAAAAAATTCTCTCCGTTCTTGTCCGTAGTGTGTACATCAGCCCCGAGATCCAAGAGCTTTTGGAATGTACGGACGTCCGGTTTAAGGTTGTCATGTCTAGACCAAAAGGCCATCTTGACTACGATTTCAAGCAAAGGCGTTCTTCCCTTGTTATTCATGGCATCGATATCTGCTCCATATTCAACAAGCACATCAAGCACCCCGGGTGTCTCTGGGTTAGCGATATGCAAAGCTGTGTCTCCCGTGTCTGTCCTGGCATTAGGGTCTGCGCCTGCTGCGAGGAGCGCTTTGGCGGCAATCTCTTCAGACTTGTCCAATGAACCCCAGTATCCAATCGTTGCGCCAGTCTTCTGCACAGCGAGATGTAGAGGCGTCAAGTTCTTGCCACAGAAAGAATATTCAGGATCCATTCTGGCATTCACATCTGCACCGGCTTCTATGAGCGCTCGGACACACTCTTCCGCCTTCTTCGCACCTTCACTCATAAAGATGCGCCTATCATCAGGAGAGGAAAACCCATGGAGAGGTGTTGGTCCTCGTTCAGTGTCAGCTTGCAGAGTGATCTTGTCGTTGTAGAATCGGTTTCGAGTGCATCTCTTGTTCGGGTCTGCGCCATGCTTGAGGAGTAACCTGATCATATCCGGATCGTGGGCCTTGGCTGCCCTATACAGCCTTGTTTTGCCGTCCCGGAAGCAGTCAATATCGACTTTGCCCGTGCTTAGAATGGTCTCTATGTTCTTCACGTCATTGGCCTGGTGGAAAAATTTATTCATCTCAGCTGGTGGAACGAAGGGCATGAATGCCTGGACAACCTGGGGATTGTCGCCCCGAAACGCATAAGTCAAGGCAGTCTCTCTCATGCTCTCGGCTTGCTCCTTTGAATAGTGCCTCCAGTATTCATCATATCGATCATATACCTTGCGGAGTGGAAGTGTTTTAATCATTGGGTCAACACCAGCAGCTAATAAAGGTCGAACAATTCCCGAATGCCCCTTTAATGCTGCCCAGTGTAGAGGCGTTCGACCATCTTTGCCGCCCGACTCTGCATCTGCCCCTTTAGCAAGCAGAAACTGGGCAATGTCATCATGACCATGCTCAGCGGCGTAGGACAGTGGCGTACGGCCATCTGCATCACGAGTGTCAAGGAGTGTTGGCTCTTTCTCCTCAAAATGCTCGACTACCGCCAATGGCATGGCGAGGGGCGTTCGCATAGCAGTAGCAAGGTGGAAAACAGTAAAAGAGGCAGATAGTCGGTTACTCCAATTCATCAGTATCCACGTCTCAAACGCTGGCTCTCCGGGGCATAAATAGCGGGACAGAGCTTCTCGAGCAATAGTGAGCGGCCGCGCTGATGCGTTCTTGAGGTGAAAGGTGAGATTTTCAGCAGCGTAGGAGACCAGAGGATGTGAGATTCGCAAGTTAGTTACGATATCCCCTCTGCTTGCCCTCTCCTTGTTTGCCCAAGAATAATCTTCGTAGTTTACGTCTCTATTGTCATCAATGGTAACGTCGAAATGCGGACAACCGTTGAGATATTCCAACAATAGCGCCGATAGCATCTCATGTGAAGCTATGTCATCAAGCACAGGGAAAGCAGCTGCGTTTTCCTTTCTCGTGGCATCATGCAGAAACTCGGTAAATGAATGGTGGATGACGCTCACGCTTTCATCTTCCAGGAGTTCCAATAATCTCCCGCAACTCTGCCGCACCAGGTCTTTTCCTTGTCTGAGACTTATGTGTAGCATATTAGAAAGCAGCGATCCAAGCTCAATTAGTCGCAACGGTCGACTCGCATGCGTTACACACATGAGGACCTTGGCTTGTTGCTCCGTTGTGACTCCGCTCCGACGCGCATGCTCTTTTAACATGCCCTCGTATACTTCCTGGAGTGTTCGTGGAAGGCGATCTAGGCTGTCAGGCAGAGTCTCTTCAGTGATGTGCCCGTCCCGCAGGCCTTCAGCTAAATTATCTGCAATGAGTCTGGCTTGAAGAAAGAGTCCGTTCGCTCGTTCACAGATGGTCTGCTTCACCAGCTCATTTTTGTCATCGCTTAATGGAGGGTCCAGCGTGGCCATCCTGGCGTTAACATAACGAGCCACATCTGGGAAAAGCATGGCAGGGTCAAGCTTCAACCTCACTATTCCCGGGCTACTCAATGCCTGTTCAATCTTTGGCAGTGGCCTGCTCGTCATCATAACCCTAACTGTACTAGGTACAGCGGTGCCTAGCTCAACGAGACGATCAACCATGTCCTGGAAGTCCCCATCATCCATCTCATCTAAAGCGTCTACCACGCAGTACACATTCTTTGTGATACCCTTGGTAAGAGCCTCAACGAGAGCGGGCCAGACCAGGCGGCCTTCATTGCCGCTGATGGCATGGTCCTTCGATATAGTCGTCAAGGTGGTTACCAAGGTAGGGCAATGACGAAGCAGTTGCGCGGTAAAATCGCGCACAAGGTATTTGGCGCTGTGGTTCTTGTCGACGATCTGACGAAAGAAGAAGAAAAGAACAATATTGCCAGACTCTTGCAACTGGCGCACTGTACTAGCTGAAAAGACAGACTTTCCACTGCCAGCAACTCCCCGGACGTGGAGGCATGAGCCACCATCACGGTCATGACCAGAGTTGGAGCCGGTCTTGGCCCAAGCGCGAAAGACAGGCGATTTATGGATCCATCCGCCAGTTCCAGGTACATATGAGTGTAAGTGCTTCATGAACTCACTGCCCGGAGAGAGATAATCGGTTGGTTGGAGCCATTTCAGTAGGCTACGGATCCGTTCCTCGTGTGAGTCGTTTGGTTGTGGTGAAGGCGCGGGTACCGCATCTCGCTCTACAATTTCGAACGTCTGTTCCGGGTCAGAATCAACACCGGCCATGGTGATTCCTCCTCTCGAAACAGTGAGGAAGCGTAGAGTCGATAACTTGAAGCGCAAAACATGGCAGCAACAGCGACCGTTTTATCTCAGTGTTGTTATTTGTTGCATGACATGTGCGAGTGGAGCAGTCCCTCGGTCATTTCCTAATTTGGTCTCCTCCCCAGGTCTTTGTCCGTTGACTCATACGGCGATGCGAGGCAGCAATTGACATTCAAGTGTGTTGGTTACGGTCGGAAATGAGAAGGAAGATAGCGTTTCTACTGGCAGGTTTGACACTGTTGCAGGGACTTTGCGCATCGGTTAGGTTGAGAAATCCCCATGCGGCGTGGATACGAACTCGGACAAGGTCGTGTCTAAGGACGACAAGAGCATGTATTAGTTAGTAGGAGACTCCAAACAAAACGGGCATATATGCCTTTTTGACGACGGTACAGCATCGACGCAGTACTGTATAGCAATAAGCCAGTCCGTACTAGGAAGCTGAACCCCAACCTAGGCGGTGGGTGCCTGTTCCTGGTTCAAGGTGTTGGCCGTCGCCGTCGAAGCGACCAACAGCGCCGACAGTACCCGCTTCATTCGGCGAGAAGAATAGCACCCCGGATTCTGTTTGCAAAGAGAAGTAAACATAGACTTAGAGCTATCCGCCTTTATACAGCTCGACTTTATACTCCAGCTCGCTTTTCGGTCGTATTGTTGCATTCAGCTCTGACGACCCAGACAGGAGCGACATCCATATTGCGGTTACAGAACAGCATTTCAGCTTCCTCAAATCAAGATTAGCATGTTTCTGTAGAGGGCCAGGATGCAGTTTGTTCATCGGGCATCAAAAGTTGGTTCCGTCCTGGACAAAACGCAAGAACTCTTCCGAGAAAATGCCATCTTCATACCTGGTTTCTATAGTATTTGAGGTATGTATCAACATTGAACTCGTAGATGCTGATATTGAAAGAGAGAAGCGCGTCAATACTCCATTCTTTCCTGCTAAGAGTCATGGTTATTTGACGTTGCTTTGTCCATTTTGTAGAGACGCTGTCACAACATCAGAGCATCAACCGCATTCTTTAATCTCTCATAGCCTTGAGAATAATGGAAAGGCGAGAATCAACACCTCGTAGTAATGCCAGAGGCGGACTGGATTTTGACATGAATATCATGAACAAACCTCAAGTCTATGTCACATGGTAATGGCATGGGCTCACTTCAAAGGCATTCAAAAGCTGCTGGCAGTGACGTAACAAGTATGAAGCACAGAATGCATAGATATTAATCGAAGTAGACATCATCCATCACCCTCCCAAGTAAAACGGGAGAGGGCCCGTGCTTCTTGTCTGGCTTCGGTCCGAACGTAAATCACAGACTCGCCTGCTTAAGGAACCGGGTATATCGCGGTTTCTGAATTTTCCCATGCAAAATCATATAACGATTATCCTGTAAATCTCATTCTGTCCTGCGCCATTCGCCTTGGTTTTAACTGGCCTTATAGACTGTAATCGACGCCCCTATCTCGATGTAAGCGACTTTAAAGTGCTGCAGATGTTGTGAAACTCCCAAGCAAATACTGTTGATACTGTCGAAACACAAGCGTAGTCCGGTACAAGAACCAATAATACAAATCCGCGGAGACAATCGTGAGCCTCAACAATGCTTGGTTGTCTCGATAATCTCAAATTTCCATTGTCGTAGTCATCGCCCAACAGTGCAACCGAATGTCTGTGAAATCCGAGTATATGGGCCCTTGGTATTGGCGACTTGTATCCAATATAAATCTTGCCGCTCAGAGTAGCTCTATCCAGGAGCAGCTTCTTTCTTCCAGTAGTCGGGTGCCATGATTGCAAAGCCAAGTGCCTATGAATGGCCATCTCAAAGTACCAAATGCGTGGATGTGCTCTCTCTGGTAAAATAGAGCCTGCATCCCCAAGTCGAAATAACGTCTCATTAAGCCACGACTATGTGACACAGCGACCCAAGTGTGTAAGTCATCTCCGACGTGTATTGTCCATAAATTTTGCCGTTCACTGATTAAGATTATTATATAGTATAATTCCGATATATCGATTAATATGGCGAACGAAAGCAGAGTTGCGTAATACAAATATCGCCGTAGATACTGAGGGATAGTGCCGTGTTAGTTATCTATCAAATAGAAATCATGCAGCGTAACGTCGTCGATGAGGCTCCCGATGCCCAAAAATCTGCGTACAATACTGGAAATTATAGTCCGATTTGTGGACGTGGCGCCGGAACTTTGGTCCAGTCTTTACACAGACCAAACACTGTACGGCAGAACTTGCCGTACTCGACAAGCAGATCGAATTTCCTCCAGGAGCCCAAGGCATGATGGACAAGCCGAGCATCTGGATCCGTAATAGGCTTCGAGCCCATGTTTCCGTATGATCCGCGACCGGGGCTACAAAACGTGTCAGTCTCCACGATGGATAACAAGGCGCAAACACTATTTACCTAAAGCCTGTGATTGGCAAAATCAAAGCATCAGCCACGAGTTTTGATTTGCCCCCATCCTTGAGCCCTGTCAGGGCGTTCCATCTGAACCCAAAGTCACGCTCCAGCCACAGGAGAGTAGCCAATGTGACAGCTGCAGGGCCTGTGCGAGTGAGAGGGTCGGCCCTGTTAGGGTCATACGTTGTCGCATTCTTTTGGAGGTGGACTTCGGCACGAAGATTCTCCATGAACTGCCTCAGGGCTGGGTGGCCAGGGGCAGACGCCAGCGCCCATTGAGTAAGCTGGATCGGATACGTGTATCCCATCCGCCAATAGGTGTTTGTGTTTGGATCTGTGTCAGCCTCAAGCCCCCAGATAAGGTTAACGGGCTGTTTGCCATCAGCAGCAGCCTCCTCATCAGGTTTCTTGAAGCCATAGCTTTTGCCAGTGATATCATCAATCCACCGGGCAAGATCTGACGGGCCGACCCAATCCGCCGGGTGACGGAGAGGCTCCGTGTCAATATCGGCATACTGCGATGGGTTAGAGACAAAGGGGTATGGAAAATAGAGAGAGCATGGCCTGTGGCCTCGTAAGGAATTATACGTACAACGCCTCCAAAATACTGGCACGTTAGGACGCGGAAGATGTCTGCCTTCTCGACGGGGGTGAAAATGGAGTTGAAATCCTCGACAAACTCCTTTTCATACTTGTCCATGACCATGGCTATTCCTTCGTCGTCCCAGAAGAAGTATGCCATAGGCGCACTGTTGTCAGGAGACGTGGAATACTCGAGCCATTGCTCGACCCACGGGACAACATCAGGCTTCCATGTGTTGACCTTGGACGAAGCTCCGGTCTGGTGCATCAGTAGAGGAATGTTGGAAAAGGCAGCCTGCCGTTCGCGTGCGAGGAGGGCGGCCTTGGACGCCAGAATGGCAGCCTCGACAATGTTTTCCGGCGGCCTTTGATCATCGGCGAGCCAACCCGGAGGAATGAACCAAGCTTGGCGTTGATGTCAGCAGCAAACTCTCATCGAAAAGTTACCACTTTGTGGTTTTGAATTTGGCTCGGGTTGTGTCATGCCACCAGATCCGAACGCCACAAAGTTAACAACAGCTTACCTCCTCCAACTCCGTCGAACGAGTGAATGCGACTCCATACTAAAGGATACTGCTGCTCCAGCAGTCGGGCGTCAAACTGGGGAGTTTCTTTCCGTTGGCCGCCGGAGAAGAACAAGAGTGCTGCTGCAAAGGCCAGGGCGGACAGCAGCATCAGCCGCAGCCGACGGCGGAACAGACTGTGCGGGAGCAACATCTGGCTTATGGGATCAAATCAAATGACCTGAGACGCGCGGGCGTCTTCGTAAAGACGCTGTAACGCCGAGCACAGCAACTGGCGATACTACAATCAAGACTCACGGCACAGGCTCAAACGAGTTAGTCCCTGCGCGGGGGGATCCCGACAACTTGCAGTGCAGCGCTGCAAGCCGGAGCACGAGATACGACAGACAATTTAGACGATTGTCTCTTTTTTGACAGGTTTGACACGCGCACGCGCAGCTGTTCTGGAACCGGCGAGGCTCAGAGGGGTGCTTTGACCAAGGTCAGAGCACAAGCCATGAGCCAGACAAAAGGCCAAAATCCAACACGTCGCAGATTCTTACAGCAACCGCAAAGAAATCAAATCAGGGGCCGGCCAGACTGGTTCTCGGCCCTTCTCCGAGCTGGCAGGGGGGCTTCATTCGGCTACTGGGCGCAGGTAAGCCCTGGATCGGTGGCCCGAGACTGCGGCTGTCGTAATAGTTTGGGCGCCAACAGTGGCGCAGCGGAAGATGGAGAAAACGGGGCTGGCCTGCTGAAGAAGTTGCAGGGCAATTAGCCCATTTAGTAGTACGGAGTACGTAAAGATGATGAGCGAAAGAAATACAGTAAACCGCTCAAGTATTGTGTAGAGAGAGACACAGAGAGAGAGGCAGGGGAAGAGACGAGACAGAGAAGAATACTGTATAGCAAAGGGGTACCTGGTTGGTGCCTTCCCACCCGCGAGTCCAGAGCCTTCCTTCCCTGAGGCCTGGTCTGGGGGCGTGCGCGGGAAAGAGCCTGGATGGCACCTGCGCGATGCCATTTGCTGCGCGGGCTCGCCTAGTCCCGACCAGGCATCGATACGGCGACTAGCTCCTTCCCCGACGCAGGCCAAAAGTAGTGCTAAGGTAGTCGCTCCTGCCAAGTAGCGCGCAAGGCACTTTCTCCCTGCGTCCCGGCAGAGTCTCGACTTGCGAGTGACTTGTCTGCTTAGCTCCAGATTCAAAAAAGCTTGGCGCTGCAGATCCAAAAAGCTTAGCCATGCCATGTCTCCCGAGTCTCGATTGAGTACCCGGTACCTGCGGATTGCCTTTGCTCTTGTCACCTTTTTTCCTCCTCTCTGATTTGTAGGTTTGGGCTCGATCTCCGTCGGAATTAACCATTACACGTATTTCATCGACCACGCTGAGTCGCTGGGTCGCTGAGATGCCGCTTACCCATGGTGATGCTGCGGCTGGAAGGTTTGATTAATCTAAACTGAGGTCTGGTCTGAAGCAAGTTGAAGCAACAAGGGGAAAAAAAATATCTCAAGGCTCTATTAACGGGTATTACTGAAATACAATGACCAACTACATGTACATGGTGAAGCAAATGAAAAAGAAAAGAAACCCAAAAAGAAAAAGAAACCGCGGGAGACCCTTCTAGGCCCTACATAACCCTCGCGTAATAATGTTGTGTCCATTGCTTCTTTGTGCTGTGTTTCCGTTATACGAGTGATCGATCACCCATGCAATTACACCATACCCGCCGCAGCATTAATCTCCTCCTGGCTAACAGTGCCACTGTTACACCAACGCAGAAAAAGACAACTTGGTTGAGCCTGCGGCCCAGCGACGTGATGAATCTAGCGTCGTACGAGTGCCAGGATGAGCTACCCAAGTGCTCAAATATGGGGGTTGTCACCCGCCCGTTGAGGCTGTGCATCGGTCCGGGAAGGATCTTCAGGTTGCTTCGATCAGGTTGGGCGGCGTGAATGACCGAGGCATAGTGGCAGCCCGTGCTGAACATGACGGTCGCGTAGGGGAGGCCCAGCCAGTGCTTGTTGTAAGTCGCCAGGTTGTTGACAATGTCGCCGACGAAGCTATTGCGCCTGCTGGACATCATGAAGCCAACTGAGAAGCCAACAGGATGAGCCTCAGGCGCCACGAAGCTGAATCGTCGAAGAGGGCCGAGCGCGCGTCTGCACTTGAGGTCCATGTCCAGCACCACGCCGCCGTATTCATAGAGAAGCATGTAGCGAAGGGCGTCAATTCGCTCAACTGGGTACGTGTAACTGTCCCACATCTCCTTGAGGTCGGGGAACTTCTCCTCGACAAACTGAGCGGCAGTCTCGTCGGTCCACACGTGAGCCTCCCAGCCGGGGTGAATGTCGATACAGCTCTGCACGGTTTCCTTCCACTCTGTCCTCCATTGCGTGCCATGTCTGCCGAGGGCGATGTGATGTAGGACGGGCGGCACGAGGTCCTCATAAGGGGAGGCCGAGAGCTGGTTTATACTGTAGTTGGAAAATGTGACGTCGAAGCCATCTCGTTCTTGTGAGAGAAGGAAGCTTTCGCGATTGGCGGTCCAGTGGAGGGGGAGGGCGGCCAGCGTCCATGAGGTGTAGAGGAGATGGCGGAAGCAGAAGATGGCTGAGATGAAGCTCAGTATTGCTAGCCACAGAAAGGTTCGCGCTCTTCTTTCAAGTTTGTCGGTGGCAGGTCCGGAGTCGCGTTCTTTAATCATGATGTCCAATACTAGACAACTAACTTTGAGAGATGGAGAAGGAAGGGAAGGGGGAGAGAGACAAAAGGGATGAGCAGCTGGAGAGTGTCTTGGTCCCAGCAAAAAAAAAACGATGGTGAGCTTTTGTTGTTCTAGTTGTTGACAATAGGCCAAGAAAAGAGAGAATTAGAAGAATAGGAGCATTATTTGAACATTAAAGTTTAGTTGAACATGGTTCGTGTCAAAGCAGAGAGACGTGTGGGTACGAAAGGAGGGAGTGTTTTGGTTTTCAAACTGGAGTAGCGGCCTTGAACCTCAAGAGGAAAAGAGAGAGCCCTCGTAACATCATTACCAGATTTATCCTCCTAACCACACTCGGAGCGCTGTCTCGTACTTCCGTCTGTATTCTGACATAGCCCCCGTTCCACTCTTTGGATCTCAGTAGCGCGTCATTGGACAATGCACGCCTTGCAAAAAAGGAGCTGCATCCACATCCAAGACACCTTGTACGAAAGAGCTGGCGTGGATCGCTAACCGTACCCGTGATTACGGACCAAGGCTACGCCCCTCCACTCCCCTTTCCCTTGTCAATGCCAAGATCCATCTTGGGACGGCTACAAATTATTTCAGTGACGGTACTTGTTTACGGTTCTGTAGATCCAGAGAGCTGGATGAGAGAGGCGTTGAAAACATGACGCCAGTCTCAGCATGAGCTGCTTCACCAGTGCTTACGAACTAACTATGCAGTCTATATTTGTATACCCAGTCTTGCCAGGGGGATATACATGAACGTTTCTACTAATCAAGAAAATAATTTCGAAAGTAGCAAGATAATCAAGACCCTGTCGATGAGATGACCATGTACTTGTACACTGGTGAGATGGAGAGGTAGAGTGAGTCAGTGTCAGAAAGGAAAGTCTATGTATCCTTTTTTGACCCTGTGCGCCACGATATGCCCATTCATGGGATTGGTCCGTCAGAGTGACATGATGAAGCGACGCTAACCCCCATCGCTTATTGCCCATCAGCAGCTTAATTTGCCTCCCAAACGAGACGGCTCTCGCAATAATAACCAGCCATGCGCATGAAAACACTCGTTCGTTATTATAGGGCTGCCAAATAAGCCCTAGCAAGCGCGCGGTGCCAAAACCACGCAGCGAGTCCACGGCCAAGCCGCCAACATGTAAGGCCGTCGCAACAATTACACGTACCGACCCGGGACACGGGCCCTCTCTCTTCGTTCACGCAACATCATTGCCGGATTGGAGCTGGAGCTGTGCAGATTTCGGCAACTCGGCATGGGATGGTGGCGGTCTTGGCCGGAACGCGGGCTTGGCTCATGGAATGAGGCTCGGCACATACCTGGGACAGAGGGTCGTCGGTACGGTACTTCGTGGCTCGGCTGAATACACCTAAAATCCTACTCCAAATGAGGTGTTGCCAGTTTCGAAACCATGTGAAAAAAGACAACTCGTCTCAGGGTGGGGGCTGTGTACTGTAGTGTAGCACCAACTTCAGCCTTTAATTGCTGCTACTCCGTATACTATACAAGTACGAGGAGGCGTGAACAGAGCCTCAAAGAGGCTGGTAGTACTCATAAGGTACACACGTATTTTTCAACAGGGTTCATTTCAGATTAGCACGAAGCAGGTACGAATTCAATGGGTCAAGTACCCGGTGCCTTTTATTTCAACCTGCAATGTCATCACTGGTTGACAGGGATCAGGCGGGTCGAGTGAGCTAAATGCCTTGCCTTACCACTCAGAGTTCGTTTGGTCACAGCTACTAGTTTTGTTTTGCACGCACCTTGCGGTAGAATACCGGTGTGGCACGCCCCCTCGACAAATTGGCCTGTCTGAAATAGACCCTGGCTCTGTAACCCACAGCTTAGGATTGGACCAAAGCCGCAGTCAAGCTTTTGTGGCGGCGAGCCAACCGGTTCCAGAACGAATAAGCCGATGAGGCGGTGCCTGTTGGCTGTTTCCAGGTGCCAATGCCACGTCGTGCTGGTCGGTTTGGGCACAGTTTACTCATCAAGCTTACTCTTCAAACACGGAGCTGAACGCTTGGGCACTGCGTAGCCTGACAATTTGACATTTTCAACTCGCGTGTCCCGCTCTAAGCGGCCCAAGCAGTCTCTGTTTTTCCCTCGCTTTCTTTCCTCCGATCCCCTCGTGACTTTTATTGTGTTTTATTTTTGTCACAGCACGTGCTAGCCATGGCTCGCAAGATCCGCGATACCAAGGTCTTCAAGGCCTGCTATTGGTTTGTGGGCACCCGAAGCCGACGCCGCACCTTGCTTCGGGTAGCCCTCGTCATACTCATCGTCCCTCTCGTCTTACAATGGTTCCTCGCCTATATCGTTGGCAGTGATGCACGCCTGCTGCCACCGGAACTTCTACAGTCCAAGAACCTCTTGGTGGTGACGGCCCATCCCGACGATGAGTGCCTTTTCTTCTCGCCCACCATCTTGGGCATCCTCGATAGGAATCATGCTATCAATGGCGGATTGCTAGTGATGTCGACCGGTTAGTTTTTCCTCTTGGCTCCATTTTCCCCGCATTAGACGAGGCTATGCTAAGACAGTCGTCACCTCCGACGTGTGCAACTATCTAGGAAACAACTATGGCAAAGGCGAGACACGCAAGCAAGAGCTAAAAGGCTCATGTCATGCCTTAGGTATCAATCCTTCAAGATGTGAGGCAATGAATCACCCGAGCCTGCAAGACAATCCCAGGGTGTGGTGGGATACCAATTTGATTCAGGCCATCGTGAGGGAGTATGTCAAGAAGTGGGAGGTTGACGCCGTAAGATCCCTTTCCCCCGCTCTTTCACACGCTTGGTTCTACGTACTGTGGGAAGCTTACGTACGTTAACAAACTACATAGATCATTACCTTTGATGAAGGTGGTGTCTCTGGACACATCAACCACAGAGCTGTCAGTGCAGCCGTAAGGTACGTCATTCCCTTGCATTGTATCCTAAACGGTGTAACGCAATCCATTTACTAGATCTGCACTGACTCCTCACCGGTCTCATAGCGAGTATGTGTTGGGTGATAAAGATGCGCCTCCAGCATATAAACTTGTCACTACGGCAGTTCTCAGGAAATATACTTTCTTGTTTGATCTGCCGTTGACAGCCCTGTCATTCACCTGGCGAATCATCTGTGCGGCGTTTTACCCGTCCGCAAAGGGGAGCCCAGAGATTAGCTCAAAGGCTCTATTAGCCAATTCATGGCATCGTTATGTCATGACGCGCGGCGCCTTTGCGAGTCATGATAGCCAGTATTCATGGGATCGCCACTTGTATATGATCCTCAGCCGATATGTGTGGTTTAACGATCTCAAGAGAATACCAACTCAAATAGCATCATCATCATAATAGTAATTTGTCATAATAAAAGGTTTAGCTTGATCGCCGATCTAATCGCAGTGACAGGATGAAATACCGCAGCCAGTCACTAATACGAACAGGGTACATCAAGAGAACGGCAAGAGCTAGTATGAAGACGCTTAGCATCCAGAGTCAATTCGTTCATAGCAGCTTTCTGTCGGCCCCAGCAGGCATCACAGGCTTTCCTCTGTGGCGCAATTGGCTAGCGCGTCTGACTGTTAATCAGGAGGTTGGAAGTTCGAGCCTTCCCGGAGGAGACATTACCAGCTGTTTCTTTTTCTTTTTCTCTTTCTTTTTCTTCTTTTTGTCCAATTAACTGATTTTCCAAAGATTGGGTGTGCAGCAACAGCATCTCGTTGTCATGGGCCAACGCAAATGAAAGGTGCGATGTTGTCATCAGTTAGCTCGGCAATAGTTTGAAGCAGGATTCTCTTGGCGGTCTGCACGACCTATACTCGTGCAATGCAACCTTGATCCTTCACTCTGCTAAGCGCATCCCGGTTACTCTTATCTTGGTTCTTGGTTCTTGGTTCTTGGTTCTTGGTTCTAGATCTTCTTAGAGCCACTCCATCCCAAGAAGCGCGCCATGGGCGAGGCCTTGGTCAAATCCCCAGTAGAAATGTCTCTAGAAAACTCTTAAACTGACCGAGATTTCTTCTCTGCTGAGCTTGGACCTCTCCAGCGGAGCTCCCAGACCAAATACCGGCATTCAGGTGAAGAACTGCCAAGAGCAAAGCAGCTCCGGTCTAACATCTCCGGTCATGCATTAGCCAGTAGGGCTAGGCCCACCTTGAAAACAAAGAAAATGCTGAAGCTGAAGCTGAGAAAAAGGGCTGAATCTTGGTTTTTGGGCTGAAGCAAGGGTTCGCAGCAGCTAACAGAATACGATGGCGGGCTAAGTCATGGTTAAATGAGGGTTGTGGGTCTTGAATCAGCCCAACGGCGCTGGCCGTTGACAAACGTCGGAACCACTCCTACTTTGTTCTCTAGTCTTTAGGTCGGTTATTCTTGGAGTCTGGGGAGGGTCGGTAGACAATCGATCCAGACAAGGAGGTCGCACCATGTCAGTAAATATAGTATCCATATTGTACTACGGAGTAGACCGCACTAAATTTCAAGGCATACGGCAGACTAGGCAGGCTTTTTCCCGCACGCGTCTCCATCTGACCCCCAAACTGTCAGTGCACTTCTGGAGCGATTGCAGAAGAATTTGTGACAGATGCGGTATTGCCCCATATGCTGATGCCCCATAAGCGGTAACGTTTCGAGTAGTATAGTAATAAGCGGAGACCGCTTAGGAGTGAGATAAACATTTAGTCTCGAAAGTTGCATCTCAAAATATATAAGCTCTTGCTATAGGAGTTCGGCGTCCTACGAGACAAAAGGGGCTCCCTTGAGCCATGGTTTCTCAAAGTAGAAAGCCTAGCTGAAAGAGGAATACCAGGTGAGACTTTGTTGGGCTCTGTCTTTGGGTGTCAATGTCAACCCCTTGCAGTGATTGGCGAGTTACTATGCCGAGAGGCGGTGCCGAGCTGAGTTGGGGCGTCTCCTTATCAACTTGAGAAACTGCACGATACAATCTGACGATAGGGGCATGTGGGTATTTGTGAATTGATCAGCCTCACACCATCCATGGGGAACTTTCCAAATACGAAGATGTTTTGGAAATCTTAGTTGGAGACAACTTGCACAAGGTGCGAGTCAAGAACTTCTTCAATCAATGCAAACAACTTATTTGGATCAACAGTGGCTCTGGTCTTTGTTCAAAAGAACCGTGGCTTAGTTAACTAAGCCACCGAGTTAAGCTTGTAACGATAAGCGGATACAGCTGAAGGATAGCGGCGGAAATATGCCGCGCTTTGACGCGCTGCAAAGTACCTTCTTTGAGCTTAAATGCAGGGGGGGCGGCTATCACCTGCTAGGTACGGATATTCCTGGTGTAAAGCTGTACATAGAATTTGTAAATGCCCCAATTTGTACAAGTCTACAAGGTCTTTGGCACAGGGTCCTGGGTGTAGAACTTAAAGAATGATCTATCAGAGAACTCAGAAGTTGACTGCGATGTAAGTGAGCACTGACAGAGTTGGGCTGTATTTCGGGCACCAGGTCGGGCATCAGCATTAATGCATTTTATGCCCCTCTATAGTATAGTCGCCAAGTAAGTATAGTAATCACTTCTTGCACAATTATATCGTTGAGATTGTCGTTATTAAAAGGGCTGTCATGGTGAAACAAGTACTTTTGTTTAGAAGTGGGTAGACAAGATGTACCAGTACAAAGTCTAAGTGACACGGGTTACTGCATATGTAGATGAGCTGCATATTGTGATAACCAACATGAGTACTGCATAGAAAGCTCCATACTCTTTGTCAACTTTTCCAAAGGTGAAATATAACTTGGCGGCCTCCTGAGATGCTGATCATGGCTGATTTTGCTGAGAAGTAAGTATGTAGCCGCGGCCGAGCAATTATGGGGAATAGCCATGACTCAAATATGACAGTTCTAGCAATTTTTATGTAGGTTGAGGTATCTACAGCATAAGGGCCGGTTGTTTTCGACGTGTTTTCCAAATAAATTAAGAATTCGAAGCTGCCAGTGGTCAAAGTTACGCTTAGTGGTGTGTAATTCATGATCATTGTCACTTGCTCAGCACAATTTTGTCTTTTCAGGATAACAGGTCTTCCCAATATTAAAACATGAATAAAATTAACGCTGCCAGGACATCAACGAACAAAATTCCCGTGGTTCTCAAAACATTAGAATACCAGATATCAGGGGAAGAATTATGCAGTCTATGATGAATCAGTCTAAACAACTGCATGAAATGTACAACTTGCTTTCTCTTTTTGAGCCCGTTGGTTTCTTTCATCTATACGTTTCATATTAGACAGCCGTACGGTATATGCATACTGATACGTCTGCGATGAGCGGCTCTGCTTGGTTATGACCGAAATGTTGTTGCTAATGCGTCAAGATGCAGGTACCGGATGGGAGAAGTCTTGGTGGTTATTAATCTGAAGAAGCTTAGAAAGGTAGTTATAGGGAGCGCGATGGAGGTCTTGGACTTGTGTGAAGGGCATTCTGCCAGTATCAACTGAAGCACAATTAGCAAAATCAGAAACACAGGCCTTCATCAAATAGTCATATTGCGATTATTTATTGTATGAGAGTTTCATTAACAGGTACATAAAATCTTTAGGGTTGAAAAATGGATACGATTACGGAATACATAAACATATACGCGTATTGCTAATATTAATGACCCGATGCAGAATGCTACTCTACATGTGCCACGGGTCCATATGCTGACGTAGAGAGTGACCAATTTCGTCCCCCTATTGATGAAGTAACTTCCAAAGATAGCACTTGAAGTTTCCATAGTTGAGTAATTAAGTCGTAGGGATCGAGTAGGTCAGGAGAGTCACCTTAGTAGGGTAATATTATGACTTACAGTGCGAAGAATCTCATAGAGAGAAAGAAACTAGTTGAGAGAAGTGAATTGCTCGCTCGTGGAATTGGTAATAAAGGGACTGTTGGTTCATATGTCTGGCAGTTGTGATGCATTGATATACAGAATGCGTTGATGCTATGTTATTTCTGTATACCTCATGCACAAAACCATTCCCTCACGACATGCTGTCTACGCTTCAGTCTCCCGAATAAAAAAAAAAGTTGAGTAAATATATGGGATGCTTTAATTATTTTTTCTTTCCCTTTTCTTAAATAGTCCAAGTCTTTTGTTGTCAAGAAGGAACAGAAGAATGAAGGTATAGGTTAGCTAAACGAAAGACAGTTGACTCCATGCTGTGTGTCTGATGAAATGCATGCACAGCCACAGTCTCTAGCCACATAGCGGGGGGTTCGTGTGGCTTTACTGCTATCAGCCGATAAGAATTTTTTGGATGGATTTTTTTAGAGGGGCTCAAAAATTGTGCTGCAAAAAGATTCGCAGCTTCAATTTTGCGATTCCGCACAGAGCACAGATTCAAGGTGAGTGGACATGCGCATTGATTGATTCGTATGCGCATCTGACTGACATAGAAGCTTCATCAGGTGGTCTAGCGAAACTCTGCAAATTACGATAATCATGTCGAAGCGCACAGCAGACGATCATGGCGACCTGCGCCTCAAGGGTGGTGAGCGCCCCGAGCAGATGGATGTCGATATGGACAAGGACATGGGCGAGTTCGAGGACGAGTTCGAAGATGAATTCGAGAGCGAAGACGAAATCATCGAGGCTGGTGTAGATGGACGGCCAGATGCGGAGAGAGAGGCCGAGGAGAAAGAGCGTAAGTGTCCAACGGCATTGACACCCTTTGCGCATTGCGCTGGGCTGGGCTGGGCCATTCGAGAAGATTCAATTGGAGGTTGTAGCTGACGGAAATGTTTGATACAGATGCTATGGAAGTAGACCAGGGAACATTCATCGTCGGACGAAGCAAGCTCGAGCCTGGCCAGACACTGGCCCCGGATTTGACCACATACGAAATGTTGCACGGGCTCAACACGCCCTGGCCCTGCCTGTCCTTTGACATTGTCAAGGACTCCCTCGGCGACAACCGCAAGGCTTACCCTCATACCATGTACACCGTTACCGGAACACAGGCCGAGTCCTCAAAGGCTCACGAGAACGAGCTGCTGGTTGTCAAGTTCAGCGGCCTGAGCAAGATGGATCGCGGTGGCGACGACTCCGACTCTGAGGACGACGACGACGAGGATGCCGATCCCATCCTGGAGAGCAAGTCGATTCCTCTCAACTCATGCACCAACCGTATCCGCACGCACCAGATCCCCAACCAAGACCCTTCCAAGCCTCCCACGACGCTCACAGCCACCATGACTGAATCAGCACACGTCTTCATCCACGACGTCACCCCTCACCTCACCTCGTTCGATGTCCCCGGCACCGTCATCACGGCGCAGCAGAACAAGCCCATCTCTACCATCAGGGCACACAAGTCTGAGGGCTATGCCGTCGACTGGTCGCCTCTTGTCCCCGGCGGGAAGCTCCTCACTGGTGACAACGACGGCCTCATCTACATGACTACGCGCACTGACGGAGGCGGCTGGGTCACCGACAACAGACCGTTCCAGGGCCATACCAGCAGTGTGGAGGAGATCCAGTGGTCTCCCTCCGAGCAGTCCGTCTTCGCATCCGCCTCAAGCGACGGCACAATCCGCATCTGGGACGTCCGCTCCAAGTCGAGGAAACCCGCAATCACGGTCCAAGTCTCCGACTACGACGTCAACGTCATGTCGTGGTCAAGACATCAAACCAACCTGCTCGCCTCAGGAGCCGACGACGGAACCTGGGCCGTCTGGGACCTCAGACAATGGAAGGGCAACGCTAACAAGCCCCAGCCGCTGGCCAGCTTCAACTACCACAAGGAGCAAGTCTGCAGCATCGAGTGGCACCCGACGGACGACTCCATCGTCGCCCTGGCTTCCGCCGACAACACCGTCACGCTGTGGGATCTCGCCGTCGAGTTGGACGACGAGGAGAGCAAGGACACGGCTGGCGTCAAGGACGTGCCGCCCCAGCTGCTGTTCGTGCACTACCTCAGGGATGTCAGGGAGGTGCACTGGCACCCACAGATTCCAGGCAGCTTGATTGCAACGGGTGAGGAGTTTAGCGTGTTCCGGACCATTAGTGTCTGAGGAGGGAAAACAAAAGATATTTTCGGCCTTTTTCTTGTATATACCCGTTATGATTATGGGCATACTTCGCTGGTATAGAAAGTAGGAGTGTGCAATAGATGGATGAATTATGACATGCTACATGTGCTGTGCTGTATGTTTTTGATGAATGAAAGGACTGTGTTAGGACTAAAAAATGGTGAATCAGTCAAAGTGGAATCCAGACCCAAATCATTCTAAAGAAGAGTAAAAGTTCATTATATTGTCATTATTCGTACAAGCTACTTGAGGTCTTTTTCATTTGTTGTCGGCGAATCTGAGCCAGTTCCATCATGGCCACCCACCGGCACTCCCACCGTTGTAATCTCACCATCTTCTCCGGCAGCTCTAACTGGAGGACCGGTGAAATTCTTGCGCGCATACACAAAGTACCAGATAATAGCAATTGCCCCAAACCCAGCGAATACCACCGACGCATAGTTCATGGTTGTGGCATCAACCGGCAGCGAGACAGGCATGCAAAAGATGACGACGGAGAAGACGATCCAGACAATGCAGATGATGTTGATAATGGGGCCCATGATGTTACCGAGAGGGTAAGGCGAGTGGCGGACAGCTTTGCGGCGCTGGACAAGGTTGACGAGAACAGGAACACCATATGACGTAGAAAGGCAGATGGTGGCGACACCGGTGAAGGAGTTGAAGGCGGCAGAAGAGCCAAAGTAGATGCATCCAAGAATGCAGTCAACTACCGTGGATAGGACAAGAGCCCAGATGGGCACGTCCAAAGATTTGTTGACCTTGCGCCAAAGCTTATAGCCAGGAATGGCACCGTCTCGTGCAAAAGCGTATGTGCATCGTGAAGCAGCAGTGAGAGCACCGATGCCTGCAAACATTAGGATACCGAGAATGAGGAACAAAAGGCCAAAGCCACCGGCTGCGGAACCCGTGACGGTCTTGAAGAGCAGGCCAATTGGCTGAGAGTTTGCGACGGTGAGAAGCATTTGGACGTCGGGGAGGACAAAGAGGAGCGGGATGAGGTAGATGACGCCGGTAAAGCCAGCGGCAACGACCGAGAGGACAATGGCCTTGGGGACTTCGCGCTCGGGATTCTGCACTTCTTCGCACATGGCGGCAACCATGCCATAGCCAGTAAGGGTATAGGCAGCTATACGATGAAAAGAATAGATAATTAGCAAGATGAACTGGGTGTGAAAGAAACAGGGAATAGGTCGCAGCATGAGAGCATACCTTGGAGGAGTCCAACGAAGAAAGACCAGCCGGTTGGCCATCCGCTGCTCGAGGCATCATAGTGAGCAAAGACAAATTCGCCAGAACGTCGGTGGTCGGCCATTGTGAGCAGGGTGATCATAATGATTAGGACACTAGCAGCAGTCCAGTATATACAGATTTTGTTGATGAGATCCAAATAACGCGAACCGAAAGCATTGACCAGAGCGCATACCAGCATAACGGCCCAGAAGCACAAAACCGTCTGCCACGTATTTGCCACAAAGTCTTCGTTGAAAATGGAGATGGCGCTCAGAATCAGCTGCGCGCCGGAGAAATTGATGCTCAGGGTCACTGTCCAGTTGCCGACGAGGGTAAGCCATCCGTCCACGAAGCTGACCAGAGGCGCCCACTCGCGAGAACTCAGCATGGCAGACCAGTAGTAGACACCGCCGGCCGTGGGAAAGACGGCGCAGATTTCGGCGAGAGACGCGGCGATGCAGACGGAGATGAGCGAAACGAGTATCCAGCCCCAGAGAATGGTGACGGATTGGCCATTGGTGAGAGTAATGTACAGAGTGGTGCTGAGGCCAAAGGGAACGGCCATGATGGCGAACGAGAGGCCAAGGATGGACATCATGGAGAGATGACGGGGCAATTCGGCCTTGTAGCCCAGATTGGCGAGGGCCTGGTCGGCCGTCTGGGCGCCGCTCCCAACGGAAGAGCGGCGGCGGCGAGAATCCATGGCTGTTGAAGTTGTCGTCTATGTATGTGTAAGAGGCACGCGACGCCAATCGGTGGTTGTCGGTGAGGAATGCGTCCGAATTAATAGTGATGACGAGTCTAGTCTAGACAGGCGTCAATGTATCGTCGATATTAATGTCCAGCCAATTCCAGAGCCAAGCAAAGCAGAGAAATAAAGAAAAGAAAAAGAAGAGGAGAAAGGAAAATAAAAAGAGGAAGAAGAGACAAGCCGCAACTGGAGACATGACCAGGACCAGCAGATAAGAAGCTTGTCAGATGCCGTCTATCGATGGTTCGTCCGATGACGACGGCCGAGGCTCTCCCTGCTTCATGCGCCCTCCTGTCGCGTGCTAGCTGCTTAGCCTGGCCCTAGTCGTGGCATCATCTCGAACAAGTAACGGCCGTGCCGATGCTGCAAAAGCATTCGCTGGCTGACGATAAGCTTGTTTTGCCCTGCTGCTGGCTGGCGTCGAGGTAAGCGAGCGTTGATGTCTCAGATTCTCCATGTGGCATCTGCGAGGAATACTCGTGTGCTGTGCTCGATCTTCTTTGCATATACCACCATTGTTTCTCTACTGTATCTCATCCATCCAGGGCTGAAGCCAAGCGATGGTCCGAGTGCAATAGCACATGATAACGATGCTACACAAATCGGACCGCGCGAGTCAAGGATTGTGTCGGCCAGGGATCAGGACCCAGCATCAGCCAATCCTCAGCCCTCGCCGCTGTCGATTTGCGGGGAGACCGCGGCAACATGGCGAGATAAGCATCCTCTTTGGTCTTTGGGGGATGAAAGCCATGACTGGAGAATATTGGGCAAGCGACGCCTTTGATTCGATTGCTCTTCGAATGTCGCACGAGTCCCACATGGTGCGCGATAACGGCGTCTTCCCCAGATCTCGAGCAGCGCTAAGGATTGCTGTTATGTAAATCGTGTCGACTGACGTGCGGAGTTGCAGCACGTCAATTCTCAGCTGAAGGAAGTGGTTGCAGGTGAAATCATGAAGACTGTATTAATAGTCGTGATAGCTGACTAACAGATGATACTCAAGTAAAGCAAAGCAAGCACGCTGAGCAATTGCATCTGCCGTCTCTGGCTGCTGCTTACATCATTTCCTTGATTTATCCTGCCTTCTCCTCTCCTGTCCTCTCCTGTCCTCTCCTGTCCTCTCCTGTCCTCCTCCTCTTCCTTCTTGCTTTATCCCATATTTCATCTCTCTTTAACCTTTCCCATGTCTCCTTTCAATTCGCCATGAATCTATGACTTCTCACCGTTAGTTTTGCTGTGCCCATTCTCTCCGTTAACCTTCTTCTCCGGTTCCGGCGCCACAATCTCTCGCGACAGCTGCAGCACCTCTCCCATGCCCGCCAGTGCCTTTACATCCGCTGCCATGATGATGAAGGACATGCGTTCTGCAACCTTCTTGAAGGACTCTGGGCTGCCAAAGGGGGGAGTGCAGAAGGCAAAGCCGCCATAGGGCTTATCGTGCTTGTCCAGGACATCGAAGAACTTCTGGCGGGCTTCCACCCATTCAGGCTCGTTACCGCCCATGCCATAGTTGCTTGGCATGTTCATCTCTACACGAGCGTCAAGAGTTCCGAGCCACACCATGTCGATGTCGGGCACCTCGGTGAGGATGGCGTCCAGATTGTTAATGCCTGATGAAGAGTCAGCCAGAAGAACCATTTGATGAACGAATCTCGACATGGCGAGTCTCAAGTAGAGGGAAAAAAAAAAAGAAAAAGAAAAAAGAAGAAAACACACCTTCTAGGGACTCAATCTGGATCATAATGGCTGCCTGATCATTGAGCGCCTCAAAGATATCTCTGCCTGCCTGGAATGGCCTATCCGTAACACCAGGCATAAGTCTGAAAGGAGGTGCCGAACGGGTGCCATTTTGCTTGGATCCAAACTTGGCTGCCGATACTACATGCTTTGCTTGCTCAACAGTCTCGACCTGGTTTCACACGAGTCAGCTTTACCATCTCACAATGATCCTTGTGACACGCTTGGTTGTTGGCAACATACTTGGGGAATGACAAGACTCGCACCAGCATCCAGCGCATATCCAATCGATGCGTGGTCGTGTCCCGGCACTCTGACAAATGGAATCGTCCTGCCTTGACTCATGAAAATGGCCTCATGAACAATGGTCGTCATCGTCTCTACGTTCATACTGCTGTGCTCCCAGTCGACCCAGACAACATCAAAGTTCAGAGGTGCCAGCCAGCGCGTGATTTTAGTAGATCCAAGGCCACCATAGTATCCCAACAACGGAGGAATCTTCTTCTTGTGAGCATCTCGAATGGCCTGACGGGCGAGGTGAGGCTGGAAAAGAGAGGGCGCAGCATATGCGGCCATGCCTTGTGGTGAAGTCATTGTGACTGTTTATAAAAAGTGCGGAAATACTTCTTTGTGGTAAGTCGTCGGTTTAGATGGTATGCAAGCTATTACTAAAAGAGCAAGTGATAGATTGAATGGCTGATGAATAATGGGATCCAAAAGAACAGTTTACATTGCAGAGGCCACCGTCCCTTTTATAGTTGCAGTTGCATGACCTCAACTCCAATCAATTCTACTTACCACATGCTACGTGCTCCTTACTCCAACTAAGGCTTACCCCCTTGTGAGCTTATTACTTCAAGGAGGGTCAGCCAAGTACAGGTTCACAAGAAGGGGCGACACACCCCCCACACCCTCCCATCATTATTACTCCAAGGCTAATGGCTTAATAAAATGGCCTATTTTGGAATATTATCCGCGGATATTCAGAATTTACGTACTGATACAACAGCAAGTGAATTCTTTGTCTTAGGGAGATGCATACCAAGATGAGCGGACAAAGCTTTACTCTGTCCTCGAATCCCCCTGTATCCGGGAGAAAACACAGGGTTCTGCCACGCGACGTCGACATCTAGAAGCTATAGGTTTACGACACAGGTACACGACACAGGTCTTCATCAATTGGCCTCTTTCGGCGGAGTTAACGACAAATCCGTGATAGCATGAGTAGGGTACCTGTCTTGAGGCATGGAATTGTGATGGCAAGTGGACATCATATCGGTAGGAACGGGGTACGCCACAGCCTCCATGGTGGCTTCAGCCCACCACACCGCATGAATTGGGCGACAGACAGCTTCTAAACGATCCCCGTGCTTTCTTTAATTTAACACTGGCAGAACTGTATACTTGGCTCTACAGTTTACCTAACTCCTCCGAAGCCGATTATTGTTTGGTTCCGTTTACCTGGCAAGCTACCACAGAATAAGTGTCTATTATAAGAATCTACTGCAAGTCGGAAAAGCTCCTCAATTATTGCAAGTGACGACATATGCTCCGTATAGAATACAGCAGACACGAGCATGACAGATCATGAACCCCGAAAAGTCCGCGCTCACATTCACATCTCAGCCAGGCCAATCGGTGGCAATTACTCAATAGTAGCCGCTTATGCGTAATTTGCTAGATCCATGATATCGGGAATAGTGAGGACCATCTTTTTACCACCGCAGCCGGGGCAGTGTTGCATTCCGTCGATTTGCTGTAGCGTGTCTCACGTTGGATCGCGGAGAGCTTGTGTTAGGGCAGCAGCCCGTCTTGATTAGCGCGGCCCAGAAGATGTCAGTCTCATGGGACATTCGGCCTTTACACTTCTTGCGCCGTAGGGCTGAGGTGGGGTGACAAGAAGTATACGAGTATGTAGTAGATGGACGTTTCACTGATATGAATAGATGCTGGCGCATTACCGCCGTCTTCCTGCTGCAATAGGGAAGTGGCCGTTTTGACAATCTTGGCATGAAATGGAAATTTACCCGAAGAACAGCATACATTCAACCCTCTTGCTTGCTGGATTCTTCACCGAGTTTTAGCATGCCTCCTCGGTGCAAGGCATCGAAGCCTGAGATATTTAGCCTCTTCCTTCGTGCTGATATAGTTGAAAACACCCCATGGGGGTCCCTTTGTCAGGTCCTGATTCTCTCCCGTCAGAGCTAGGAACATGCTACATCCTCTAACCTCTACCACCTCAATTCGTCAGTGTCACTGGGACTTCTGCCTAGAGCCTGTCTAGTGTAAGATTCACAGGGGATGAGTTCATGTCGTGGATCTTTCTTCTTAGGCTCTACGGACCGGCTCCTTCGGCTCCACTCCTCGGGGCGAATCCAACCTCAGTGCGGGAACACTGTCTGCGGCCGAATCTCTGGGACAGGATCAGAATTCAAGTTCATGGAATTGGCGTTTCATACTTTGTAGCCAAAATCTTGTCATAGTTCTTTGTAACCTATGCCAATCTGCTTATCCCATGAAGAGCAGTGCCCTACTCGCCCGCTCGCACTGTCAGCATTCTCCAAACTCTATCGATCCAGAGTCAGCTGTGGCTGTCAACGCCCTGAACCCACAAGAGCCCTGTGGAGCCGCTACAGATTTCGCCGCTGTGTATTCAGTATGCTCTTTATCTGCTAATTACTGGAGGCGGTAAAGACGGCAAGGAACGACGGAGGCAGCTTACCCCTTGGCCTTATATCTAAGGTGGAATCCGGGCCACTATCAGACTTGGCTGCTGACAGTGATTGATACATATCATACAACTATTCCATTTGTATATAAATAGAAGTTCATGAAGAATCTTGGCGAACGCGTTCCAAATCTTGGACAATTAGCTCATCTGCTCCGAGCCAAATCTCTGCATTTGTCACTAGCCCGGGCATCAGATAATTCACCGTATATATATCCTATTTTAATACGAAATATTAGCTGATGTCTTACAAGGTTCGGAGAAGGACCACCAATAAGATGCCACCCGTGTACTATTGGCATAAGACTTGTGTGATAAGTAAGAAATACGGCAATACGTGTACTTCGTAAAGGTATGGCTCAGGGCATGGCGCGCTAGTGATATAAGAGCAATGTGATAGCTCTCAAAGGATGCGAATGGAGTTCATGATTTGCTCTGCTCCACTACATGACTTTTTCGTTGAGATATTTATTAATCATATATTAAAGACAGACTTTCGTCGCTGGTTGTAGAATGCCGTCTCTATCGTCAACGGATCGGTAATTGCTTCTAGCTATGAAACTCTAATTAACCTATGCTACCCGCGTTCCCATGCGCAATGAGCGACCTCTTCTGGAATCCTGTATAATTTAGTCTATATGAATCTCCCTTCGCCGTAATTTCTAACATTGCCTTGCTAACAGACTCAATTTTGCTCGTTAAAATCTGTTGCTGTTATTTCTCCACCTCTCCATCGCATAGTATTTCATCACTTGAGTCAGACTAGCTCTGGTACACTACATAAAACACGAAGAGCGCACGAGGAAAAGCTCGCCAATTAGCGCTTATTCATCAGGCGCAACCATTTCAAGGCAGCAAGAAAGCTCATCACCAGAAAGGGAATATGTCCCGCAAATTGCGAAAAGGATATGAAAATCTATGGCCTTCAGCCGAGCGAGAGCCGGGAACGCTTGCTAGGCCCTGTCTATGTGGAAACCGTTCCCAGTTCTTTGGGACCAGCTTATGGTTTGGCGGGGATTGCGCTTACTCCGGCAACCTCGACTTCCGTACGATCGGGCGGTTCGTTGGAGCCCGAGAGTTGATTCAATGGGCTAGTGGATGACTGTGTTCGTTTTGAGACAATGATGAGTTCTAGGCAAGTGGAAAGCGATTCTAGACTCGGACAATTGCCACTTTAGATGGCGAATATACACTTGTATATAGGTGCGTTATAGCTATCTCCGGCTCGGACTTTTGCTTTGAGGCTGTGCATGGATTCCTCATGGCCGATACTCCGTAGCAAAAGTCCGAAATCCAGCATTTGACGGGCATTTCCCATTTGCGTCACAATGAGAGAAGCGGTAAGCAGCCGCGCTGGAGGTGGCTTGAGAGCAACGGCAAAAAATTAAGGTTAAGATATAATTTGCCGAATTCTCTTTGGGGGTCACAAACACTGCGAAGGAGTTTTGCAACGTAATGATAATTCCCTCTTCAGGTTTGGGTCCAGATAGATCTGAGAGAATCTCACATCAGTTTGAAAACGTAATTCGGATTCCTTTGCCGTGATGGCATGATTTTCCACCACTTAACGATTTGAAGATGGAACTCTGGTATCGGTTTGTGGGAGCTTTATCTAGTTCGTATGCGAGCAAGCATTTCAACCAATCAGCTCTCATAATGGTTTCGTGGTCTAGTTGGTCATGACATTTCGTTAACAACATCTGTTGACACCACCGAAAAGGTCCCCGGTTCGAGCCCGGGCGAGATCATTCTTTTTGCTCTTGGTTCAACTTAATTGACTAATGCATGCGTCCCCTTTTGTTTTTTTTGTATTAACCTATGCCGTTCTACTGGACGTGAATTTTGGGTCAGAAATGAATCGTGCATATGTAGTTCATTTTCTCTTGGCGGCCTCCCAAACGCCGTAATCAGTTAGACGAATCAATGCTAAATAGCACTGGATTCATAGTTGTTGCTACAATTTTTTTCCATGCTATACATCTCAATCATGAAGATTATTTCAAACTATTAGGCAGTGTTTGTTACATGCATATACCACTGTCCAGCATTAGGGCGGAACGGCACGGGAATGACACCGCATTCAGCCACCTTCGATGCATGGAACCACTTAGATTCACTGGCCCACTACTCCTTACGATGTTTATTTTCGGTTTGATTTGCGTCTGCTTTGCGCATTAGGCTCATTGTCTCATACACTGATCCTTCTCCTTCTCTCAGTCAAGTCATAGGGCTGAAACCTGCCAACCAGTTATACAAGGCTGAGCCACTCAGTAACTGTGTACTCCCTACCGCAGCCTGACTTGGCAAACTTATGCAAATGTTTCACTTAACGTAGTGTGTGAGTAAGAAATGTGTCTCATTTTATGGGATTATTTCAGGATAGAAATGACACGTCGGTTTGCAGGCGCAGTCTGGTTCCCGGCAAGGCTCAGCTGTGCAACAGAACTGAGAATCCTATTTGATGACACGGAATGTAACTTTAAACATGTTTTATCATTGTAAGAAAGAATTGATTTCCGGAGCTGCAGCTGGCATGTCAGAAGCGCAGTGGCTAAGGCGCATTTCAAACGATTCGGGTGTAGAATGCTACCCTATCTGGGTTGACCGCAACAGAAGGAATTGAGGAGTGCATCTCGGGTCAGATGTTGCTTTGATCTGCAAAGTCATGGCAAATGATGCACAATATTCAGCTTCTTGAATAAGGCTTAGACAATGTCTTGTGCAATATGACTCTTTGGCCGTTTCTATATCGGAATGTTAGTGTCGAGTAGCTGGTGATATCACAGGTCCCTTCGGACCCAAGAAGCTGAAATCATCAAGGACCATCATCTTCCATAGTTAGTATGATCGTATGGAAGTATAGAGCACACACGTGTGAAATCCTCGTAGGCAACATCTGTGATATACATGCATCATGCATGGCTTGAATGAATGATGACGCAACAATAGCCCACAAAGGAGTTCAAGTCTATCCTAGTAAGGTAGAATATTACTTTTTCATCTTATTCTTCTTATAATCAATGTATATTGGGTTGTGCAGTCTGTTCTTGCCCGAAGCTGAGTCGAAGTTATCCATGACCACAATCGAACCAGAGTGTATCCTGGTAAATATGCTGTCGAAAAACATTAGCAATAACGACCTTGTAATTATGATTCATTTCATAATTCAAAAGACATAGCTTGGTATTCGGTATCGCAGAGTGAGTGTTGCCGACGCAGTGTAAATGTTCGCAGTCAGCAGTCATGCCGGCTGTTGTGCTGACATGCAATTGCACTTTTCTGTCAGCATATCAGCCTATCCCGCCTTTCGACCACCCCTCATCCTTCAGGACGATGAAACGGTACGAATTGGAGAATGCATTGCCTTATTCTGTTCAGCTTTAATTGCATTCGGCATTTGAGCGTGTTCGTCAAGGCCGCGTCACGCTGACAGCGTGGAAAGATATATAAGAAAGGGCCTGGGAATGAGGATATTGTCCATCAGATCCAGAAGAACATCGTTAACAAAGAACAAAAAGAATAACATACTAAACGCTCTACCATTGGCTTTGTTGAATACTCGTCACTTGCAAATCCTTGACAAGATGAGACTCCCACTTGTTGTTGTTATGGCTTCCGTCGCCGGTAGGTTTAGCTCTGCATTTATATAAATTTTGAGAAACCAACGAACAGAACTAACACATGTTTCAGATGCCAACGGTACCAGCAACACTGCCGGTCAATCAGGATCATCGGGATCTGGTGCGCCAAACACTTCGGCTAGTACACCATCGGCCGGAGCTGGAGCCTCTGGTTCGTCTTCCGGATCTCAGAAGAAATGATGCAACGAGACAGAATTCTACGGATTTTGCACTGGATGCAGAATTTCATTGTATTATTCACAGTTTAGCATGTTTCGACCAAGGAGTTAAAGAGGGCAACCCCAGGGTTATCGCATTTACGGGCGCCAGTCATAGACTACCATGTACTTCTAGCTTAGAATTTGACTTTTCATTATTCGTGTAGCCTGTCATCTGCCATCTCTGCCTACATCGGACATCGCCGTGCTGCAATGTGATTTGATACCGGGGCTGGAGATCGATGCGTATGCGTGTGCGTACTCTTGGGATCAAGCGACTGGTTTTCGACCGAAAATGTTGGACAAGCCCATCTCATTGGCTGATTAGGCCTTTATTGGGATTTTAGCTCGATATTGCCGCCGGGCCACTTATATCCGAGAATAGTCCAAAAAACCAGGGCAGAGTAAGACCGACTGGATGAAATCCATGTATACGCTACACGCTCTACAATCGCCTCACCACTCTACGCTCTTCAAAATCTAGTAATGAATGACTTTCTTATTGTGGAAATATGCCGCGCTCTGCTACGTCAGCGACAAGATATCAACCCAGCTGAAGCTGTCGCCAGATGAGATCGCCGTGGTTATTAATAATGTGAGGCGCGTAGCTTTGTGGGACAGATTCAAAAAATCTGCCTGGCATTAGCATCATGCAATTGTTCATATTTAGCTACAGAGCACGATGAAGCAGCGTCATCTAGACGCGCCACTGCTTTGCTTTGCGACCCAGCCGCGATTCCCGTGATCATATCGACGCAAGTATGCCTTGATGCCAGGGGCAATCCTTCCTGAGATCCTCCTGGTTATCTGCGCCTCGTCCAGGGCGCTTATTGGGCCAACTGCAAACTGACAAGGGTCTCTGCATTCGCCACACTGCTTTGGCGGGTTCGCTTGGGTCCCGTGGAAGCCAACTGCCGCAGCGTCTGACGATGGCCGTGATGAAGCTTCGTCAAGATGGAATTCCGCGTTGACCGAATGGTTTAATGAGTCAATCCCCGAGCTGCCTCCAGACTATTATTCGGAAACTCGTCATTCCGCACTGTTTCCCGGATATTCCTATCTCAGGAAACCTCCCTTGAACCATCGTCTTGGCCGCCGCCGATTGGCCAGCCTTACCAACCCCCCTTGCATCTATTCATCGCACTTCGCACTTGTTTGCTTGGAATCCAGCCCGCGGCCCCATGGTCTTTTGCTTAGATCGAACGGCTCCGCCATTGACTATCCTTAGCAGTCGCCCAAGCCGCATCGCATCCAGTGCTTTGTGGTCCCTTGCAGCAGCCTTGCTATCCCAGATCAAGCAAGCAACCTTGCAGGATCGCCACAGTCGCAAAAAAGGCAAAATGGGCCGCCAAGTTGGACGAGGTTGGCCACTGCAAATGCGACCATCTAGCGTGTATGCGTTTATAGATGCCGCATGGTCGCCGATTCCAGCCACAAACGGCTTCTTTCAGTCGAGATGATTGCATCCCCGGTTCTCGGCTACCCACAAGAGTGGTGAAAAGGTGTGGCTTGTGGAGGTGATGCTGCTAAGCTGTGTGCCCGCCCCCAATGCCGAGGGTGTCTACAATAAGATTCCTTCCAACATCCTTGTCTGTGCCTGAGAGAAATGTTTAAATAATGAGACAAGTTTTTTGGAACTGCACTCTCTACCCACGACAACTATATGTATTGAGAATTTACTACAAAGCGGACATCATATACCGTAACAAAGAGCAAAGAGAGACTATGGCGACCTCATCTTGCACTCCAGACCGCCCCTCCGGCAATCGACATGAATTAAGGCTTTCCATTCAAAATGTTGAAGGAATTGAAGAAAAGATTAAACTCGATAGCATCGTCGATGCTGAAAATGCTGCAAAGGAGAGACGGAGGAAGCAGAACAGAATTGCTCAGCGCAAGCATAGTAAGTCAAGAAGGCCTATGATCCGCAACATGAGCATATTGACTGACCATTACTACCATCTAGGACGCCGAAAAGCTGAGCAGAGACTTTCTGCAATGTCTAAATCACCCGATATGAGAACGTCACTGCATACTGGACCTTGCTGCAACTGCGTTACTAGACGGCCAGAGATTACGGCGCCGGAAGACTACAACCAAAGCTTCATGTCCATCACATCACCAAACTCGTCATACGGCCCTCTCACGCCCTCGGCTATATCCGATTATGAGAGAAGCCAAACACTGTCCGCTGAGCTTCCCAATCAATGGACACCATTTTGGCCAGCGACATCTCCTCTATTCGATGCCGACGCTAACGTTCTGCCGTCTGGGGATACGCTCGATAGCCACAGCCACAGTCCTATTCCCAGCTCAGCATCGTTGGACGTTCCGCCTTTTCAGGATTCGCAATCACCGGCGTCAGCCCTGTCGTACGACGCTCCCATCAGCCTCATAAGCAGACCGAAGAGCAATAGTTTGTCGCCAGAGGGTCACCTCGGGGGCCAGTTCCCTCTTCATTTGGCTGCCAGAGGGGGGTTTATGGGAATAATTGGCCTCCTCATCAGCAGAGGGGCTAGACTAGATGCCAAAGACACTTGCGGCCGGACTGCTCTGCACCATGCGGCCGAGGCTGGGCATCTTGAGGCTGTCGGCATGCTGCTTTCTGTCGGAGCAAACCCGTTTCTGGTAGACAGCGAAGGGTGCAACAGCTTGCATATCGCTGCTCGTAAGGGACGAGAGGATATAGTGCGTGTGTTGATGGAGCGGGGGATGGATCCGAATCTGGGAGTTGGAAGCGATATTGAAAACTCTGGATGCTCTTGAGACACGTTCCGTTCTTATACAAAATTCAACACAAGTGAACCAACTTCGTAGGTCTTTACTCTTCATCTTATTCTTCTTGTCCATAGATAAATACCTTTGTCAATTCCTACACCATGCTGCTCTAGTGAGGCATGGATAAATAAAGATCTTTTTTTTCTTCATCTTGTGCAACGCCAAATACGTTCGTATTTCGAAACAACGTAGTGATGCCCAGGCGGTCACCCCCTCCTTTGTATAACCCCATTTACTCCTCATGTTTCACAAGTATACGCTAAATTCTGCCGTGTATATCGAAGGAAACAGTTTCAACGTGATGTTTCTATTGAACGCGACTTTCCAGTCAAGAGTTGAAGATTAATGAACGGTGCTAATTGACATGGAGATATTTGCCATCGACTGCTACCCATCACCAAGACGGCCATGAATGGTGAGGATAGCATCACAATGCAAGTATTTAGCACTATTTTCTTCAATGCCGATATATACTCGTATTAATGCTTCTTCGGCAAGTAAGCCGTGCAGAGCTACAGATGCGCCTAGATCCGCAGCAGTTCTAAAAATACGGCCTATTATGAAGCGGATTGCAAAAGAGGCGCAGCCGCCACTAAAAATGGTTATAGCCGTAGGCACTAACACCGCTAATCGTTGCCTAAAACTCGGGACTCAACACGAGATATTTCATCATGCTGTGGGATTCTACTTATGTAGCTCGAGCTCTGGAGAGGTTGAAACATACATTCTGAAAGGCATTCACTCAACGTCATTCATCACCAAACTTGATAATATCCAATACGTTATTGACAATAAGTGCAACATGGTCTTCCTTGTGCCTCACGACGATCTTCCTACCCTCACATGTTATCTTCTTGCCAACATTTCCAGCGATGAGCTACAAGCTTTCAAATCAGCCTTCGAATTAGGCAATCGCGCACGTTTCGATCCCATTCTACACGTCAAAATCGTCCGTCCACCTGAGGACTACATTGGGAAATCTCACGAATACATCCGCCGAAAAGAAGATGAAGCTGGCCGAGAAGGCAAATTCCTCATCCTCGACGACAGGGCCGTTGAGAACAATGCTGTCTGGTACATCTCTTATTTTGCAGATCAAGAGTACGTCAATTGGAAACAAGCAGAGAGCACAGATGTTCTCTGGAAGATTCTCATCAGGACGGACAAGTTGGCCTCAGTGTACGCAAACTACAGCATTGGCAACATGTCTCTTGAAGAGAACCTGGGCAATTGCGGGGTACGTTATCCCGTAAAGCCGGGCTTTGAACAACCCAAAGTTCTCGATTATGAGACAGACATGCAAAAAGACCAATACAGGTCGCCTGCTTGGATAAGGGCCGAGCCCGGCGAATATGAATTCAATAAAGGCGGCGAAGAGCTGGGAGATTACATCGCACCGCCAAATTCGTATGCCAGGCTTAAAGACGGGGTGGCAGAGACAGTGGGAGTTATAAACGATTGGGTGAATTATTACGAGTCTGGCCCGTTTCCAATGTCGGATGGGACGGAGAAGCAATTTCCAGAAGGCACCATGGTTCTCCAATTGAAGTGGGATCCCGATTTTGCTTGGCCCGCTTACAAGTGGCCTGAGGGATCACTATAATCTGGAAGTTTGTGAAAACAGGTTGAGATGGAATAAGCAACGTCGATTTAATATGGATGTAAATAGACTTAATTCGCGCTGGTAGAGTTTGGATATTTGAAGGTACCAAAGTGGCTTCGTTTAAGATTGAAAACCTCGGATACTACGACTGGCTGGGGCAATAAGACTGCGAAAGATATCCCTGAAGATCAGAATCAGTTGGTTATGTTTATAAATGTGTTTTATTTTAATTTGCAACAGGTTATAGTTATATTGCCTATGTGTTTACAATCAGTGTTTCGTAAGAATAATAAAATGGCATACTTGTTTCCTTAACAATACCTCGATTACCTTCAAATGATGGAAATTCTTTCATGGGATGTGGTGGGCGGCATCATTCGTCGCGCAGTAATTCTTGCACCGACATGTAGTTTGTCCGCTGCTTTTTTTGTATTTACTACGATGCAAAAGAGGCGGTAGATGTACTTTGGCTTGATGGGAGCATCGATAAATGTAGCAGTTTGGAAACATTGAAAACCCGATAGGGCCCTTCGGCTCGAGAAACGCACGCAAGGCTTTCCGCCTCTCGGTAATACTTCAGTTGCGAAACTTTGGTTGTTTATTATTGCTTTCTCCTACCTCGTTTTGCGTCCTCTAAAGCCAAGAAAACCCGTTCAAAGACCTGGGCTAAAAACTTCTTTTTGTTTCCCTCTCGCCCAAAGGAAAAGGGGTCAGAGACATAGTCTGTGACCTTGTACGCTCCAACTGAAGGATGTTTATACAACAACTCCAAATTAACTATCAAGGCTTATTTAATACAATTATTATGTAGCATGAAGTATGTGCAGGAAGCGCCACTTGCTGCGCCGGCAATCTGAGGTCATTGTGCAGAAACGCCGTTTTGAGCAACGTTACCTTAAGAGGCTAAAAATTGCCATAGTACATTATATACATACATATCGAGCTGAAAAACATAATCACCTGGCCGTTGAGAAGGCGACGTATCACAAGGCCACATGCAATGTATATGTATCTTCGGGCGGGGATCCTACCCAACCCTAGGTGCCCAACTCTCCTCCCACATCGACGCATTGGCGTCCGCAACTTTCGGAATTTACAAAACCATCGAGGCATACTATTACAAAAGAAGCCAAAATGGGGATTCAAGACTTGAAACGAAGGCTCAAGAGTCGATTTCAAGAGAAACTAGGCTCATCGGGACCTAAGGATCAGTTTGACTCATCCAACTTTCATTCTGCCGAATCACAGAAACATCAAATTAAAGCGGGCTCTGATACGTTAATAACCAAAGGCAATGGATCCAATACGGCTCTAGCACATTCAGATGAAGCTCCACAAAAGCATGAAGAGGTTGTACCAGCCAGCCACTCGTTCAGGTCCTCGCAGAGTTTGGTCAATCCCCGACCCGACGATGCGCCAATAAAAGAACTTTGGAATATAGCCTACAAGAAACTGCGGGAGGAAGATGGCGAGCTGATGGAAAAATATGAGAAAAAACTCCGAGGTAATATGATCGCTGCCCTAGGTTCGACGCTTGGATCGAAAGCAAACATGAGAGACCGAATGCAGATGATCCTGGAGCACAAAATGAATGAGGTCAATGCAAACGTGTGGAAATTAAAATTCAGGAGTTCTGAGGTTGAAGTTCGAGAGCTCATGCAGCCTATTCTGGGGATTGTGAGCTTGGTTAACGAATACATCACCGAGGGCGTGAGTGTTAACCCTTATGCATCTCTGGCTTGGGTTGGCATTAGTCTATTGCTACCGGTAGGTCAAATTTTAGGATGTGTAGTAATTATTATCTGTGAGAAATCAACTTGCTAACTGATAGTGTTAGCTCTTTTTAAACCCATCGGTGCAAATGGCGTCTTTGGCAAAAGGGTTAGAATTCATCTCAACCCTTATCGCCCAGAGTCGAATGAGAGAAGAGCTCTATACTCGGCGCTATGAATTAAAACCTCCAGATGGCCATTCGTATCAACAATCTCACCGCGAGTACAAAAACGGCTTAGAACGGCTCTACCGACAGGTCTTGAAGTTTCAAGCTACCAGCTACTGCTATTTCGCTAATGACTCCGTATCCCGCCTTTGCTCGGATACTATGAAGTGGAATGACTGGGACCAACTAATTGATGAAATACGTCAAAAGGAGAGTCTATTTAATAAATTGAGCGAGACTTGGCGGGATATTCAGTACGATACTGAATGCTCGGCAGTCGAGAATCGGCACCAACAAACAATGAGACTCTGGTTTACTATTGGGGAAAGTGTTTCCGGTTTAGAGAGAGCTGTTAAAGCCGCACAGGAACAGAAAGATCGCGTCGAATTGCTCAAATGGCTGTGTAATATCGACCACACCGAACTCTACAATAGTGCTCGCAATAAGTACAAGGATGGTACGGGCGAGTGGCTCATAGATGGGAGTGAGACATTCAAGGCATGGGAGGCGAGCACGGCTCTTAAATCTTTTTTATGGCTCCATGGAAAAGGTATGTCTAGAATAGCAATGTGGTGGATATATCTTTAATCTTCTGGGCCATCTAACAGTTCTGCAGCCGGCTCTGGGAAGTCCATCTTGAGTTCTTCCGTGATTAAGCATCTACAAAGCCGAAATAAGGGGATCGCCACGACGGTGCTCGCTTATTTTTATTTTAGTTTTAGCGACATCCAGAAGCAGAGAGTTGACGGAATGCTCGAATCGCTGATTAAACAGATTACTGCCCATCGGCCTTATACACCGCATTCAGTACAAAGGCTTGGCGAATATAAAAACAATGGAGGCCGTCCAGATACTGAAACGCTTCTTGAAGCGCTAATCGCCTCAATGCAGGGATTCTCAGCCGTGTATATCATCATCGATGCTTTAGATGAGTGTCCAATGCTCAACGACGAGAGGAAGAAGCTCCTCGGCAGCTTGCGCCATATTGTTAAAGGAGGACCTGATAGCCTTCATATCCTCTGTACAAGCCGCAAGGAGATAGATATAGATAAAACGATAAGGCCATTGTTATCCGAGCCGTTGGGAACAGAAATCGATTTATCTATCCAACGCGAAGTTCTTAACAATGATGTTAGCCATTATATCGACTCAATTCTATTAGAACCTGACTACGATTCATGGCCGGCGGATATCAAAGAGGAGGCAAGAAATGCGCTGATGGAGAAGGCGGACGGCATGTAAGTCACAACTCAGATTAGGATGATTGCCATGCTCACTCTCCACCAAGGTTTCAGTACGTCCGTTGCCAGTTTGAAAATTTGCAGAAATTATCTTCCACAGACGCCGTCCGCAAGGCTCTCCGAGATCTTCCTAGCGGACTCGATTCAACATATGACAGAATGCTCCTCAGCATAGACGCGGATTTCCAACCACAGGTCATAGCATCGCTGAAATGGCTTGCCTTTTCAGTCGAGCCCTTGGAGGTTGATCAGCTTGCTGAGATCTTTGTGCTTCCTTCCACGATCGAATCTGGATTCGACAGGATGTCTTACCTTTTTTCTCCGATGGATGTGCTGAAGTACTTTCCTGGACTAATGGTTACCCAGATTAGCCACAATCATTGGGACAGAAAACTCTATGTCAGACTGGCTCATTTTTCGATCAAGGAGTACTTGATATCTGATCGAATCTCTCAGGGCAGTGCATCTGCTTTTGCGTTCACCGAGGCTGACGCTCACATGCACATTGGATGCTTGTGTCTCGCATATCATTCATATATAAGCTCAATGACTGACTTATCAGATGTTAACGAACATCACGCGGGGCATAAGTTGGTGAAATACGTAACCAGGAATTGGGCAAAACATCTCGAGATGATCCCCCATGCTTCCTGGCCCCCTGGAGTTTCGCGAGATGCTGCTCTATCATTTTCAATGCGCAGCCAAAGCTTATTCATTATGTTCTATGAATACTCGGAGTTAACGAAATTGTTTCACAAACCTCATTGCTATACTGCCCGGAGTGGCTTCCGTCAGTTGACAGAAATGTTGATTTCAAGTGGCGCCGGCAAGTATCTCACGAAAGTGGATTTAGGTGAGGGACTTAGCTATGCGACAGTTAATCGGAGAATGAGCATTGCGAGACTCTTTTTGGACAAGGGCGCCGAAATCCACGACTGTCTGCAATGGCCGGCAAGGAAAGGAGATATAGCTGTTGTACGGCTCCTACTTGATCACGAGGCTAAAACCAATGAGCTCGCTGGCGAACTGGATTTAGCGCTACGAGCTGCAGTATGGGAGGGCCAGCTCGACATACTCAAGCTCCTCCGAAGTCGAGGTGCCGATATCAACAGCCCATTCATCAAGGAAGACTACAGGCCATTTTCACGGAGTAGAGAGCTTATTGACAGTGAGCCGCGTATTGCAGACTGTCTGCGTTTTATATTCGACAACGGCGCCGGTGTCAACATGAAGGAAAACTGTTCCTTAGCGGCGGCGCTCTCTGTGGCAGCACGTCATGAGATGGAAGAGGTATCACGACTGCTGCTAGATAGAGGTGCGAATGTGAACGAGCCGGCCGGGCAGGACGGCCACCCACTTCAGACGTTGATAACCAATGTGTCTCGCCCTAGTCTTCGCTTCCTAGAGTACATGCTCAACCGCGGCGCAGATCCTAACGCTCAGGGAGGGACTTACAACACAGCCCTACAGGCTGCATGCGCTACTATGTACTCTGATAACATTGATGCAATGACCCAAGTCATGGAGCTATTAATTGACAGAGGTGCTGATGTTTCTATTCAAGGGGGGAAATACGGAACGGCGTTTCAGGCAGCATGCTGCAATGACGACGTCCCGACCACTGTTATAGATTTATTACTAGAGAAAGGCGTTGATGTGAATGCTCAAGGAGGGCGCTATGGCAACGCCCTCCAGGCAGCGTGCCAGCGCCATATCAGAAATGATGCATCTTACGGGGAGAAGAAACGCCGCCAAGAGTGCATGCTGGAAATAGTACAACTGCTTCTGAATCGCGATGCCGATGTTCATGCTCAAGGCGGCTATTATGGGACGGCACTTCAAGCGGCCTGCGCGAAACAGAATGAGGATATAGTCCGCCTCTTGATTAATCATGGCGCCGATGTCCATGCTCAAGGTGGTTATTATGGGACGGCGCTCCAAGCGGCCTGCGTGGAACAGAACGTGGATATAGTCAGCCTCTTGATTGACCGTGGTGCCGATGTCACCGTTCAGGGTGGACGATACGGCACTGCGCTCCAGACAGCTTGCGTAACCGGAAGCTTGGAGTTGGTGCGTCTACTGCTGGAAAAAGGTGCTCGCGTGAATGATGAAGCCGGATATCATGGCACCGCATTGCAAGCCGCCTGCGCAAATAGTCATATCAAGGTGGTGCGTTTACTCCTTGAACACGGAGCCGATGTTCATTTGCGGAACAATGGCGCCTGGCACGTAGCTGCACGCTCCAGAGACGATGACCTTGTGAGGCTGCTGCTTGACCACGGCGTTGATGTGAATGACGCACATGGCTCGCATGGCTCGGCTCTTCAGGCTGTTGTGAGTCCTCTACAGTGGCGCCCGGACAAGGAGAGCGACGGCGAGGATAGCGACGGCGAGGATAGAGTGGGCGTAGAGTGGTACCTGCAATCAGCTCATCTCAAATGGACCAACAGGATCCGACTATTGCTCGAGAACGGTGCTGACCCCAATCTCGCGGTCGGCCCATACGGCGCAGCGCTCCAGATCGCGTGTACCGTAAAGCCTCTCTTTGCGTATTGGGGGACAAACATGCATCCTGGTGCCACCGCGGCAAAGTCTCTTCTCGAGATGTGCCCCAACATCAACGTCAATGAACAAGGTGGATTATTCAACTCAGCTTTGCAGGCGGCAGCATACTCGGGCCAGACGCCTACCATCAACATGCTGCTAAACAGAGGAGCCCATGTGAACGCCCGCGGGGGCAAATATGGCAGTGCCTTAAACGCCGCAGTTATCGCAGGTTTTTGGGATATCGTTCAGGTCTTGCTTGACGCTGGTGCGACCCCTGACTGCCACATGTTTTTAGAGCCTGACGAAGAGTGGCTTCAACGTGTACTAGAAGACGATGGCCGAGGCGGCGTGGAGAGATATAGAAAGTTTTGGGAAGTAGAGAGGGCAGACAAGGCAGCGAAGGAAGCCTCAGCAAATTAACTCTATATTTTATGTAAGTATAGAATGGATGTTATTCACTGTTTCACGACGCTTTTACTAATTCCTCACAGGTGCACATGATTGACCAATTTTTTAGTTGATGAGTTTACCGAACGCGAAAATCCACCCGCGACGATGACAAGCAGCGTGGTGGGAACGGGTGAAGGTATATTAAACGTCATGTTAACAGGCTGCAAATTTTATTCAGTTACCGTACAATATAGGAATGTGATGCTCCCTAATAATATTATTTGGTTATATGCGTACTGGCAAGCTCATTTCTATCATACTCGGCTAATTCCTCAAATCTCACCGTCGTAGTCTTTCTACGGCACAAGATTCCGAATGTCACCACATTCGCGATCTTAGCAGGAAGTGAGCGGTTATCCGGTATTTCTTCCACCGTGGCCTCGGATCCATCTTGTGCCAGGTAAGTGTGAATGTTCTTTGGCAAGAAGCGACCTGGGTTCCATACATTCCATAGGACGGAATTGAGAAGCATAAGAGTAGCCTCAAAAATATAGAAGAAGACTTCGTAGCGCAAAAGAGGACTCAACAGTCTGAGGGCCTCAATGTCAGCAATATCTATCTTTGTATTGCCAGTATGTTCTACCAGCCGGTAGATGCATCTTATGAAGATCAGTGTCATACTCGTGTAAAGCGTAATTAACATAGTATTGACAGCCTTGGTTTGTACAGCAGCTCTTGTGCACCTCGTATGGAACATTGCAGCCAGACAGATGAAAATGAGTATGACACCGAGCTGAATGACGAGTACAGCTATGATCAAATTGCTAGCGAGCGACTGCTGACTAGGCGATGCTGAGGGATTCGCAGATAAAGCAGCTCCTACAGCATTCAAAGTTTCGACAAGAGCCATGAGGCCGCCAAACGTAATGAGAACTCGAGAGGCAGGTATCGGAGCGCAGTGTGGCACATAATAAAATATTCGGCCGAGGATATGATAGTTGGAGAGCTCGAGAAGAGGACTGTGGGAACAATAAGTCATTAGTCGATATCTAAAAACATTGAATCGAAATGGGTGTGCCAGCTTACGGGCATATGTATATAAAGACTTGGCTAAGGATGAATATAATGAGAGGCGGTCCTTCAGTAGCGGTATAAATATAATGGTATGATGCGTATTCTCGGAAAATGAAGCCAACTGTGAAGAACACAGCGCACACAGAGTGAAGTCCGATCATTCTAAAAGCTTTGTAACGCCTGACGTCCAAAGTTAACCAAGTTTCTCTGATATTGATAGAGTGAAAGTATACTTACCAGCATTGCCAAATATGAAAGACAGCAGAAATGGCGAATGCCACGGCGAAGAAAATTGGTGCTCCTCGGTTGGGAGCGTAGACATACAAGCTATACAAAACTATAATTCGTTAGGGGTATTGGCACGAGGAAGTTAACAATATAGCGTCCTTACCTGGATCTCCAGCCGCCATTTTTAAAGGAAACAATTACAAGTCTGTTGCAGAAAGCTAGCTGAAGTAGGTGAGGATATCCCTTGTCAGCTTGATGTCTGTTGCTACTTTTAAATAGGGTAGAAATCAGAAGCGAAAACTTTTTGCAAACGGGTTAAGGAAAGGAGAGAAAGAAGAGCGTAAGGAAAAAATAAAATGCAACATCTCGAGGGCCCTTCCAAGCGGCCAGATTTATATATAAGAAGCAGGTCTGCAGAGCAGGACACCTTCTCCTATGATCATCGACTGTTTCTTGCAGGATTGGCGCTTGGCCCAAATAGGAGAAAAAACATGCCAAGAAATTTAGCTCCGGGAGATAAATCCTAGACCCACGCGGGCCACGTATGTATTATAAGTGGGAGTTTCAAGGCTTAAGGTGACGATACCACATTTGCAAAAATACGCGAGTCAAACAATTGATCCGAAGCATTATGGACACTTTGAAGATACTTCTCCTCAAGTATTTCATTAAAAGTATCGGCATTGTGCTTCCTATATTTAAATCTCTGCAAGGCTACTTGTAGAATGGCATTAAGCCGCTTGTGTCCACAGCAATTTGCCCTGTAAAGACGTACGGTCTACCAAAGCAAGCATCCCAGCGAGTCTCTCCAGCGGCCCAAAAAAATTCAAGAACTCGCTTCGCTGTGAGTGGCACATAAGTGCCAACATCCTGGCTGAGTTCTGTCAGTTCTTTGGCAACAAAGTCACGTATAGGCGCGTCGCCATGAACGGCTTCTACCCCAAGTACAACTAGCGGCCAAATCATGAACCTTTTCAACTTTTTAGAGGCGAGTGCCTCTCTCAGGAACGTTTCCATCACCTTTCCATGTGTAGCGCATTGGATACGTAGTGCTGGAATCTCGGGAAGTATTGATAGACTTTGGAGTGATAAAATGCAGTATAGTGCCACAGCAGCCTGATACACTTGGCCTACTAATACCCAATCTCCTGGAGATGACCGTTTAGATTCTGCCAATTTATGTGGCGAGAAACAATTAATGCGCTCCAAGATTTCGTAGCCTTCCTTCTGGAGAGCCTCTGCATCAATGGCATTAAGCTGTGTAGCCCGCATGCGAAGGTGATTGATCTTGATAATCTCAATGAACAGTGGTACTGGACACAATTGAAAGGGAGATGCCACAGTGCTGTATTGCTCTGGCACAAACTTGAGAGCCTCGAGTTGTAAGGTTGTCATAAAGAGATCTGACGCGGGGCATGTTGTGTTCCCAATTACTGACACACTGTATAATATTAATTCATCAATCGGCAACCTATTACTGCAAGAGGGCAACATACAACCAGAAACAAAGCAGTAGTGGCTTCATACTTGTTGATTCAGCCACCGCGTAAAATCCGCCACGCGACATGATTAGTTTATAAATGGCGTCTACATGGCATCGCCAATTGAGTGATGTTCCCTGTTGGATCTATAGCAAGCAATGACTTCGAGTAAGCGTAAGAAAACACTAACATGGTATCTTGGGGTAGTATCAACTTACATCAGTGAGTAAGAGTGTCAATATCCCAGCAATAACTGTATCGCCTGCACGCCCATCTTCGATGGTGAGATATTCGTTGAGTGATCGGACAGCAAGGCCCCAGTAAAAGTAAAATTTCGCCACCAAAGCTTTAGGTGTAATGGTATTTCTTATCTGATTGACTCTGTGGCTCAGAATCATGCAGAGCATACCATACTTTAGATAGTCTGGGCAAAAGACTGCGGCTTGGAGATGTTTAGCAGAAAGTGGATATAGGTAAGGATTGTGCCCGAGATCATGGATTGGTATCAAGTCTTGATATATGCAAGAATTGACTATTCAGATGATATTAGCAATCCTGATCCAAAATTGTCGATTTGACAATCACTTACAGTATTCTAGGCCCTGTATAATGACACGGGCTTCTTCATGCATCTCAAATCGTGGGATTGGCATGTGTACATCAGTTTCAGTGGGGGCTATAATTAATGTGCTCCCTGTAGTTATTCCAGCGTTTTTGTCTTGGGTTCTGTGGATCAAGATTTTCTTTTGTTTCTGATCCCGAGATGTGACCCTCCCAGGCGTGATCCATTTCAACCTGGTAGGCTTCCGGTCGCCATATCCGGGACAATGGATGCCCGATGCATGACATCTTTTGCAACCAGGTACCTCAGAATCACACACTAAACATCGCCGTCGACACTCCCAGCAGTGGCGCCTGCCGTGATTTTCTATATTTTGCGTCACTTGTCTTGATGGTTTAGAGCGCTCATGCATCGGCTGGCGCATGATGAAGATCCGACCCAACTGAGAGGATTTAGAGAGACGACAGATGGCTATTAAAGCTTAATTGAACATTAATAGGGATTCAAGCACGCGTTATTCAATTATCCATCTCACCTCTACTTTGCTTTTCGAACAATACGATAAGGAGGTCATAAAAGCTGGATGAAACTTGGAGGCGGAACAGAGCCAATTAATAAGCGCGTTCAGGGGGTCATTGAATATGGGCGTTTGCGCCACAATTCATGCGTCAGCAGTCCACCAGTTTCGGGTACCTGTCCAGATATAGTAGCGTCCAAGTCCTGATGCTTTTCTGAGCAACCAAGGTAAGCAATTGGATGGTAGTTACGACTTAAAACTGCATCAAGGTGAATGAATGGATGCTTTTGTTTCTTGTTGAATTGCTGAACCATCAATTCTCGTCCACCGAACACATTCCCTTCACATTTCTCAAAGCGGCATGGTGAAATGATTGCAAGCTGAATTTTCTTCGCGAATCCATCTAGGCTAGCTGCCAATCTTCCCGTCAGTATTTGACCCAGCAACAATATTCTTTCATGAGCCGTACACTAACACGCTTATATCGCCAAGCTTATATATTAGGAGCCAGAATTTCGCCCTCTGCCTCATTGTCTAGGCTTTACGCGAATATAAAGTGGTCCTTTCTGCCACACAATGTAAGACTTGCATCTACGATCCCATCCAATACTTTCATCGAGAATCTCAATATCGTACTTCCAAATGAGCCTAGCCACGATGAGGCGCATTTCCGCATACGCAAGACTAAATGCATGCTTTTATCAGTAGTGATATGGAAGAATTGGTTCCGTATGAACTTACTTTTTACCAAGGCAAACTCTAGCGCCAACCGAGAAGGGATTGAAGATTTTCCTCTTGTCATTCTCAAACCGTGGGTCATCCAGCCATCGCTCTGGGATAAATTCCTCGGCTTGAGCCCAGTAGTCGGGGAAATGGTTGGTAGTCCAATTCCAGATGTCAACAGCAGTCTATAGCAATACTTGTAAGATTTAGTGGTACAAAGTCGGGCATAGGTACTTACTCCTGGGGGAACAAAGTGGCCTGCAATTGTATCGCCCATAGGATTTACGACACGTGGAATCGTACCAGGAACTGCTGGATGAAGTCTCATTGCCTCATCCAGAACGGCGAGCAAGTATTGTAAGCGACCGACGCTAAAGAGATCAATCTCCTCCTCGTTTGTAAAGGCGGACCGGACTTCATCACATAGCTTCTTCATTGGCTCTGGGTTGGTGCCAAGGAAGTAAGTGACTGCAGAGAGCACCGTTGCTGTTGTTTCTGATCCCGCTCTAACGAGAAGACTAGCATTGAGTTTGAGCTCTTCGAAAGTCAATGCCTATGCCTAGTGTGTTAGCCCTCTAAACATCTTACCCACTCTGTCTGCTTGTGCTTTGCTTTGCTTACGTCTTTTCCTTTCTTTGCTAACATTGATGTCATAAAGTCCTTTCGATCACTGTCATTACTTTGCCTTTTGCGAACCTTCTCTGCAGCTAGCTCGTGGTGTTCTTGAAACTTGCTTGCAAGCGACTTTGGGATTGACAAAACAAGAACATTATAGAGTATTCCCATACGCCTGAATGCCGAGTCAATTGCCATATTTTTTACAGCCTGGAAAACTAAAGATACCCAAGGGTGGTAGTTAGAGTTCTTAAGACACTCAAAGGGTTCGCCAAAGGCCAAGTCGCCAATGATGTCAAAAGTTGTGTAATTGTACCAGGCAACTGCGTTAAATGCTTCCCCTGTCGCACTGAATTTTTCCATAGCTTCAAATAGTTTATCGACATAAGATGAAATTAAAGGTTGCTGATCGACCATTGCCTGCTGCGAAAAACCATTTGCCATGCTCTTACGGAGTCGGGCATGATCGGCACGGTTCGCACCAATTATTGAGCCCACCGATGTCATGTTGCGAGCGCGATCCTTTCCATTCTCAGGTTGGCCAGGTTTACGATGACCTGCAAGGTCTTCCATTGCATCTGGGTGGCAAAAGGCTAGATGAGTAGGACCTATTCTGACAACTGGGCCGTACTTTTGATGGATTGCCAACATCGTTTGATGGCCTTCACCAGACACTTCATGGCTAGCGTAAAAGCCATAGTGGAGAGCCCATAGCTTTGGCCCAGGGAACTTTCTTAGAGGATGAAAGAACAAATTATAAATCACAGTGTATGCGACATAAAGTAGTCCCTGGTTTCTTGTGTTAGGCAACACATCGTAGTTATAGCAGCATCCAGTGCTAAGGTCCTACCAATAAGAATACCAAGAATGGCACAGCAATAATGAGTTTCAATGAGAATATAGGTGGCGAGATATATGAGGAGATCGCCATGTTGTATTCCTGACCTGTGGAAATTGACAATACAACTTTGAGATCACAAGGGACCGTAACAAAAGGTGTGGTCTTCGGATCTTTCAGCTACTTATATACAATTTCATCAGTGCTAGGGGTGGTGGAATGCGGGTCTCTAATTATTTACCAATCAAACAAGAGACACACCCAGTTGCAAAATCCTGATATCTGGGCGAATCTGTGGTCAGCGAAGGGCGGGATGCAGCCGTATCCTGGCTCAATGTGATTGAACCCGGTATCCTTGCCAAAGAGCGGGGGAGGGGGAAGCAATGTAGTCGGGGTCCGCGGGCTTCTGCGGGCGTCGTGTGTAGTAGTATCCGGCTGTACTTGTGCTTAGGAGCATGTAAGAGTGGCGTATTGCACGTACAATGGATGCTCTTGCTCCGAGATATATTGTTTCTCTTACTTGGGCTCGCTCAACCTCGGCTGAGGAGCCACAAATTATATTTGTAGTTCTTCAAATACGCCGGAGCATCAAAGTTGAGTTGGGTTCATGTTTTCCGTTCCGTTTTTAGCGCTCTCAGTGACTACGCTCTTAGGATATATCTATGCACAAAATCCCGGTTTCATCTTGCCTGGTAAATGACTTGTCATTTGTTCTGTGGCATCTGAGAAGACACCCGACTGGTGGAGCTGAGCCTATCTTGCGTAATATTACGCATGTCCCACTCAGCTCGCAACCCTATCGTTGCAGCACAGGTCCTCGGGCAAAAGACCTCCCGTTTTTTACCACCAAACGGACAGCTTGCTTTTAAAGAATATGAATATCTACGTCTAGGGGCGGAATGTGAGGAAGACATAAAAAGATGGGAGATCTATTCCACTCATGGGAGCCATAGATTTTGCCACGTGCAACCCTTCGGAGGCTACCTTCACTTTCTCTCCAAGTTGTCATGGTAGGGATTCCCGTGTGGGCTCAACTGTCCAAAGGTGTTTCGCTTTCAATTAATTAATGTACGTAAGAAAAAAAATCCTAATGCTGACCACACCCGGTGTAGCACACGCCCTCTTAGGTGGTTACGATAGGCTATTGTCCAATTCGATGAATGACAACATATAAACATGGGTAGATTGGTGAAAACGACATCCATGAACGATACCTTTCTTATTTCCTATCATTACTTCCCATCTCTTCATCAATAATATGGTCAAACTCATAGCTTTTTGACCACCCTCCAACGCTTTGCAAAGCAGTATTCCCGAAATATATGGATTCGCAGCTCCATCTCAATCATTTCATTGCCTGAGAGCCCACTGCGGCTGTGTTTTGGGAAAAAGGTAGCTTCACGGACTTTGAGGCTGAATCCGATAACCGATAGTAAACGATGATACCGACAAACAAACAAGTACGCCGGATGTTTGAAGCCGAACGCCGTGGGGAAAGGGTGTATATCTCCACTTTGCATCCTATGGGAACAAGTATTCAGCTTAAGCACTTGGCAGGACGCCACCCACATCATGCTCTTTGCAAGTAGTATTGTGACGGGGCGGTGTGAATGGCTGATAAGCGATGTGGTATTGGATGGCTTGTTTCAAATGAGGAGGCATCCATCCTTGCTGCCTTATCATAGGATTCAAAAAACCAATAGAAACCGGCATCATGATTACTGCCGGATTAAGATCTATCATGGATGGAATAGCCAAGATTAAAATCTTATTATTTCTTTATGATACTAATGTTGCTCCATATACGAATATTATCACAATCAAGTCTCAGCAGTAACGAGGTGGTGAACGTTCTTGTCTGCTGAACCGGTATAGCAGCAAGTGGCATTATCGCATTCAAAGCAATTCACAAGAAATATATTTATTTACTTCTATGTGAGAAGCCTTACTGCTTCGAAAGAGGCTTAGGTTGCAATCATTTCCAGGAAGGTGTCATCATCTGGTGTCATATTCCCATGTTGAATCCCCACCTGTTAGCCAGGGGTCATTGGTGTCTGCGTGGAGAACACCAATCGTTACTTTTATATTATGGTAGAGGTACATAATACGCCCTCAGTGAACTATGAAGATCTCGCGCACGGTTTCTAGATGTGCAAGTCCAATCTAGCCACACCCGATCCCTATGCAAAACTAATTGTCTATTAGATTACTATTCCATGTTCCATGTTGCTATGTTTCCATGGTTACTCATGCTCGGCCCGAGATTTCCCAGAGTGCAAAGCCGCTAATGGACAATCCCTGATGACTATATAGCCAACATAAGCTGGGCTGGTATATTGGGCCAGCTGAGGATAGCTGACGCTGACTGCCACGCATCTAGACCCCAGGTCCATGAGGGAAATGGTTGCGAGGCCCTGGCTCGGCTTGCAGAGGACGCAGGAAAAACCAGTCTAGGATGCATGCAGTGTGCGATATACCAAGCAAGTGCATGGATACGGGATGATGCGGCATGGGGTCCCAAATGTTATGTTTTTTGGTGTGTATGGCGTAAATCCTCAAACGAATAGAAGTGGTCAATTGCTTTTCAGCATGTAATGAAAACATAGTTGATCTCGATCCCTATATTCCACGAAGGAAATGCGACATCTGATCACATGCGGCCGCTGCATCGCCGTTACTCTGACGGCTTAAATACGCCGTTTGTGTATGCGTGACTGTAGACAGGCCTTGCTCAGTAATTCCCATCTCTTTTACTTGCATGCGACGCTTCTGAATCAACTAGAAAGCCCTCTCCGTAATAAAGAGCTTCTGCCTCTATTCTGAAGGGACCAAATCGCCGATGAATACTTCAATCCTTGCTTGATACACAAGGCTGATGCCCGCTAAAGGCGTTCATAATGGCAAGCAAAGCAACTATGCCGATCGCGGTCGGCTAATTGGATCAAGGTCTTCCGGATTGGTACGGAGTAGAAGCCACCTTAATAGAATGAGACCATCTAGATAGATCGCAGTCAGGTTGTTTGATCGGGCCTACCTAGCTGGATCAAGGCCATCATCCCGTTCGATCAAGGTTCAAGTTATCGCTACCTAGTATCTATATCCAACGGGACTAGAATTGTATTATTACCCTCTGGGGGCGCCTACAGGGAGCTTTGCCTACGGCGCTGTTACCTGCGGCACTTAGCCTACCCAAGCATTCCTGTCATATTATATACCTGTACTCCGTAGATCGCCCTAGTTCTCCAGTTTTAATATATCTTAATATACTACGGAGTACGGAAGCTATATTTACATACAGTAGTGCAGCTGGCTTAGGTGGATTACATTTGTGGGGATAGAACACTGGAATACGGTATTGTAATACTTATTAAAAACGCACTACAACACCAAAAAACAGTTTACCTTATATCGCAGGTAGTCAAAACTGGCATAAAATAGCGAATCTAGCTAAATACTAGGTAGTATTTTAGCTGTAGCTAGTGATTGTGGTGGTTTGTTGTTGTTTTTTCCCATTAGGGAAGCAAATTTAGAAGCTATACTTCCCTTGTGTTGTTACCTTCTCAAAGCAGCTTCGCAGCTTTGCTTAATGAGTGCTATAAGTAGGCTGCGCTTGAAGTCTTTGAACAGCGTCTTTTCTGCACAGAGTTGGCAAATACGGCACTTTAACATAGTGGTATGCCGAAACGGATTGTTTGTGTCCAGCCACGAACAGGGCGGCCGACTGGTGTTTGGCGCCGTCATTTGAATCCTTTCATCTGCAAGTTCTACACTCATTGGGCTATAAGTCAGGATAGACGGCGAAAAGAGAAAGGTATGCAAAGACCAGCTACAATGAAGATGGAATAGCGCCATACACACATATGCCTCATTCTCGTGCGCTGAAACGTTCTAAACAGTCAAGTGCCGTATTACTCGACCATGCTGTATTACTCGACCATGTAGAAAGAGAAAGGGAAAGACAAAAGACAAAGAATCAAGAAAAAGAGGAAAAAGAAAGAAATGGCTTGAAGCCACAACTCTGCACACGCAGTTGTCTTGACTACGATTTACACGCATCTGGATTAAGGGGGCACACCCACATCCGCAGTGTTGGAGCTTACAAATGCAGTTACTGCGGCATCCTCTACTGCCCATGCCCGTTTCGACACAGCACACCGATCCATAACTCTAAAAATAAAAAATGGAGGCAGAGAGGCAGATTTCATGATGCTACAGATGATAGATGAGCTGCGTAGGAACGACGATTACGAAAGCTATGCGCATCAAGGGAACAATTGGCAGTGGAATGGCCTGGAGAGAGACGTCTTCTCATCCCCCACCTCGTCTGTCGTGGCTGAGAAATGCTCAACTCAACCAGCTTCCATGATTCCCATCGATTTCACAACTCCCATCATCTAATACAGAGCTATTCCAAAGCTTCATCTGAGAAATCAACAAAACTACGTCACAGCCTCCCAGATCCCAGCGACATCCCGAACCAACAACATCGCGACATCCGATCCTCCACTCTCCAACCCAATTCCAATTACTTTTTTTCCTCTTTTTGTCAGCAGAAGCCGACCATCATCCCCCTCCCTTCTTCCCCCCCAATCACGCAATCCGCCCTAAAAATTCCAAAACGGCAAAGCCCATCCAAGCCCGCTTTTCGCCCGGCAATGCGACCAACTATGCCAGATTCCCTCCTCTCTTACTAATACATATTACTGTAGAGCCGGCTGGCTCTGAAATCATCCATTGTAGGTACCTGCTGGGTAGCTCACGGCAACTTTTAGCGCTGAGCACGGACGAAAGATACTTGCGCTTAACATTTTACTGTGCTTGGGCAATTACGTGCGTCAAGAGGAAAGGCGATGATGACATTTGTAATTGAGGCCCCAAAAACACGGGGGCGGCGTCGGGATTGATTACTTATAGCGGACAGAGGGAAAAGGTAAAAAAGGAATATATAAAATCAATTACAGCCGCCCCTTCAGTTTAGTTTTCGAATCATTCCAAGACAATAAAAACAAGCACAGCACAGCTTATAACTGCGATATCTGTTGAGCGCTACCGAGGTTCACCAGTTACACTTACATCATCACAACTCTTCTCTGCAACTCCACCAAGAAAAAAAAAAACTCATAAACCTCTACTGCAACTCCCATCTTCCAACACCTCGACAACCTTCAAACAGAACCACACCTCCCCCAAACAAAACCCCCCAAAAACAACGATCACAATGTCCGTCATCGACATCACCTCCAAGGCTCAGTTCGACGAGCTCATCAAGACCACTCCCTACATCGCCCTCCAGGCCCACGCAACCTGGTGCGGCCCCTGCAAGGCAATCTCCCCCATCTTCACCAAGCAGTCCGACGCCCTCACCAACGACAAGTTCACCTTCGCCCGCTTCGACACCGACGAGGTCCCCGACCTGGCCTTTGAGCTCGGCATCCGCAGCATCCCCGCCTTCTTCATCTTCGAGAACGGCGAGAAGGCTGATACTCTTACTGGCGCCAACCCCCCTGCGCTGCAGAAGCTGACGCAGAGCATTGCCGAGAAGGCCAAGGGCGAGGTGAGTAAACTATAGGTGAAGAATGAATAGAGAGAGAGACAGAGAAAACGTTCGGTTGCTGACAGTGGGGGTGAAGTAGCTCAACACCACCGAGGACTTTTAAATCATGCGGGATAAGCGGAACGAGACGAGATCAGTGCTGCGGAGGATACATGTATATTGAGGGAAAAGGGAAACATTTAACATGATACCTGCCATGCATGGTGTTGGCAAGAGGATAGCACGCACTGCATAGGAACGAGTAGACAGACATACAAGTCAGCTCTAGTCTGCAAATATAATGAATCATACTTGTACAAGACACACACTTTCACATCTGCAATCTCAACAAATCATCGCTGTAAACCGCTCTATTCACTCCTTCATTGCCCGTCTCACGTGTCAGAATCTCCCATGATATCAATACTTTGCCCCCTAATTCTACATACATGCGCCCAACAATACACCAAAAGTAGCCCTCCACAAGCCTTGTTCCGTGTTCCAAAAAGGCCACATGCGTAGCCCTCTTCCCATGATGGCACCACACTGCTTGGTATAACAAAGAAATGTAGACAAAGAATAAAAACTCCACGCTTGGTATGCAGCCGTTATAAACAAATATACAAAAAAAAAAAAAAGTCAAAAGGAAAGCGACCGTTGAAGGCGTTAAACATGGGTCAGCCGTTGCGTTTTCTGTTTGCCAGAACAGCCGCCAGATGAGAAAAATAAAATAAACCAAAAAGACTGTAACACTTGCATGAGCCTTGATTCATGCAAACAACCCTTTGTCTTTTCTCCCCCTTCATCATTCAGCTGTATCGTCACTCATCCTCCCCACTCCAGAATCAGCTCGCTTCTTGGGCAACGACTGATCAGACTTGTGTTCATCGATAATGTCCATTGCCACGCTCGTCGACTCTTGCGACTTGCTCGATCGAATAGGGGGGCCCATTGATCTCCTACGGTTCGTTTGGTCTTCCACAATCTTGGGCCTGTTGAGGTCTGTGACTCCAATGCTCCTCCGATTAGCTGCCCTGTTGGGTGGCTTTAAGTAATCTCCTGATTTTCGAGATTGACCATCGGCAGCGGCGGCAGCTGCATCATGAGTAGGTTCCGTGGGGGAGCTGGCGCTGACCGAATATCTGAGCCCCGAAAGGCTGCCTCTCCACCGGCTGAGGTTCCAAAAGCTACCATCCTTGTCGTTTTCGTCGCTCTCTGCCACACTGATAAAATTGAAACTCGGCGTTGGCGGTTGAGACCCTCCATCCAAGGTCGCTATTGATGCCCGCGTCCGTATGCTACCCGTGGGGCTCGCAAGACCATTCCTCTGCGCGCGTACTGGCGATCCGCCTGGGACAACGGGTTTCCGAGCTTGTGCTGCGGCATTGGTCGTTGGGAGATTGACTGGAGAGATGGGGGTTTTCCTCGGCGAAGCGGATCGTTCGGTCCTAATCGGCGCCACATTGAGGCTTGCTCGCCCTTCATCGTCAACATCTTGGCGCCAGCTCATGATTCGGTCGGACGGATGCTGGGCCTGGCCTGCGCTCAGATTGAGCGAGGTTCGCCTCGACAAACTTCCGCTGGTCCTGGTGATGATGCTTCCACTTCGTCCCAGCCCGCTCACCTTGCTGGAGAATTTGGAGCCCAACTCCCACATGTTTTGTTGGCGCTTGGCGTATGCGCAATCTTGTCGGAATACCTTGATAGTGCCGGTCCTGTCAGTTGTGACTATAATGTTGCCATCCAGATGCCTGCAGCGTTCCAGATAGGCCGGGCTCTCTTCTGGCTTCTTGATGCTCGGTGGCGGATGATGGATCTCAGTGCCCGTTTCAGATACCTCAGTTTGGCTTAGAGCGGCCTCGTCCAGGCTGCGAAGTAAGACTGGCGGCGGGTTGCACAGGTCAAAGATTGGGTCCCCCGAGGCGCTCAACAGCTGCCTGGTACGCGTTGGTGCCAAGAGCGCGGTGGTGACAACTTCGGGGTGAGCATCAAAGCTTTCATATGGCTGGCGATCCTTCATCTCGGCCTCTGTCGTATTCGTGTTCCAGATGTATGCCTTCCGGTCCTCACTGCCGCAGATGACATAGGTCCCATCATCGCTGAAACGAGCGTGAATCTGGCTAGACTGGTTCTCTAAGCCTTTAAACTTGACATCCAGCATCCGCGACTTCAAGCTGTAGATTCGAACGCGGGAATCGTTGGAGGTGATTAATACTTTTACTTCGCCAGTCCCGGCCACCGTAGCCGTCTTGATGCCTGTAATTTTGCTGCCCTTGGCGTTCTTGCCTCGGGACGAACGAACGTGGATCTGGAACTTTTGTTTGAGCCCCTCCGTCTCAAAGAACGAGCACATGCCGTTCAGTACCCCGCAAATGGCCATTTTGCCGTCGGGAGAAAACGCTACGGCCGTAATAAATTCGTTGGTCGAGGCCGAAAAGGCTACCGACTTATCTGGTATGTTCCAAAGCCGGAGCTGAGCATCCAGGGAGCCGGCAAGAAAGAATCGGTCGTCGGTAGGATGGAATGCGATGGATGTGACCAGATCGTGGTGCGTAAACGTGGCGAGGCATTCCTGTCTGCTGACGTGCCAGAGCCTCACCGTCTTGTCCATTGATGTCGACAAGAGGAAATTGTTCTTGCTCCAGCAGAGGGCCAGCACTTCTCCTGTGTGAGCCTCAAACTCGCGAACCGGCTTATTTCGAAACACGGGCGCACTCAGTCGCTCTCCTCTACTCTTTCCCTGAGCGTCTCTTTCAGCCTCCTCCTCTTCCTCGTGCGCCTTGCGCTCCTCTTCCGTTGACAGAACGGCAAAGACCCGAACTATCTGATCCTTGCCCGCCACAGCAAGATAGCGACCATCAATGCTGAATTCTGCGGCCCAAATTGCATCACCGGCTTTAAGAAGCCGTGTACCCACCGCAGTAGCAGGCACACGACCTTGCGACGGCTCGTCGTCTTTCTCCGGCTTGGGCCCCAGAAGCTCCTGGGCTAAAAAGAGGCGGTTAAAGTCTCGGCGTTTGCTGTTGTGCGATCTCACGCGGATATAGCGGGGGGGTTCTTTGTACAGAGGGATGTAACCGCCGCCATCGCTCATGACTGACATTGGGGCACGCGCGCTGCTCCCCTCGGTGCGCAGCTCGCCCAGCTCGGAGTCGGAATCGGGCGCATCGTCGTCGTTCTTCTTGAAGGCGCTCCGCATAGCAAGGCGGCTCAAGAAAGACGTTCCCTTCCTACAGCCAAAGTATTAGCATGCGAGCAAAGACATGGCGTTGCGCGCAACGTACTTTCGATCCTTGGGGAAATCAGCCAGGCCATTTGCCAGGCGGGCCGTATTCTCAAGACTAATGCTCTTCTTGGGGAAGTTTTCTGTCGTGGGGCTATCTGGTTTGGCAGAGCCGCGCAGGCGCTGAGCAAGGGACGTCTCGACGGTGTTGCTATTGGTCCTGAGGAAGATTTGCTTGAATCATGTCTCTGTTAGCATCTCACGTGGGCTTGATCCAACCACAGCAAGAGAGAGGCGAGGCTGAAATACATACCGTGCTCAACGGGTCTAGGGCCGTCGAGGCCGGCGGGGTTGAAGACATGGTTCTAACCGACGCACCCTTGGCTTCCCTTTCCTTTCCATTTTGTAGTTGCTGCGTCGGAGTGCGGGACAGCAGAGTTGTGGACCGCTTTGCGATGGGCAGAGGCTGGGATTCAGAGCTGCCGGATGTTCCGTTGGTGGGATTTTTGGTGCTACCGTCTCTTCTCGAGGCCAATTGGCTGTCGCCCACGTCTACCGGCGATGGTATTGGAGGAGGCATATTCCATGCTGTGAGTACAATACGACTATGCTATGGCAGGCGACAACCCGACGGAGAGTCGTAGCAGCCCGAGGCGACAGTCGCAGAGAGGGACGGATCCGAGCGGAAAGGGGTTAAACGAAGGCGCGATGCGAAGAGAAGAGAAGGGACAGGACAGGACAGGACAGGATGCGGAATGAGAGGCTGACACGATGTGACCAGAGCCTTGCGGGAAAATGGAAGCGAGTCACGAGCTGACCGGCCAGCGAGATGCAGAGCAGAGCAAAACTAGAGGAAAGCAGCTCAATGAGGGCAAACGGACTACGGACAACGTCAGGCCCCGAGTGGGCCGACTAAGCTTCTTTATAAGCGGAAGGCTTATTGCCCCTAGAAGTGCCAATCCGCAGGCTCCGGATACCTGGTCAGGGCCCAGAGACGATGCGAGAATTGCTGGAATAGGGCTTGTCTGGGTTTGCGCGCCTAATTTGCTGGATTAGTCGACGGCAGCGCGCGCATTCCGAAGATTCGAGATGAAGTAGCGGCGGTGGAGCAGGACAGGACGTGGATATGCGGCGCTGAGGAGGAGGACCAGCCAGGGGTGAGGATCCTAGCAGATTGGAGGATGGGAAGGATTGGCGATGGCTGGCAGCTGAGTGGTGTATAATAGTAGTAGCGAATATGATGTATGACCTGGAGCTGGCGATGTTGCAGATATTGATGTTTGTAACCAAGTGGTGAGAATAGAAGAGGAGGAGGAAGAAGAAGAGGAAGAGGCAGACGAGATTGAAGCTGTAGATAGAATATCTAATAGAACCTAGACCAGAGGCGGCAAAGAAAAAAAAAAAAAAAAAAAAGCCACCTGGAGACTTGACAGCTTTTCCCGCTGTAAAGCCCCCCCGATCCCGAGTACGAACAGCACGAGCAGCTTCTTCAGCGCCCCAAAATCTCGATTCATGGGCGCGTTAGTGGCAGCCCCCGCTGCCAAGAGGATCAAAGTACCCAGTACGAATTTCCCGTCGCATGATGACGCAGTGGCCGCGTTTGCGCCTCGTGGAGGATCCAAGGATGCCTTGGCTTATTGGTACCGGTACTTTGCCGCCATCCCCTGGACTGGAGCGTGCATTGTGCATTGTGAAAGGATTCTAGAACTGCCAAGGTTAGAGCCTCACTTTTTTGGTTGTTTGGTGTTGCACGGAGTATTACTCAAGGCTGTATGTCTCAACTTAACTCAACTCAACTCAACTACATACATCACAGCCAATGTCCCCGTATTAATTCTTTCTTCCCTCTCCTGCACGATCCCGCCGCATTCCTAATGCCTTGCATCGATTCGACCCCAGCAATACGCGTAAAGTCGGATTTCAGGTGGCCGCAACACGGCTTTGGCCCATCGTTGTACTATATGCGCGCACTGCCTCGGTCCGATCAATTTCCCCCCCGCCAACGACCCGCTGACCCTGAAAATGTGTCAAAATTGAACGAGAGCGAGCAGCTGTTTTCCATCGTAATTTCCTCTCCAAGAGGCCAATGGGTTACTATGAGGGATAATGTTGTGCGTTGACAGATGGGCTGACCTCGTAATGTATTGATACCTGCAAGGCACGGAGTAAATGCTGCGTATAAGAGGTCACTCGCCACTCTGCGTCTCTCTCTCATCATCATCCCAACGTCCCCCAATCCATGATGTCAATGACCTCATCCCCCTGCCCAGCCGCAAAAATAACTCTTCTCCCGTCTCAATCGAGCAATCGAGTTGTTTGCTTCGGCCGACTAGCCGCAAAGGGGGTGTCCACAGCTGCCCTATGGGGCGACGGCCAAAAAGACGCATGCCGGATGTGCATTGGCTTCTAACAGCCACTTGCAATGCAGTGCAACAGCAGCTCCGTATTCACCTCTCCGTATTCCGTATTCCGTATACATTCTGCCTATTGTGCCTAGAGCATCGGCCCTCGGTTTCTAATTTAGGGCCGCTTTAGCCTATAAACTGGGCTCGTCGCAGGCATTCCCCCATTCCCCCATTCTCCAAAGCCCAAAGCTGACGCCTGGTGATAAAATGACTAGGCTGTCGTGTTGCTTGCGCAAGCGCCAAGGCCTCGAATCGAATCGACAGCTTCTTCCAGCAGGCGGCGCTAGATGCAAATGTAGAAGCATTAGAACGCGCCTAAAATAGTGGATATAACACGGACGTTGTACGGAGCAAATGTCAAACAGTCATCAAACACTCGCACTTGAAACAACAACGCCTGTGTTCTGAGACTGGGGTATGCCAATGAACTAATACTGTAGTAGTACCAAGTAATCCCCATAAAGCCCTCCTACTATAAAGTGCTCAGAAATAGAGTGGACAATCAGTGATGGCAGCATCTCTGGGGGTGGAGGCGCTGGCTCAGAACCTCCATATTATAAGACTGTGGGGTCTTCACACATTGATTGATTGTGTCTTGTCAGACTGACACTACTAAACACCCATTGGTACATTTCGAAAAGTCGTAAATGAAATTATATGACCTATCAAGAACGAGAAAAAAAGAATATTAATCGCAAGCCCATGTGCGCATTGTTGTTCAATGCCTAGTATCAGCAACCTAATATGCGCTCCAATCTCCTGCATCACTGGCAACTAACTAATATTGAAACTAAGCCAATCCAAATGCTTCCCGCAAGGCTCGCTGCAAGGCACTTTTCCTCTCATGCACCCCTCACCCGTTGCAGATTTGACCAATTGGCGGCCAACCCACACGTAATAGGCGACGAATCTTTCACGGATGCATGTCTCTAGACTTTTCAACATGCCGGAGACTCGGAATGCCCGTTTAACGGATCATCATGGCTGGTCTTCCCTTCGGCGACTCCAACTGGGCCAACTTCAACCTACCTGTGGAAGAATTCGGCCTACCTGCTCAGGGCTTTGGACCGCCTACTGAAGACTTTGGACCATTTTCTGACGACACACAAATTGTTAAAGACTTCCTTGTGGAAGAGTTAGATGAACCCGTGCCCCCTCCTCCATCCAAGCACTTCACTAACCACGGCACCAGCAGCGCTTTTAGCAGCTCTGCCCACTCTGGCAAGGAGACCTGGGCCCCTGACGGGGGCTCGACCCAGAACTCGGACCTTGCCGAGCAGAGGAGGATACAGAACCGCATCGCTCAGCGCAACTACCGTATGTCCCTCTCTCTCACACACACATACACACACACATACACACACACTCTCTCTCTCTGACATTTATTTACAGGCAAGAGGCTTACGCGCCGTCTGGAGGATCTTGAGCGCCGCGCTGGACCCGAACAGAGTGATGGTGAGAAGCAGCCTTGGACTGGTATGGTGAACAACTAGCTATTACCCACAAGTGCTAATATGTCATTCTTTCTGATGGCGCAGATTATGGATTGGAGCCACATCTATTGCATCATGAGCTGGTCGCCTTCGAGGGTTGGAGCTGGAGCCCGGAGGATGACCAGCTATTGTTTATAGCTCACATGCTGGGCCTCACTTGGGCCGAAATCAGGGACCAGTACTTCCCATCCAAGACGGCTTCCGCCTGCAGCAATCGCCTTAAATGGCTGCAGGTAATGAAGCGAAAGGGCGCTGATGGTTGGAGCGCTCCTAAAATACACGCGCTTGCTAAGGAGTATATGAGCATGCGTGAGGAGATTTGGAGCGATCTGGCAGCTCGAATGGGAGAGGAATGGAATGTGGTTGAGGAAAAGGTATGCGCCTTCTATTTACTATTTCCACATCTTGGTTCATCTATCTACATACTAGATACTATTCTAATACCATATCTCACATTATCTAGTGCATACCTCAAACCTCTGACGGCTTCCAGAGTGCTACCCATGAAGCCGAGGGCCGTTTAGGCTGTATCAAAGAGTATATGAGTATGCGAAAGGAGATCTGGAGTGGTCTGGCAGCTCGAGTCGAAGAGAAATGGGACGTTGTAGAGGAAAAGGTGAGCCTCTTTTTGTTTATATTACCATACTATTCTAATACCATTGCCTCTCACACTGTCTAGTGTATCTCCAAGGGCCTCTACAGCCTGAAAAGGACCGCCGATATCCTTGAGAAACGCTCAAAGCTGGCATATTTAAAGGCTCAAAGGGAGCTACGTATGCGAACCACTACGAAGACTGATCAAGAAGTATCATCATTGTTACTTAAAGTAGCCGATGAGCCACCTTATCCAACTAATGAAGGAATGTGGGAAGGGGACCAATTCTCCATCATACAGCCACAAATTCGTCCAACTAATAAACTAATGCCTAGTCCAGCTGGATTATTGGACGAAGATATAACGTATACTGTGGTGTCTTCTGTACATGACAAACCACCATCAAAAGACTTGCGCGGGGACAAAATCTTGGCCTCAGGTACAAGCAATCAGCCACCAACTCGAAAAATACAAGAATTCCACTTACTTTCCTGGATGAGAAAGAGGATATTGAGGCCTCGGCTTAAGACGGGATATAGGAGAATTGAATGGACTTGCGTGAGTGTAATAAAGCAACAATACATGTAAATCTCCATTTTTAGACTAACAACTTCGGTTACTAGGATTGCGGCGTGGAACTGTATGGCGATTTCGTCGAAGACAAAACATCTGATTTGGACAACCTACAATCATCCTTGAACACTCCCGTTGAGGACGCATCTCCAAACAGCTCGAGTGATTCGGAGCAGTCGGTAGTAACGCAGACAAATCCGAGACGCCACCTGAGCTCAAGATCGTCAAGCTCTAGCAAGACAGCCGTGTCAACCGGCAGTACAGACGCATCCAGTATCGATATAATACAACCAAAGTTCCTCGCCCTATGTATCAATACTGGAGGAATGTATAAAACACTAGCCGAATTGGATACATCACGAATAAACTCGGACGGAGAGGCCTTTTCGCAGATGAAGAAGGCGTATCTCCAGTATCGGGGCATGCGTTCCCGCCTGCGTTTCTTGATCAAGCCAGTGACTGTTGAGTTTGTCCGAGTAAGTTTGAATTATTTCCCCAGAAACTTTAAGAGCGAAATGAAACCACATGTGAGGCTCGCTAGCTGACAGAGATCTACTAGTTCACCCTATGGAGTTTGCGCCACGGTTATGTGTCGGTATGTGACAGACCGAATTCGATGCCTCCCAACACCCGTATCGACTACGACTTTATACCTCCACCGATGCCGCCCGAGGTCTTCGTGCACTATCTCGAGCACGGCGATGGCGATCTTAGCCCGAATAGATACACATGGCTGCCGCGACTCCCCAAGAGACTTAACAACAAGGTTATGGACTGTGGAGAAGCGACCGAGGGCTGGGGCATTCACGTCATCGAAGGCCCGAACCGTGAGGCCGTGTTTTGGGTCCTTATGGCCACCATCTCGGCCAGCGTGGTGGCGAGTGTGCTGTGGGCCACCCTGGAAGGGGATATTCAGGGTGGCACGGGGCTCGGAGCCCTCATTGTGGCCTTGCCACCGGCGATAATGGCTGCTTTTCTCTTTCGGCTAGGAGCAGCGTGACGGTAGAGATACATAGCGGAAATGTATCCAGTATATCTATATACATCTATCATATGCTAGTAGATCTATAAATATTCATATCAACTACATCAACTATATCAACTGCATCTGTTACATCTGCCAGTTTCCGAAAGTTTGGATCTCTTCTATCCACGAATTACTCTTGCCGACACACCAGAGACTTATTGCGAAGTAGCAGCCTCGATCCTCCTTGAATTTAAAGATTACAAAATTTTAGAATTAATAGATGGTGCTCTGTGGACTCTACAGCAAGCTTATCCAATTTCACCCACTTGTTCGAATTTTACTGTGCATCATGCCGAAAGTTTCGAGATTTGTATAAGCCTATGCTAAGAAGTGGCAAGTTCCGTTTATTACAGCACTGTCAATATCAATTCACCCTAGAGAGGTGGCAATAGAAGAGAATATTACACTGCTAATTCTCTATTCAATATATTAATTGTAGATACCTAGGCAAAGGGCCAGATGAGGCTTGGTGGCGCGGGCACTATCGTTGGAGGGGCGCTGCTATCATCTTTGGCTACCAACCTAAGCATGCAAAAGCGGATTTTGTTATTAGCCCTCACTCCAAGATATTGTTTCATTGGCTCAAATTCAACTACTCTGATAGTTTGGGTCAAAGTTTCTGACCAGGACGTGCGTTCTATTTCGAATGTGTCGATGTCGGCGGAGAATAGGGTAGTAAGTGTGTATTACAGTATTCACACAGCACTGTCATCAACAATATAAATGTAAACGCATATATATTCCCTCTAAAATGGAGCTAAAAGCTAACTAAACCTGGCACCAATTTTGAGTACTGAAGTAGATTTTTTTTATCCTTAACCGCCCTGCAACCCTCTTATGATTCAACATATTCACTATGCTGGACAACCGTAGACCGCCCGCAGAGAGTTTGTTGTGAACATGTTCATAAGTAGGACACAAACCAGAAATGCACTTAGGCAGCGGTAGCAAAGCCGATGCGGCCGTTGGTGGTGTCAAAGACGGAGTAGTAGTTCTCCAAGAACTTCTGGCCAATAATGGTGTTGACACCAGAGCTGCCACCGTCGTTGATCCAAGCATAGTACTTGCCAGAGCTGAGTCCGTAGAAGCTGTACTGGGCGGTGGGGACCAAGTACTGGGCGGGAGTGAGGCTGTAGGTTGTTGAGCCAAACTTGATGTTGAAGTTGGATGTGGGCTGCTTAGTGAAGACAGCGAGGCCAGAAGAGCTGTCAGTCTTGCCACCGGCGGCAGACAGGAAGGCGTTGTAAGCCTTGGTGGGGATGTAGATGAGAGTGGTACCGGTATCGACAATACCAGTGGCAGACGATGCGAGGGTGGTCGAGCCGTAGGTGAAGCTAGCAATAGAGATGCCCCAGTAGGGAGCAGCAGAGCCACTGGTGAGGGTAGGGAAGTAGGTGAGGGAGCCCGTGTACTTGGAGCTATCAACACCACCGAGGGTCAGCTCGCCGTTGGTGTCATCGCTGTCGCTGCCAGACTCCGGCTTGAAGTAGACACCAAGCACCTCGCTGGAGATGGAACCTTGGCTGTAGAGGTTATCCAGGAAGGTAGGAACAGTGTTGGCATTGGAGACGGTGTCCTCAGTGAGATCAACCGGACCAAAGCCGATAATTCCATCGACACCATCAAAGCCAGTGGAAGAGCGGGCAGAGCCAATCGACTGAGATGAGACGGTCAAGCCACCGAAGCTAACAGTGTCCTTGTACTCGGTACCGGAGAAGGAACCAGAGCCATAGCTGACCGAGACAGAACCGCCGGTGGACTTGCCAGTGGAAGAGGGCTCACACTTGCTCTGAGCACCGCACCAGGTGTTGGAAGCTAGAGAAGTTATCAGGTTATCACGCTCTTTGCTCAGTGTTATGTAACAGCGACTTACATCCAGTGTCGACAATGAGGTCATAGGACGAGCCGCCAATGCTGACCGATGCAACATAGGTAACATCCTCGTTGGTGACAGGGCCGGAGCTAACATCAATGTTACCCACGGCGGCCTTGGCACCGTTGATCTTGTTGATGCGGGCCTGGCCCTTTTGGACAACATTCTTGAATGATTTGACGTTGGAGACGCGCTTCACAGACAGAGCACCAGTCTTGGCACTTGGCTTTACCGGCGATGCCAAGGCGGTAGTTGCAACCGCAACAACTGCAAGGGAGGAGAAGAGCATGGTGTCAGAAGACGGAGATTTTCAGCTGAGAACAGACCGGTTTGAAGAGTGAATGTTGTTGATTCAAACTGTTGAGAATTGGAGTAGGATACTAGGCTTTTATACACTAGATTCTTCTCCATTGCACGGCATACTTGGACTCTCTCCATCTCAATGAGGATTAGAGCAAGACGGATCACGTCAATTGAACTTTTGATTCTACCAGTTGATACACTTCCGTCTTAACCGAGCAATGCATATGAGAATTGTTTGTACGCGGGTAAAGCGGCGCACGGGTGGTTGCTGTAGGTGCCAAAAAATTCCTTAAACGGACTTGTGATCGAACATTCTGGTGGCTATTCTTGAGGCTCGAGAGGCTAGACTACACGCGTGGTGACGATACTCGCTTATTGGATACCGGCTCCGTCCTCAGCTATTACTAAGACCTGCTGTATAAGGCAAGTCTTATCCTGTGGTGCCTCTCGCGCAGCCGCCGCTAACAATGGCCCGCAAACATGGGCTAGTTGCGGAGGGGAGATAAGAGCTTCCATATATAGCAGGTGTATTAATTATTAAGAGCGGGAGCGCCATCCGCATGCACCATTAGACGTAGTGCAACGATGATCCCCTTAGAAGCTTGGCAGGCTACCTAATCGAGATTTTGCTCCGGAGTCAAGAGATTTATTTCCCTTAGGTGGTCGGAACGATAGTGCCGTTGGGCGAGGGGTGGCGCAACTTCGATATCTTCCGAAACAGCCCCCGCCATCATTAACCGCTTCAACACCACAGGTGATATCCAAAAGTGCCGGCCCTTAAGCCTAACTCGCAGAGGGACCTGGCGGGGCGACAACAAAAGGCCCATGCAATATGCGATTATTGCCGAGAGGGACGCTGTATTATTGGCTATCGTTGTCCCAACCGCTGTGTAACTCCCTGTCGAGGTATGGTCTGTAATGTTGTGATCTGGAGCCGGCACAACGTTATCGACAACGCAGTCAAGGCGTGAATCAGCACCCCTGTCTGAATCGCATCGAAACATGCGATTCGCCGCAAAAATAGAAACTAACTGAAGATGTCAGGTCCAGGTGTGAAGCTCAATGTGCCTAGACCTTTCTGAGAGAATGAAAGGACAGTGCTCTCCTTAGGGTATGTACGCCATCTTCTGTTCTCAACGCTCCGAATCCATCTCGCCATCCGCTTTCATGTCAGAGTACATGTTGGGAGACTTGGTAAAGGTTGAAACTTACCATACATTTCAATAAGGGAACTCAAATTACTTTCATAATTGATACCATGACCGCACCAGACTCAGACCAGACTCTCGAAAGAAGAGGACGGATGACCTGAGGAGGTACCGTCGAGGTAAAATGAGAAGAGTTTTGTGGTCTCGAGTGCACAGAGAGAGGCAAAACGTCAACAGGTCCCGACGGTGGCGGTTCAAGTAAGAGGGCAGCCGGTGGCTTCATTGGCTCCATTGCAACTATTGATAAGATTAAAGGAAAAGCATGCACGACCTGAAAGCTTGTGCTAATCCGCAGCAACAGCAAGGTCGAGATCAAGTCGCGACGTGTAGTCAGAGCTGAGGACTTAGACTTACGGAGCAACATACTTTTCCATACTCTGTTTGAACAGGGAGGAGATTCGGACCGAGTTGAAAGAATGGATGGGGCATGCAATAGACGAAACCCAACGTTATTGTTGGCAAAGCGCTGCGTCCCAACCATCATTCTGGGCAACGGAGTTGCCAAAGGAGGAAAGAAGAGGTCGCCGACATCGATCGCACATAAATTGCTGTTGTGATAGAGATGGTTCTTGAATGCAGGTGAAATCTTCCTCATTTGTATGATTAATGCCAGACAATTGATTTTTGATAGTGTTCACTTATACATCTACAGGAACGAGCGGGTATGCAACTTATCTTAAAACATAATGTTGTAACCATCCTAAATAGAGCTTTATAACGATCGAACTTGACAAGTATCCCGTCGCATAATGAGAAAGTGTGATCGAGTGAGCCATCGATCCATTACCGCTATCTATAATGTAGCACATTGGTGATCGTCTAAAAAGAACCATTGCGCGACGCGATATTTTGCTCAACTTGGGAGAATCTCGCTAATATATAGCAATCAACAATAATTGAGTAAATCCTTGACTTGAATTCTCCATCATTTCCTCCACATCCTTTCATTTAAATTGATATTGATCTCTGGGTACCTATTCAATTGAGAATCTCTCGAGCTGTTGAATGAGTGGATAGTGATGATGCGGGGAAACAATTCAACAACTCTAATTTGATATTTTACGTCTACTATCTCTTCTGCAATTTACCTATATAGAAATATATATTTGTCTACAAGGATAGTTTGCACAGCGATGTTGCCTACTTACAATAGTAGGTTTATAATAATATGTATCATTATAGTAACAAATTATTAGACTAACACAATTATCAACAGTATAACTGTATCAAGTTACGCTTCTGGCTTGGAAAAAAAAAATACCTAATGCGCAGTCCAATAGTTTTAACACTTGCTCTGAGATCTCTGTTATCCAAGTAGCTTGCTACTGTGGCATAGTATTCCGGATCTTCCAGAGACACTTTCTGTATCTCCTCCTTCAGATCGTGTCTTCCATCTCTTGTGTGCACTTTCGATTGATAAACCCCTTGCCCTAATAGATATCTCACAGTAGCCAACCTCCGGGCGCAAGGGATTCGAGGGCGAAAACCGTTCTGGAAAAGAGCTGACGACATATAGAAAGAGTAACCAAAAATTGCGTTTTCGAGAAGCCCTAGGGAATCTCGGGAAAACCGCTGAGCTAAATGAGGTCGGTCTGAGAGCGCCATAGCCTTAATATAGGGTAGAATAGAGAATTGTGCAGCTAATCCAAGAAAAGTGTTTTGGATCCGCCATCGTCGCTTGGTGTCCTGTCCAGCTGACCAATGGTCAGCATATTTGCCGACCATTGCCCATCCAATTGAAGTTTCTTGAAATAATTTGCTGACCTGAGCATCAAATGAGTTCAGGGAATTGACGAACTCCAACGCATTCTCCGGATTGTCTTTGACCTCACTTGCATGCCAAAGGGCTCTCGCTACAGTATCCCAAAAGTCTCCCAGCTCGCTCAATCCCTGGTGAGATACAATGAGAGCCTCAACTTTTAGGATACATAAGTGAGGATCAAATTGTGTACTCGAGGAACAGATCAACTGCCAATTGTCAGGCTGCACAGCCCAATCCCGAGCAGTGCGGTGGATGAAGTCAACAAAACCACCGCTTGAACTTGCATTAACTTCCAAAATGCACTTGGTGCGAGCTGCAAGTTTCCTTTTCAATGACTTCATAGCGACATCTTTCCAATTTTCATCATCGGGGAGGTTGTTGATGTCTATTGAGGTAAACCTCGATTCTTCAATCAGCCACATTGTAAACCATGGCAATGGGCCGTCAGCAGCTCTCAGCACCTGCATCATATAGGAAGCATCAAGGAGATTTTCCGGACGGATACTGGCCCATATGGCATCGTACAGGGACGAGATGTCTGAAGGGAGGACTTCGAGGATTTCCCGAGCTTGAGCTATCGACTGCCCTTCGAGGAAGAGGGCCTGTAAATGTTGCACAACTATCGAGACCCAGATAAAAACCCCATTTGCCCTCTGCACTATATCAGTAAGAAGCTGAGTAGCGGCTGCAGAATTCAATTGCTTCTGCTCATCAAAGCCTTTGTTACCCTTGAAATTTTCTGTGACAAAGGTTCTCATGTCTTGCTTTGTTAGTAGATGCATTCGAAGCATTGGGCCTTCGTTAAATTCATCTTCAAATTCTGTCCATGGTCGGCTTGCAGCGCATACTTTAAGTCCACTTTGGCATCGTGCAGTTATATGTCGAATACATTTGATGACTTCAATAGGCGGCAAGTCGAACTCGTCAAGCCCGTCAATAAATAATGCGAGTTTGATATTCTTTCCACACGAGGGGAGCAATGTCTCGATGGACTCCTCTATGTCCTCCGTATTCCACATGGGGATGCCTGAGGTGCTTCTTAACACTTGGCAGAACGCCCAGCGTCTTGGTGTCAATATTGGGGCTAAATCAGGGCATTGGTCCAACACTTGTGATATAATGGTCCTTTTGAGGCCCTCGAGGGACTTCTGTAGCGTGTTACCCGGATTCCATGCGTAGTATTTGACAAGAAGAAGGCGGAGTGATCCAAGAGACTGGCATTGCGAATCCCAGAAAGACTTTTGTCGCAATATCAGTTTCATAATAGTTGATTTGCCAGAACCTGGCTTGCCTGTGATCCAGTAGACTTTGTTCGAGTCATCTTCAAGCCACTTAGGGAAGCTGTCCCACATGGGTATATCGTGTGTTTGTAGAGGTTCATTTTGGAAGATCCAAGAATATGTCGTATGAAAGTTGTCTGAAATCGCCTCCTCGCGTGATTGGATGGTATTAAACCGAATCCCTGCGGCTATAGCTTGTGCAACAATGGTAGGGTTAATCTTCACCGAGGAAGAGTCTGTCATGGAAATATCCAGCTTCCAATCATTCTTCCAAAGAAGCTTGACAAGCTCTCTGCGAACTGCGGCCGAAGCTCTGACCTCGATATCAAGAGATCTAATTATGCTCTCCGCTAACTGTTTCAGTGATAGCGACCCTTTTCCAGGCTGAACCAGTGGTTGTAGAGTTTCCCTCAGCCTGATCACATCCTCATCTGTGATGAGATGAATTTGATCTTGTACAGATGTCTTCTGGCTTGATAATGATAATTCCGGACAAGTATCCGCTTTCGTTTTCTCGGTTCTTTCAAATAAGTCAATGACTTTGTCTAGTTGGTTACTAAAGTGCAATTCCCATTGTTTCGTACGCTTTGAGTCATCCCTAAACCGCGCCCGCGAGTTAGTTCCTGCATTTAACTGGGTTTGTCTCATAAGATGATATTGCTTAGTTGACCACACAAGTGCAAGAACGTACCAAAGACTTAGAACCACAGCATCAATCACGTTGCGTTTGAGAGTCTCAAATCGCACCCTGATCCCTTCAAAGTCTTTTTCATTCCTTCTGAATTCCTTGATCTCTTCCTCGTTTCTCTTCTGGCAATCTTGACAACTTGGCCCATTTTCATTTGTTTTAGCCGAACGACGATATATATGTAAGTTGCAATTCATCTTCTCATTATTAGGTGGCTTAATCTGATTTCTGATATTCTCCAGATCTTTTGAAAGGCTGGTGCAGTTGGACAGTAACTGCAATGGTTGATCCTGGGCCGATGTTGTGGGTGCAGAGGCCATCATATCTTCGGAAGCATTTCGGATGCCGCGAATTTGGAAATCCAAGTCAGCAAAGGATTGCATTAAATTTCTCTCCTCTTCCCTAAGTTTCCTGTTATCAGGCTTTTCCTTTTTCAATTCGTGTCGCATCTGTTCGTAATATCTCCAGCCCTTGACAAGGAGTTTTCCACCCATGTCCAGAAACTGGAATACCGCCGCCGCTATCGCTAGGCCACTAAGAGGATCCATCTTAACGAAGACAGGTATTGAAGATTCGGCTTCTAAATACCAGTGGCTCTCTAAACTATGGCCTTCGAATATGACGTGATTGGCGGCTCATGCCGTTTCTATCCACAGGAGTGAATAAAAAAGATATCAGACCGCAAAGCGGATACAAAAACAACAAGAGCAATAAAAAAAGTGCAGGAAGCATGAAAGAAAGAAGGTGTGTGGCGCTGCATGAAGCAGCCTTATGTTCTAATAAAATATTAGGCAGCCTTGGGCATTCACGCACGATCGAACCAATAAAAACACCACCTTGCAATTCACTATAGGCGGATCCTTTTTCGCCCTACTTTATGTGATTTATTACCGCAGCCTCTTTTTGTAAAAGTATCTTTATAATAATCTGCCTTGTAAGAAGCCTTAAAATTAGGATAAGCTACGTATCTGGGGGACTACATATGATGTGAATCAAACTAGTAATTACACAGCGACTCACAATTTCCACGAAATATCGTAAGGGGAGAAACTTTTCTATTACTCAATCCATTGACGATTATTCGTGTCAAATGAGTTTTGTCGAACAAAACACCAACAAATACCTCTGACATGCATAAGCCTCATTAATACTGCCGGATACAGTCTGGAAAATGGGCAATGGACTGAGCAATGTGTTATCAGATTTCTAGAAGTAAATAGGGTCATATCGGGGTTATTTTCTTTTTTTAAATCATGAAAGTGCTGTAGCGGCTTTTATAGCAAAAGAACAATTTAGCACTCGACGGGATGTTTTGTCTCAAGATGCTGCAAGGGCCCAAGTGTAGGTGGAACCAACAAACTCGTATAACCCATCACTTCAATGGCCCACTCTCACTCTCAACTACTCCTTAGCTCCAAAAGCAACTACCTTGTGGAAACAAAATGGCACCGGAGGGCTAGTCCAGTGGAACTGGCTTGCCGGATCCTCGGGATACTTAACCACGGGCGCTAAGATGCGCAAGTCTTTCCCAAATACGCTGTCTTCAAAGTGGACATAAAAGTCCTCATCCCCTGTTAACGAGTGGAGATTCTTCTCGGCATGCCGGTCCCACGCCGCCAGGACCCGGTAGTACATCTCGACGACGAACAAGTCAGGGGTGATGCGTCCATATCCAAACCTCTTCTCGATGCTCTCTACCACGTCCCTCTGGTATAAGCCAACCCACGGCTCCAGCGTCGTGACTTGGTACGCGACAAGACTGGCGCATCCCGTCCAGGAGCCCCCTAGCCTGGCCCGGTCCCGAATCATCGAGAGGATGGCGAGAGCACCCACGACGCCTGTCGACATGTCCGCGATGGGCAATGATGGCAACACGCCGGCGCCCTCAGGAAAACCTCCGTAAGGGTCCGACGCTGCCATGACCCAACTACATCCGGACTCCGCGTCGGCCACCTGCTGAAACCCGGGTCGCTCGGCGTAACATCCGTCTGGCCCGAAGCAGTTCTCATCGAGAAAGACGACGCCACGCTTCCGCGCTGCCGCCAACTCGAGCGCAAGTGGCTGTCCAAACCCGCGCCGCTCTAGTGACCGCAGCCGGTATCCCTGGATGATGACATCGGCGTCGGCGATCAGCCCGCGCAGCTTCTCGCGATCCTCTTCCGCGTCGAGGTCGAGGTGCAGCGTGCGCTTGCCCGCCATCAACCCACACATCTGCGCCGGCGTGAAGTCAACCAGCTGACGCGGCTGCACACGAAGCACGTCGGCGCCCATAGAGGCCAGGATACCACCTGCTGCGGGCGCCGCGATGATGCGTGCCAGCTCGAGCACCTTGATCCCTGCCAGGGGCCTGGCATCGCCGCCCGTCTGCGAGAGGGTCGGCAATGGCACAGGCGGTTGTGCGTCTGCGCTGAACTGCACCTGCTGGTAGTTGATTAGCGGGTGGTTGGCGAGAACTTGGCCCATGGTGGTCTCCAGCCAGGATTGCGGCGAGCGCACGATGCCGCCGCACAAGCCGCGCTCGACCATAATCATCTCGAGCTCGCGCGACGTAAAATGGGGTTGGATCTTTTCCTTGATATGCTCATAGGCTGCGTCACCGTTGGGGAATACGGCATTGGGGTCAACCCCAATCACCTTGAGGACCGGGTCCGGGAACGTGCTCCCGTGCAGTTGGTACCAAGTTCCGTCCTTGCATGGATAAATAGCTTGACAGCGCATCTTGAGGGTGGCGCTGAACGCGCCATTGTCCGAGGACGGTAGCTTCGGGTGCTTGAGCAGGGACGGGCCCGACTCACCGTCGATATGCACCAGGGCAGGAGTGGCGAGATACATGCCGGCATGGTCGACATTGACGGTTGTCGAGCCCGAGGTTTGTATTCTACGGAGTTGCAGGATCTCATGCCCAATGACGCCGGCCATGGCATGCAAGGCCGCTGTGACGGCCTGCGACTTGATGGGTCCTGCTATGAGTGGCAAGCTATCACCAGAAAATTTGACGCCGCTTAGGAGCTTCTCATCTTTGGTGAAGCCGGGTGTTCTGGCTGCGAGTTCTCGAAAGATTCTCAAGCTCTCTTCGGGCACGGGGGTAAATTCTGTGTCTGTATATGTACCGGGGCCGTAAGCACCTTCAGTACGCTTGTAGGTAGTGGCGTTTTCCTTCTGCAAACGCTGCAGGATGGATTGCTTCATCTTGGATGATGGGAAAGGAGGGCCTTGAAGTGTTGACGAGGAATTCGATGGTAGGTATGGGGATGTTCATTGATTGATGTGAGAATGGGTAGCCACCGTCTCAATATTCTTGGATGTCGGTCAGGGCTTTATATAGGGACGGCCGAAAACCTCGAAGGAATACCTGCATGATTAGAGAGTATCATTCTTGCAGGGGACCTATGGCTACGTGGCCCACAACTTGAGGGGTATGACCGACGTCGTATTGTAAATCCCTCGTCAGTCTTTCAGCTGTCTCTCTTTATCAAAATTAATATTACTTTAAAGCCATTCGTAACCCAGGTTTAGACATGAACACTGCTGGCAATAGAGTCGTTATATAGTCTTAAATTTAAGCACGACTATACAAAAGCTAAGGCTGCACTAGATGCTATAGCCCTGCCCCTTAGCTATAAACTAGTCAAATAGTAAGTTATGGAAGGCTTATAGCACTTATGTGACTTCGCTATGCAGTGTAAGGACAATAGTCTGCGACAACCTTGAGACGGTTGCATCATCCCCACAATGCAACCCCCTACCACCCTCATTTTTAATAGTTATACCCATCAAGTTATAGACCCTGCATCGACAGGTCCCATAGAAAAGTAATACTTTCTAGGCTAGCAGGTATACTTTTTAAGCCGTCCCTTTATATACCGACGTCCTTACTCGACATCCTAATCACAGCAAAGTCATATTATAGACGTAGATTCGTAAATTAACGCATCGTTCTTACCTCGATCTTTGTAGAGAAAGAGGGCTCCGCTGCCGCAGTGGTAACATACCGCGGCAGCGAACGGGAACTCCGCTTCACTCCGCTTCTATCGCCATTCCGACTGGCTGAAGCAGCTAAACAGCAAATGGCATAAAAGTGAAGATGAACTCGGCATATAGGATCCTCGGCAGTTTCGTCATCGGACCCTACTTTTTATTATCGCTTTCACCGTAGAATGTAAAACTTGCTTGTTAGTTGTAGAACACTTGTCAGAGCCGGTCATTCCGAACATGACGCCTAGCGCCAACGTTGTAAATAAATATATAACCGACTCTCTGCAGAATAGATATATCCAGATCTTTATGAGAACCTTTAATTACACTTGCACAACATATTTCGCTAACCTTACAATATCTCCCCTAGTATATCATGGCCACATATCCCATAAGAACTGTCGCAGTCGTGGGCACTGGAGTGATCGGCTCCAGCTGGACGCTCCTCTTCTTGGCAAAGGGTCTCAATGTTATCGTCGCCGACCCAGCGCCTGGAGCTCACGAAAAGCTCGCGGCGTGGCTGAAACACGAGTGGGTGACAATGGAGAGAATTGGACTCGCCGAGAATGCCTCACTGGACAATTACAGATTCGTGGAGAATATCGATGATTTTGTTGGGCAGGTTGATTTAATTCAAGAGGTAAGGAATCGTCCATCATGGGTCGCAAAGTACCATACTGACCTGAATGCTGTTTCAAGAACGGACCAGAACGAGTGGATTTCAAGCGCAATCTCTTTGCTCATCTCGATGCGATATCCCCGAAGGATGTCCTGCTCATCTCCTCATCGTCCGGCATTCCCTCTTCGCAATTTACCATGGACTGCAAGGAAAACCCGGGTCGGGTTTTGATAGGGCATCCTTTTAATCCTCCTCACCTGTTACCTTTGGTCGAAGTGGTCCCGCACCCTGGTACGGAAGAGTCTTGTACGCTGAGGGCCATGCAATTTTACCGCTCGCTGGGCAAGAAGCCTGTTCATATAAAGCAGGAAACGCCTGGCTTCGTTGCCAACAGATTACAGATGGCCCTCTACTATGAAGCTTACAGTCTGGTCTCTCGAGGCGTCATTTCAGCCGAGGAGCTTGGTACGTCCGCAAGCAGTATGAATTTTATTGTTACCTTTAACGGCTAATCGATAGTTATCCAGATATCACTATTACTTCTGGCCCAGGTCTTCGATGGCCCTTGACGGGACCTTTCATGACCAATGCCCTTGGAGGAGGAGGAAGTTTCAGACATCTTCTCGAACATATTGGCATGTCAGCAAAACCTTGGGTAGAAGATATGCGAAAGCATGCGTTTGACCTTACACCAGAGAGTCTCAACACTCTAGATGAAAGCGTGCAGAGCTGGATTAATAATGTCGATATTGGCCAGGTGGAAAGAGAACGAGACCAGGTTCTCTTAGATTTGATGGAGAGCAAATCAAAGGCGTCTTCATTGAACTAGTTTATTAATATATTTTATCCAAGTTTAACCCTCAGGACTCAGGCCAGCCTTGGGGCAGCTTCTTGTCCATACTCACTGCTCCACCAGGATGGTCGCGCACGTGTTCCGTGATGTTGTAGACTGAATTTGACTTGTCACAAACGAGATGGATAAAGGCTTTCCAGGGGCAGCGTATTTTGTAAGATCTTACCTTTTCCGTAGATGCTGATCCATAAGTTATCCCTGGCCTTGTGGGCTACAACATCACCCGTTGCACTCCGTATACAGCGACACATTTGCCATTACTGTAAGATCTTAGCGCCAGAGGGATCGATTAAAAAAAGTAGAGTATGAAATGTTTCCTGGATACTCAACAGGGAAATTTGGTTGAGGCTGGTGGTGAGGTGGAACGATGAATTAGCGGAAGGTGGTTTCAATTGGAGAGGATCAATTAGGCCGCTTTTTAATGTTTTTTTCGGGCGTCCAGGGATTTTCAACGGCATATCCTCCTTTTGATACAGCTGCGAGATATTGAAGACGAGCGATTTGGATACATGGCCTTGTGCAGGAAGCACCTTCGGCAAATCTCTCCTTCGGGAGCTACTACTGATGTAGTCTAGACTCGGTTCCGAGGTTAAGATGCCAATCCCAGCCAAACAGGGGGACAGCCTCGGGTAGATAGCCGAGGTCGTCTCTTCCAGCAGTCCCGTGGCCATTATAATAGATGGGCACGAAGTGCGCGATATACTAGGACCTTAAGGTTTTAATAATATATGTTGGGAACTACTTAAAGGTCTATCTAGACCATTTTGGGAATTATTAGCGTCTCTTTGACTAATATAGGCACGTTTTTAAAATAACTGATATAGTCGTACAGTCTATTAAAATAATAACCTAATTATTTCAGCAATTACATTTACTAAGTTTAATTTCTTTTAAAAAAAAATTAATAAATTATATCCTTTTACTACCCTTAAACCTTTAGCGGCTAGTATTTTCTTAAGTAATATAAATACTCTTAAGTAGAGGGTAGTATATAAATTTCTGCCTTCTGCCTTTAGCCCTAAAGCAGTCCACTATTATACACTAACAGTGTAGAAAACAGTAAAGTAAGCCTTTAAAATTTTTAAAAAACTTAATTATAATAGTAAAATATAAAATATATATTAATATATACTAAGGCTTAGTTTATAAACAGCTGGTAAACTTACGTATAACGTCCTAATCCCTATTCCTAGTATAGGGTAAGGGTTCCTAAGGTAATAAACCTAAGTTATAGGTTTATATTAGTAAAGAGGATAAAGAGTAGCTTTTAAACAGTTATAATTATAAATACGTAAAAGTAAAATAAAAGGTATAATTTATATTTAGTTTTAATTTTTATTAATAACTAGCTATTTAAACTATTTAAATAATTATAATAAAGTAAACTTATATATTTAGTTATTTTTTTAGGCTTATATTATAATATCCCTTTATATTAGGTAAGCCTATAACTTTAATATTAAGGCTTACTTTTTAAATTATATATATTAAAGTAAGCATTAGAATCTTTAATCTTAATTAATTGTTTTTTTTATATTTTATTTAAAGGGGGTATATACTTCTGTTTAGGTTATAATATAATATCCTTTTTTTATTAATCTTACCTTTAAGGCTTATATATAATATATTAAGCCTTTATATTAATTCTTAGGTAAATCTTTTTTTTTATTTTTAATAATGCTTTATAATATTATTAAATAAAGTTAATAGTCTCTTATTATTAAAAAATCTTTAAAAAATTATAAAGTAATAGTATTTATAATTAAGATTATTAGATTTTTTATTATATTTTATTTATATTATAAAATTAATAAATTATTTTATAAAATAGTGCCTAGGTATAAAAGGTATAAAGAGTATATATATTATAGTTATATTTATAATAAAAATAGGATTTTATTAGTTAATAGTAAATAATCTTTTATTTTTATTAATGTTTTTTATATTAATTTTATAATATAATGTTTAATTACTGAAAAAGAGTATATAAATATTAAAAAGTATTAAATAAAATAAAAACTATTATAATAATAGTAGTAAGTAATATTATTAATTTAATAAATAAATAAAAAGTTTATATAGTTAATTAGGCTGTAAAAGTAGTATAAATAAATTAATATTTATAAAGAGTAGATACTTTATAAAGGTGTTTATTTTTTAAATAAGTTAAATAAGATAAAATAAGCTAAGTTAAAGGTAGTTATTAATATATAGTTTTTTAGCGGGGTTAATATAATTAATTAAAATATGGTTTTTAGTAATATAATCTAAGGTTTTAATAAAACTGTTTTATTAATTTCTAAAAGTTAAAGCTTTTAATAAGTTCTTAAGTGTTATAGGTAGGTTTATACTTTTTTTATTAAACTAAGTATTTAATTTTATTATTATATTTTAGGTTTTAGTATATAATAAATATTTTTTTTATATTTTAGTTTTCTTTTTTTTTTAATATTATAATTTTATTTAAAATTAGTTTTTTAGTTTTTTTATTAATTTATACTTTTTTTAGTAATAATATATAAAATATTAAGTATTTTAGTTTTATATTTTTAAATATTTTAAGTTTATAGTTAATTTTTTTAATTTTTTTTAAAATTTTAAATAATTTAATTTTCTTAAAGTTTAATTTATTATTTAATTAGTTTATTTTAATATTTAGTATTTTATAGTTTTATAAGTATTAAATTAAATAAACTATATTTTCTTTTTAAAGGGTTAATCTTTTAATTTTATTTTAATTTATATAGTATTTTATATAGTTTTATATAAGTTTAAATTAAATATATAATTCTTTATATAAATTAATTATAAGTTTTGCTTATATTTATACTTTATTAGTATTTAGTTTTTTAAAAGGGGGTTTATATATTAAAAGTATATATTTATAAAGTATATAGAATAATATTAATTTAATAAATTTAGATTTTATATTATTATAATAAAGTTAAGCGAAAGGTAATTTTTTAATTTAATTATTTTATTTAAAATTAATATAGTATTATAAATATTATTTAATAATTTAGTTTATTTTTTTTATTTATTTATTTATTTATAAGTAGTAAATAGTATTAAGTTTATAATTAACTTTAAGTCTTACTATTAGTTTTTATTAGAACTTAAAGGTAAATATTTATTTTTTATTTAAGATAATTTCTTTTAGTAGGCTATAATTAATTACTATTATCTTAATATAGGTATATATAAGATTTTCTATATTATATAACTTTTTATATAATAGAAAGTATATTTATTTTATAAATTTATTTATTATTATAAAAATATTATTATAAATAACTTTTATAAAGGGTTTTTATAATAATAATAGGTTTATAATATAGTTAAATATAATAATTTTTTAAAGTAATTTTAAAATTAGTAAAAATTATAGTATTTTATATAGTTTATATTATTTATATTTTATTTATTAATATTTATTATATATTAATATAATATTAACTATTATTTTTTTTATTTCTTAAAATAAGTAAACAGTATATATTTATTAGTTTATAGTTATAATTCCTTAGTGTTTAAACTAAGGATATTTATAAATATATTTTATAACTTTCTTCTATAGGTTTAAGGGTACCCAGTATTTAATTTTAACTATTAATTATCCTTTTTTAAATATAACCTATAAAAAAAACTTATTTTTTACTTAATTTTTAATATATTTTTTAATTTCTTTAAGTATTTCATTATATTTTTTAACTTAATATATTATATATAATTTTTTTTATTTATAATTACTTTTTATATTTTTTTAAAAAATTTATACTTAATAGTTTAATATTTCCTAAAAGTAGTTAAGTCTTTGGCTTAAAGTGTTAGTATATTTATTTTTTTCTTTTTTATAGTATATTAATTTATATTTATAGTTTAAAAAGAATTTAAAGTATTTTAATTATTATTATAATAATTTCTAAATAGTAGTAAAAAATATAATATTTTTATAGTTAGTGTAGATTTTAATTTTATATTTATTTTTTTAATAGTAATAGTTTTATTTATTTATATAGTTTTTTATTTTTAGAAATTTCTTATTGTAGATAAGGTAGTGTATTTTAGTGTTAGTTAGTTTTTTAGAATAGAAGGCTATAGGGTGGAGTTTTCTGTTGTTGCTAAGTTAGTTTATTACTCCTCCTATTATGTATTCTGATGTGTTTATTTTAATGATAATGGGTGTTACGACCTAAACAGAAGTATATACCCCCTGGGTAAAATATAAAAAGAATAATTAATTAGGATTAGGGATTTTAATGTTTACTTTAGTATATATAACTTAGGAAATAAGCCTTAATATTAAAGTTATAAGCTTACTTAATATAAAGGGATATTATAATATAAGCCTAAAAGAATAATTAAATATATAAATTTATTTTATTATAATTATTTAAATAGTTTAAATAGCCAGTTATTAATAAAATATTAAAACTAAATATAAATTATATTTTTTACTTTACTTTTATATATTTATAATTATAATTATTTAAAAGCTACTTTTTATTCTTTTTATTAATATAAACTTATAACTTAGGTTTATTACTTTAAAAACTTTTACCTTATATTAAAAATAAAAATTAAAATATTATATATTAATAACTTTTATTTAAAAAAATATTAACTATTTTTTAAATAAAAAAAACTATTATATTTAAATTATTTAATATTAATATTTTAATTAACAGCTTTAATAAATTTTAAATAAATAATAAAAGAAATATTATTATAAAAAATATAAGAAATATTAGTAAAATATTATAGAAATAAATTATAGCTTTTTTAAAAGTATTTATTATTAAGGTTAATAAAGTTAATAAAAAACTAAAAAAAAAAAATATTAATATTTTTATTAAATGTTAATTATTATTTATATATAATAGAAATATTAAAAAACTTAAGGAATATTTAATTTAATTTAAAGTTTATTTTAAAGACTTTAAGAATACCTTTAATACCTTTAAGAAAAAGGTTTA